TTCTATGGTCATAGCAATTAATTCAAATTAAAATATTGTATCTTCTCAATATGGCTGCTTACGAGGAAAAAAGAAAAATATCACAGGGGACTGAAAAACATGGCAGATTTCTACAGAATCAATGATCAAGGCATGTTCATCTGAGGGGAGAGAAATCAGATGTTGTTTATACAGATATATATAATATATAATATATATTACATATATAACAATAACCGTTCCACAAATTCTGCTTCTTTTTTTTAAAAGTGAATTATAATTAGAGTTTTGGTATCAGTGTGGTCCCATGCTGCTGTGAGGTGATGACAGAGGTGAAGACAAAGTGGAGACAAAGACTTTAGCACCTGTCCACTCTCATGTCCACACCACATGGACAGAGCAGCCATGTTTCAGTGGCTGAGAGGAGGCCCACTGCTTAACAGAGTGCCATAAGTCTGTGTTTAGTTTCATTTACACATGTTTGAGTAACCCTTTATTAGTCTGTCTACATCTCCAAAACTCTAAACGTTCTGTTCCCTCTTGTCATGTCATGTATTGGTATTTAACAAATACCTTGTACCTTTAGTTCAGTAAAGATTGTTAATTCCAGAGCTGACATGACCCAAATGATTTTAGTTTTAAGGTGTATAGAGTTTAAAAACATGCATGAGCATTACATCACAAGGAAGAAGAATGAGTGATTTCTGAACTCAGAACTCAACCTAAATATGCAGGTTTGTGTGTTAAATGTGTGATGATTTGATGAAGATTCAATGAGGAATCATTATAACATAGACCAGAAAATAGCGTAATATAGGCTCTAATTATCATGTTGGTATCAGAATCAGTATTGAGTATCAAGTCTAATCCTTAGTACTGAAATTGAGCTTGAAATTTTAGTATCACCATGACAGCACTAGTTCATACTGTACATTGTACATTTATACATTTGTACATTTCAGAATCGAACACGGCCTTGATAGTACAGTGTGTGATATAAGTGCAGTAGGAGTAGCAGTAGCAGTAGCGTGTCAGAGGCAGCGAGCGGAGCTGACAGGCCCGTGTGTCTGTATGCAAAGCCGAGATGTGTGCTTGTGTGGCAGCCGTGGGGGATTAGTTCCAGGGCGCGCTCTGGAGCAGCTTGGCGGGAGCGTTTAGATCCAGGATTTGAGCACTTTGGATCTGGTTTGGCTCTGTCCTCTGACATGACACCTTTAAAAACAACAGCACCATCCCACTCAAGCACGCCCACACATTGGGTAGCACACTGTTTGCGGTTAGTTTCAGAATTTCAATTTTAAAACAGTACAGCAGAAATATTTTGTTTTTTTCTAACACATTCACATCTACTTTTCATGGATAGAACCATAGACTATTAGTACTTGCACTAAATGAAGTGTTATTTATTGTAATTATACGTTTTGTAAGTTTTAATTGGGTAATACATCATGCTTGGTTTTCTTCACTGCTTGATTGTTTAGAGCAGCTCTGCTCTTTTTAATCAACATATTAGGCCATCTTCATTTTCTAGATTTTATGTTCCTATATTAATATAGAACCTATATTACGATATTTTCTGATCTATGTTATGTTATTTCCTCATCACACATTTGCACAAATCCTGCATATTTCAGGTGAGTTCTTCTGTCAAACTGAAAACACTTTATCATGTCACAAACTCCATATACCTTCACTAGAATCTTTAGGATGATTTCAGCCCTGGAATTGTGTATTTATATTGAAATGGGTAAAATAAGGTAAAATAAGATGTTAACTTAACTCTACATACACACTTCTACAAGAAATAACTGCTATGGCTGATTATTGGTTCATTACTCGCATTATTTTAGTGGCATAAAATATTTTCAGTATTATCGTTCATCGCAGTACAGTCCCTGACAAAAGTCTTGTCGCTTATCCATTTTGTAGAAACAAAAGCTTATAACCTGACTTTAAATTAATCGATTGGTTTTAGAAATGTCTCATATGAAAGCTAAAACCCTCCCAAATTATGCTCAATATACTAAAATAAATTTGCTTCACTGAAGAAAGATCGATCATTTAATGAACACAGAAAGGTCAGATTTTGGCAAGACAAAAGTTTTGTCGTCTACAGAAAATTTAACTAATAATTTACTTCAAATACAAAAATATGTTGCATAATGTCAGTGAATTAAGTAGTGGTGCTGTGAGATCCATATTTAATATCTTGTATGACTTCCATGAGCTTGAAGGACGCATCCATGCGGTTTGACAATGATTCATACAATTTGTACATCAGGAATAGCAAAGAAAGCAGTCTTACATGCCTCCCAGAGTTCATCAAGATTCTTTGGTTTTGCCTTCCATGCTTCCTCTTTCATTCTACCCCAGACATGCTCAATGATGTTCATGTCTGGTGACTGGGCTGGCCAGTCCTGGAGCACCTTAAAGGTTGTATAGAGGATTTTCCAAGGAACGAGAAATCCAGCGACTGTTTGTCCTTTTTCAAATGTTGCGCATGCGTGAAACCACCCCCCCTCCCCTACAGCTCCCTACGTAGAAACGCCTTCTCCCGCCTCCTCTTTACGCCAGAAACAGGTTTGTTTACAGCCGGTGAGCTGCACATGACTTGTAAACAACTAACTACAGTGTTGGTTAGGCAAGGCGGAGAAGTGAGGAGCGGGGGGAGCGGGTGTGCGGACATTTCGTTCGCGGACGAGAAGTGAGGAGCAGGGAGAAGAGCGGAGCAGGGAGAGAGGAGAGGAGAGAGGAGAGGGGAGCGGTGCGCGGAGATTCCGTGCCCGGAGAAGTGAGGAGAAGGGGGAAGAGCGGAACGGGCAGCGGGGACAGGAGTAGGAAAGGGGAGCAGAGAAGGTTGCGCGGAGATTCAGTGCGAATGAACTAGCTACAACACGCAGCAGCAAGCGGACTCTTTCTTTGCCTTGAAAATTACGTTTTCAGACATAGGATATCACTCTCGTGTCCTGAAAAACGTTTGACTAGCTCTTGGAAATAAAGTACGTTTTCATAATAAGCAGAAGTTACCTGTCCAGGAGTAATTTGGCGACCAATGCGTCAGTCTTTAGACCCTGCGTCTGCTTCAGTCGCGCCATCGCTGGAATGAATCTACAAGAATCACCTTAGTTTGGCTTCGCTGCTTTTCCCCTTGTCTTCTTCTTTCAGCGACCTCAAAAACGGACTTTCTTTTGCGGCTAACTGCTCCTGGATTCTTGTCTGCCATTGCAACAAACTTTGTGCTAACTGCGAGGAAGATATAGGTCAAAAAAAGCCGCTAAGAACTGTTGCGTTGGTGGAGTAAACAGCGTCTGTGCATCTTGCGTCTGTGGACTGCGTGACAGGCGTACGTAAACCACGTACCGGCGGCGCGCAGGCAGGTCAGTTACGCTAGAAACGTAGGGAGATTGATTGACAGCCTGTCAGCTAACAGATAACGAGGCAGTGTCGTTATCTATTGGCAAATGTTTAGCTGGCCCCACCACGTCCAGAGTTGATGCATTTTTATTCTCTTTTTTTGGTCATCATAATTACAAGGCTACTGCACCTCTATAATGCTATCATTGACAACTTGAAACAAAACAAACAAAAAAAAAATCCTCCATACAACCTTTAATCTTCTTCGCCTTGAGAAACTTTGATGTAGAGATAGAAGTATGCGATGGAGCACCATCCTTCTGCAAAATTTGACCCCTTTTATGGTTGGGAATGTAGGCGGTAGCTAATACTTCTTAATATTTTAGGCTATTGATATTGCCTTCCACCCTGCAAATGTCTCGCACACCCCCAGACTGGATGTAACCCCAGACCATGATTTTTCCGCCACCAAACTTAACTGTTTTCTGGGTGAATCTTGGATCATGCGGGCTCCAGTAGGTCTCCTGCAATATTTGCGGCTGTGATGTAATTCAGCTGAGGATTCATCTGAGAAATCCACCTTCTGACACTTTTCCATTGTCCATCCTTTTAGCAGGCTGTGGGCCTTGGCAAATGCTACACAGTTTTTTAATTGCCTTTTGTTTAGTGCTGGTTTCTGTGCACTGATTCGACCATGGAGGCCATTTCGAGACAGAATTCTACAAACTGTTCTGGTTGACACAGGGACTTGAGGTGACCAGGTCTGGTGGAGCTCTGCTGCAGTGGAAAAGGGGCTGGCCTTGGATTTTCGAATCAACAAACGGTCCTCCCGAGCAGTTGTCTTGCGGCGTCTGCCGGACCTGGGCTTGTCAAAAACATCTCCAGTCATTTCAGATCTTTTTCTTATTCTTTGTACTTGATGCTGAGACACATTGAAGGTGTCAGCCACCTCAGCAGTGGATCTGGTCTTCAGCCTTTGGTCTCAGGGTGGATCTTAGGCATGTTGTCAGAGGTCAAGTTGCAGTTGACGTGAAGGTCTGGGGTTCTTTTTATACACACCCACTAATTGATTGATCAGTAACTGACCACAGGTGAGGCTGTAATCTAGGATTGGGTGCATCATATGACAAGGCGACAAGACTTTTGTCTTGCCAAAATCTAACCTTTCTGTGTTCATTAAATGATCAATCTTTCTTCAGTGAAGCAAATTTATTTTAGTATATTGAACATAATTTAGGAGGGTTTTAGCTTTCATATGAGACATTTCTAAAACCAATCGATTAATTTAAAGTCAGGTTATAAGCTTTTGTTTCTACAAAATGGATAAGCGACAAGACTTTTGTCAGGGACTGTATATCTGTACAGCAGTATATTGTGCTTCTAAATGTGTGACATTGTTGTATCTTTTATTCTCTGGCTTTTAATACTGCCTGAGTTGTGTGGTCCTTTGTGTCTATTATTTATTTGTTTATTGTTTTAATCTATTTTTTTAGGTTGGAACATAATTCTGCTGACTTTTTTTCTTCTTTTTTTTTTTTTTCAAGAAAATACTTTACATTGCTATGTAAAGCACTTTGGAAACTGACTTGTTTGTAAATTGTGCTATACAAATAAAGTTGGATTGGACTGGAGTGTGTGGATCGGAGGGGTTGCAGTGCTGTACTTACTACTTGTACGTCTCTGAGCGGACATACTCAAAAACATGGGACACTCCGAGTTGGAACTGGTCTGCGATGGGCGTGACCCAGGGGTTGTTCTCTGCTTTGAACACCTGCTTAGGCCCCGTCAGGTCCAGGTTTCCTACAACACAAAGGCTACTGTAACCACTGCACCAGCACAGAAACGAGACCAACCAAGGCCCACTTATTACAGGGCTATTAACTGGAACACATGACATATTTACATCATCATGTTAGCTTTTATTGTTTTGAAAATGCTATATTCGCCAAAAATAATGTATCACCATGTCTAATATTTGTATTCATTTATGCATATTAATGAACATCTACAACACTACAGTGTAAATATGCCAGATTATATACTATTTTTTGACACTTTACGCGAGCGTAGGTGTGTATCCCCAACAAAATACACAGAGAGCATGAATCTTTGGTTGTATTTGTGCGTTTACCATCAGCACATCGTGCTCCTGGGGCAGTTCTGTGTCTTGTGAAAGAGCCCAGGTCCAGAAAGACTGTTAATAAGTGCTTTAAAATTTACTTTTGAAATCCTGGCATTTGCCGTGGTGAGTCTGTACAGAAGGTAAATACAAGTCTGATCAGCTGGTAGTTTCACTGTGGACCTGATACAAGCGGCTTTCCCATTGACAAACACAGAGCCGTGCCACGCCTGTACGTCCTGCTGCAGCTGCCAGTGGAGCCGCCTTTGCATCGACGCGCGGCTGTGGTTTCGCGAGGTTACGTGCGTGACACGTGCAGTGGAGTCAGGCCCTTAACTTTGCAGCCAAGAGTGCAATCTCACTAAACCAAGCATCCCAATTCCTGAGGAGGGTTAAGAAGGTGGCAACATTTTTTCAGCGAAGCCCAACCGCTGCCTATGTCCAATAATATTGTGCTTAAAGTCAAGTCAAATTCAGTTTGTGTATGATTACATTACCAACTATAATTTAAAAACTTTTTTAATCCTAAATTGTGGATAATTAAGCGAACATAGCTTATGATGAAATATATTTCTGGTGATTAAAGATTAAAAAGAAAAAATGACAAGAACCATACAGAACCGAAAACCGCGCCCTTAAACCGCAATATGAACTGAACCGTGAATTTTGTGAACCGTACCACCCCTACTCAGCAAGTAATGCCACAAATTTAACATTTTAAGTTAACCATTACCCATTTTAAAATTGAACTTTTCTTTCTTCCTTTGTTCTCCACGCTAAGTCACTCCCCCTTCAGAGTGCTATCACAACACAATCAGCATCCTGCTAATGGAAACTATCAGGTTGTGTAAGTGTAGTGTGCAGTTACGTATCCCAGTTTTCATATATTTATGGAGAATTGTTGTGTGGAAGCATGAGTGATGGGGGCTTGTGGGCTGAGCATTGGAAAGTGTCGTACAGCTAACCAAAGAGGGTTCAAATAGGTCCTGGGAGAGATCGCTAAATGACTCAAACATGCATGGATGACATCTAAAACCTCTTCAGGCATGTTTTTGATGAGGGAACAATGTTCTAACATTGTAGAAAGTTCCAAAAAGTGTATTTTGCATAATACTGTCTCTATAATGAACAATGTTTAATTGTCACAATGCTTGGATTACATTTCTGAAGATTAATCCTCAGATTATGTAAAAGCTATGTAAACTGTAAACAGTTCTATGAGATATGATGAGAAATCTGATTTCTGATTGTTCTCATCTGTACAGATTTTGTCAAGCAAAATAATGCAAAAACTAATGTGACAAAAACAAAAATGAAGTGGAAATTTAAAGAGTTGTTTTCAAATTCTCATGTCTTCCAAACACAACAGTTACACTAAAAATCCACTGATTCACTGACACGTGTCACCAGGTGTTTTGTATTATCAGATTTCTCATTGGGAGGTAATAATCAGATCTAATTATTTGGTTATCAAAAGGAGATGGCCTCAGTATGCATGATTACTCAGATGTGTGTGGGATTAAAACAACTCCATGTAACATGCTTTTTAAGTATTCTACTGTGGTTTCAAATCAAAGCAGATGAAATAAAGAGTGAAAGACTGACCTAGTTCTGGGGGCAGCACCGTGAGCCTGTTGCCCTGGATGTGGAGCTCTTTCAGCTGCACCAGGTCTCCGATCTCTTTCGGCAGAGAGATCAGATCATTGTCCCTCAGACTCAGCTGAAAGACACAAAAGAATCCGGACGTGTAAATATACATGGATTTACACACACAGATGAAATCATACATGTAAACATGTAATGATTAACCATCATGATGTCTTACTATTTGCAGCTTGGAGAGTTTCCCGATGTCTGCTGGTAGTACCTCAAAGTCATTGTCACTCAGGTAGAGCGCTCGCAGAGTGGCTGTGAAGTGAGGAAAGAGGAGAATTAAATAGTCTCAATAGATTCTCAAAATACATTAATTTTAGGGAATGCGATTTGAAGTGGTTCTCTAATAGGGGTGTGCATTAGGAGTGTGCAAAAATATAAAAATATCGATATATTGTATAATTTAATGTGATGATACAGTATCAATATTGGGGATTGCTGTATTGATATATCGCTAAGAGTATTTTTTGGTGTATTTTACTAAATTATTTTGTTACAGCTACAGTTTAATTGCTTGCTTAGTGAAAAGAAACTAATTTATGAAACACATTTCACATTTTCACTGTTTTGATGATTAAAATGTTTGTGTTTCATATGAACTTTGTAACTAATAGAACTTTGTGAAAATACTATTTTTTAAATCGATTTTTTCTTACACCCAAAACAGTCAAAACAAGGTTGATATGTGATCTCTGCATTTAATTTTAAAGTGTCTGAGAATCAGGTGCACAGTGCACTGTTAATATGCTAGCTGTCTTATGGTTTACTGTAACATTTGAACTTTGGTTCCAAAAGTTGTGAAAAGTGCTTATAAAAGTGCTTTGCATGGTGAATAATTAGGATGCTCAGAATGCAGAACGTAAGTGAGGAAGACCAGTTTAAAAAGAACTAGTTCTGTTTTTTGAAGAGAGTAAAAATCAGGTGCAATATAAACACTGGTCCACATTTCCATGTGCCAGCCACATGATGTGAAAAGGCTGTACTCACTGAGGTAGAAGAAGTTTCCTGGCAGAGAGCTGTGGTTGAGGTTGTTGTAGGTGAGGTCCAACACTTCTAAAGCAGGTAAGGACCCAAAGCCTCTGGGCAGAGTGCTCAGACGGTTCATCCTGGAAATACACACATACACACATACACACATACGCACATATGCGCATACACAAATACACACATACACACATACAGGCCATTACTCCTGTGCTCAGGACAAAATGAGTTTTAAAATCAATCAGAATAGAAAAAAATATATTCATTGCTGTAATGACTGGGAGCCTGTCACTGTGAAATAATAATAATAATACAGTTTTACAGATAAGATATCAAAACTGGTATTTTGGCTTTAAAAAGATCCTATATTATGCCAACTTAACTCAAAAACATTCCTGGAGCTGTGTTTGGTTTCTTTCACACATTTGAGCAACACTCTTACACATTGTTAGTCTGCCTACATCATGAAGTGGTAGTTTTGAACTTAACAGCTCCTTTAACCTTTAGTTCAATAGGGATCGGCAATCCCAGGGCTGAATTCATCAAAATGATTACAGTGAAGATGTATGGATTTTAAAAACACAGTGTACATCCTGTATTACAAGATTACATCTTAATGTGGACCACAGTGTTTTCTGTTTGAGAGAAGAACACAGCCTAAGTGTAGAGGGATGGTGTGAATGAAATAATTCCTACATTTTGATTCATTAAATGCCTATCACCGTTGGAAATGTATCATTATCTTTGTTCATTAATAAATACATAATGGTTTGGGGTTTTTTGTTTTACAGGCATCTAACTGTGCCCATTTAAGGTTTGCCCTGTTTTTTGTTTTTTTTTTACATCGAGTCAATTTCTTGCAACCCCTAAAACTGATAGCTCTCTGACATTTTTGTTTTGTAGGTAGCTCACCAGAGGAAAAAGGCTGGAGACCCCTGACTTAGAACCTCATCTTCACATTGCTGTTTTTGGAAGTACCACACCATTTTTGTATTACTCATGCAAAAACTAATAAATAAAATTTTAAATGGATGAATCCAGCATAAATTCAGTCTGGAAGTCCTAACATTACTCTTGTCTGCCTCACGACTTCTCCAGTGCTTACCTGCTCCCTAGTCTTCATCACCTCACTCGCATTACTCCTCCCCGTGGCTCACCGCACCTCCTCCTGTCAAATCAGCGCTCAGTCTAAACCCCCAATGCAGTTGCACGGCCGCTTCAGTTTGTGCCACACTCCACCTCGCCCTCTCATTGTCCGTAAAAATTACTACTTTTGATCATTTAGGACAATTAAGCAGGAAGCCTCAGGGCCAAAGGTAATTGGTTCACCACCTGAATAAATCTATTTTCTTTAGTCTTTCTCCAGGTCTTTTCAGTGTACTTGGAGGTTATATCTGGTTTAAGTAAAAGCCTTGAGTGCGTGTATTTTTCCCAATCCCCCTCATACATGTAAAAGAGCATCCCATTATCAGCCCCTCGTGCAGCAGAGGGGCTGGTCCTCGGGGCTGAGCGACAGTAGTGCAATCGGAATGGAAGACCGCAGCTTAGATCCACACATGCTGCACGGATCAACAGACAATCCCACAGCGGTGATCCTGTGTGGGTGTGAGGCTGCATGTAAACACCCCCCTACCCTCCGCGACTACCCCCCGCCACAGGGCCAGAGCCAGGGACAACCCGAGACAGACAGAGCATCCATCCAGACGGGGAGAGAGACGCAGAGGTTTAGCCTGGATGTGTGCAGGCTTCAACAGGAAAGAGGAATCAAGAACAGCAAACATCATCAAATATTTTGTTGTGGTACCTAGTTTTGAGGTTGCTGTTGTCAGTGCTGAACAATGTGGGAAAAATATCCAATTGCGATTTTTCTAAACAAGCATTGTGATTACCGATTAGATTTGACATTTATGTTTTTAATGATAAGGTTCTGTTCAAAGTTCACATTTTAAATGCCTCCAGAAGAATTTACAAAAATACTGAAATCTGAAAAACATGTACAGATTTAAACTACAGGGTTAGCGGTTTTTAAGCAGAATAAGACAGGACATTTTGTTGTTTGTTGAGGAAATTATGGTACTTCAAAATAAGCAGCATTTAAGATTTACTAATTGTGTTCATTCATATCGTGATTTCAGTTTAAATGTGATGAATCTTTTCTAGTTTCCTACACTTGGCTTGAAAAGAAACGCTGTAATAGGCAAATTGTAAAGGTGATGTAATGCAGAGAATTCCAGTCTTATTCTCATAATACCTGTAGTCTAGACCGCTAAAAACTAGACAATCCAGAGGAACCAAAGGCTGATAAGATCTGGTGATTTTTGAGTCTGATATATGTAGGACCCATTATTTTCCCCAAATGACAAGATATGAAATAAATATAAAGTCATGAAAAAAGGAGAAAAACAATACTCAGACACTAATAGACACTGTGGAACATTCCAGACAGAGCAATAAGAGTCACATCTCCATGGAAACAAGCAGATGGTGGTCCCCCAAATAGAAAAAGCTGTACCTGATTTTACTACCTTAAAAATGTGAAAAACAGAATTAGTTAAGCATTTTAAATGAATGAAATCATTACCCTAAACCACAGACACACCTTCTTCTCAGGATTACTCTGATGCACTCTGATGGCATTATCAGATGTCTTGGAGTAGAGCTAATCATTATTCTCTGTCTTCAACTCTGTCTGAGGTTTCTCTAAGAAGTACAGATTCATTTCATGTGTTATTCATTTTAAATCATGTGAACTATCATGACATGTGCATGGACTGGCCTTCAAAGGTCAAGAAAACTTTCTGATGCCAAACAGAGTGCAGTGGTCCAAAGTGATTCCTCTCTTACCTTATGCATTCTGAACATTTATTCACTGCACGTTTATAAGCACTTCACAACTCCCAGACACTGGTGCGGAGTTTTGCTGTAACTGTAAAACTACCACACACTTTCTGATTATAGGACAATAAAATGCTTTCTAATTAGATGCAGACAGTCTGCAGTGAACTCCAGAGCTGCTCATCTCTATACTGGGCAAGACACCTTTTGCTCAAACAAATGGGGAGAATTGAATGCAGAGCCTTTAAATACAAACAAAAAAAGAATAGATTTGACATTATATTTTCTGTTTTCACATTTCTGTCTAAAAGTCTCATTTAAAGAGCGGTACTATTTCTGCCCTCCAGCTAAGATTTGCACATCTGCACATCCCTATATGTAAATGAGAGGAGCTGTATAGTGAGGCTGTACCCCAGATTCAGGTGCTTGAGCTTCTGCAGGCTGCTGATCTGAGTAGGCAGCTCTTCTATCTGGTTGTTGAACATGTTAAGCACCTCCAGGTTCTTCAGCTCCGAGATGTTTGGAGGAACGGCTGAAGAACACACAGGAGAACAGTCAAGTTAATGTGTGCACAAGGAAGGCATTAGAAACTTTAAACACTGATTGTACAAAATAAAGATGTTGTCATTTATTTTTATTAGTCTAGTCTAGTTAACTATTGTTTAATTTAAACAGGTTTTAGACCTCGTTCATATGGTTGCTAGGTAACAGTTGTGGATTTACCTCTGCATACATCATATCTGCTGCAATTGCACTTGTCCAACCAGGGAATAAAATTATACATTTCACTAAAATAGGTGCTTTGTAATTAAAAAGTAATGCACATTGTAAACAACTCCAGGAGCATTCAGATTTCAGAGGAGACTGAAATATGACGTGACAAACTAATACATGAATCCCATATATTTCAGAACATGTTTGCAGAGGTCTAAACTACAGGGACAAAGAGATGCTTCTATAAAGAGACGGGATGTTTTGTTCTTTGCAGAGGACATTCTATTATCTAAATAACTGAAGTGGCAAAAAAAATTCTATTTTGATTTGCTGCCATATATTGTGCAGCCCTAAAACACAAACTAATAAAGGACCAAAACAAGCAAAACTGTGCAGATTTGCTAACTTAATTTTTGCTAAAATGTATTGATTTTTGCAGGATACTGGAAAACATGAGCAATTGTAGTACTGTTCTAAACTTAACTGAACCTGGGTATAAATACCTCCCACAACCATGAAAAGGCAGAGTTCTCTGTGCTGTACACAACTGTGAACAGACAGCTCTACTGGTGTTCTTAACATAATAGTCAATGGAGCATTCAAATACGATTATCATTAGAATAACCTCAGATGTGATTCATGTGTTGGCTTTTGATGACCTCTGCAGGCAGATAATGAAATTGCTTGACAGAGTGGGTAATAAAAGAAAAGAAGATTACAGAAGATGAATAGAAATCACAAATGTAACCAGAGTGGCAGCTCTGTGCAACGGCCATTAGTGTACGAAGAAAATATCTTTAAATAAATTACTCTTGGGTCTACACATGGGTTTGGTGTGGGGGAGTGATGGTGGAAATGCAGGACTCTTCAAAGTGATAGAAACAAACATGTGTTTGTGCATTATTGGTTTTGTGTTACCACTGGGTTTCAGATGACATTAGAACATTCTATGGGCCAGTAATATGAATACAGATGGGAACAGCCAAGATGAATAGCTTTAAAACACAGATTTTAGATGAAAAGTCACTCATAGAAATGAGCAGGTTCAGCACTGTGCATTTGCCTTTTGGATATTTCGTGGTACAATGTACAAGTACAATGTCATCAACTGGCCAAAATTGCTACTACCCCCCCATCTGTGAGTATGACATCATCACATCCTACAACCTGAAAAGCGACAATAGAGACTCTTGGCTGTGACGAAGGACTCACCAGTGAGTTTGTTGTGGCTCAGGACCAACTGAGTGATGTTGGACAAAGTGACTAGAACAAGAGAGAGCACAATTACAATCAGAAGAAGTACTTAAGGCCTCCTAACCAACACTGATGGCACTCACAAAATTTTATCTTAACTGAAAATGTTCTTATGGAAGAACAAATGGAACAAGGAACACTCATAAGTACAACAATTTTACAGTTTTAGATTATTATTACTTTGACTATTCAACAAATATTTCAAATTCATGCATAATTGTAAGTTATACATTTTCAAACATAATTTCTTTTAAAAAAAAATTTAAAAATGTTTTTGAGTGGAGTTTTGTAGAAATAAGATAAGCCTTTCTCTAAAACGAGACACAGGGTGTCCAAATAATAGTCAAGGGAGTGAATGAACTGTAAATGGCTGTGGTGGTGTTGGTATCTGGATGTTGGTACATTAGGCACAGTTCTCAGACATCTGGCTGCTTAAGAACAGGCTATGTTATCTTAGTGCTTAGTGAGTTTTCTTAGTGCTTCTAAAAGTGGAAATTCTGAACATTTTCTAAGAAAACACTGATGACACAGGACATCCTTATCTTCCTTCACCAAACGAACAAGAAAAGAAACAGTGAACAGCAAAGTGTTTTTTTCATGAGTTATTCATTCTGACTTGGTTTGGTAGATAGTACCTGTGATCAATATTGATCAAGGTTTTATTAGTTAAGTGGCAGTTTGTGGGAAATGTTTTTGGAAATACAGTGGTGCTGAGTTCTAAACAGAATAAATTTACTTATGACATTAATATGACTCATCTGTCATTTGTGCCTTTCCCTCTATAGCCCTGGTGTATTACACATGTACAACCAACCAATGGAAACGAAAGCATCATCTCTGGGGGACGTGTGGTCACCTCATGTCCAGGTCAGACAGTTTACTGGACACTAGATCCATGACTGGACAACAGGATAATGAGGCCGTGTTTGTTCATGCGGTATTTTTATGGCTCTACAATAAAAACTCTTATAGATCTATGGTCACAGCCCTGGCAAACAGCTGTGCGCTTAAAACTGTCCAGATCACCACTCCCTTGTCCCCGAACACGCCAGGCGCCTACGGTAAGTGTCTTACACAGCCCGGGGACGTCCAGCATGTTGGAGATGCCCCGGTCACACATGTCCACCTCCGGGATGTTTTTGTCACGGCTCTCCTCCACGATCTTCTTCAAAGACTTGGACATTTTCTGCAAATAGACAAACCGCAGGGAAAGGGAGAGGCTAGCTTACACGTAGGCTAATATGAGGTACAAAAGTACTGGCAACACGTTATACGCAAACAGAACTATGCCAAAAAGTATTACTTACGACTGCACGTGATTAGCAACGAATAAAAAGTGTCCAAAAGTGAGTGGTTTTATGAAAAGTAAGTGAAATCGTGAGGACTTTACAGTGGAAAGAGCCTCTGTCCGAGCTCCGCCCTGCGGAAGTTTACACTGGAGACACATGACCATATATGGGCACGTCCCACAGCGCGAGCGCACAAACACCAGAGCGACACGCGCCTGCAGTGGCAAGTGCGGCGGCCATCTTGTGAGTGTAAGAGACAAAAATAACCTAAGAACAACAAATAAGGTGACCAGAATTTCCAAGTAAAAAAAAAAACTGGGACATCTTCACTTTTTTGGTGGTTGGTAATAATAAAATTGTGAAACGAGTGCATAATTAAGAAAAATTGCTATGCAGAAACCTCTCATGACTAACATGTGAGTCAGTATAGTTTCATTTTCTTTGTGTTTTGGTCATTTCTAAGCAGCTTTTCTCTTTTTTATTTTTTTTATTTTTTATTTTACTTAAACAAATTACAATGTATGCCTCTCTTTACTATTAGCAGGGATCAGATTGGTCAAAAATAGGGACACCTGGGACATTTCTTGCATAAAACTGAGATGAATCATTAGTTTTGTATAAATCTACAGGAACAGGGGACACAGGCTCAACACTGGGACTGTCCCGAGTAAATGGGGACCTCTGTTCGCTCTAACAACAAAATACATTTCAATTAATCTTTATTCCAAACTCACAGCTCAACAAAACATTACAATGAATGTAACTGAATATATAAGTCCAGCTTTGATATTCTGTGATCATTTCCAGCCTCAGTGTGTGTGGGAGTGGAGCTGAGGCAAGTGAAGTGCAAGAAGAACCACTGGTCTGTACCCACTCTGCTTTAGGTGTGGTGTCTCTGGTGTGAGGCCCATTTATGGTGTGGAGAATCCCTGACTTGAGATCAGTCCTGGTGTGGAGCACTGGCCTGACACAACACCTACACCTGCCACGGAGTAGGTCTGCTACCGCCCCAAGACGCTCTATGTAATGGACACTGTGTCTGGGGAAGAACTTGGCCTGGTGCGAAGAGACCACAACATTTATGTTATTAGGTTCTTTTTTTTTTCATACCTGACAATTTCGACTGCTCACTAGCTTCTTCCTCAGAGTGGTTATGTGATGTTGCTGTGACGTGTCTGGTCAGTTGAACAACCAGTATACGAAATACCCTGCATGTCCTGCAATAAAACATACATCGGGGAAACAGGGAGAAAAAAGGAACACAGAACAGAATGCGAGAAGGAAACAGCGAAGGCGTGCACACGAGCAACAAAACACAAAGCAGAACAGGAACAACTCAACTCGGCCATTTCTGACCACTGTAAAAGAGAGAACCACGTTATGGATTGGGATGGAGCAAACATCATTGGGACAGAGGAAAACAAACATCGCCGCTGGATTAAAGAAATCGAAATATGGTAACGTGCCCACAGGACTGTAAACCGGGACGAGGGGGCTTTTTTACTCTCACACACCTGGGATACTGTCCTGAGGAAGTCGGACTGCAGATGGCGCTGTCGTCCTGCCTCCACCGGTAGGAAGACAGTACCAAAACCTGTTTAAATCAGCTGACCAGACACGTCACAGCAACATCACGTGACCACTCTGAGGAAGACGCTAGTGAGCAGTCGGAACTGTCAGGTATGAAATAACACTCTAGGTCTGAAAAAAAGAACCTAATAACATAGAATATCGGAAGACCAAATGAATCTCATTGAATATCGGAAGACCAAATGAATCTCATTGGACGACCACAACTTTTATTTATGGATTTTTAAAAATGTGATTTGATTTTATTATTATAATATATATATATTTTTTTTTTTTATCTATATGTTTCTATTTATAATAACAACAATAATATTTTATTTATTTGTATTATTATAAAATTTTTATTTTATACACGCACACACACACACACACACATATATATATATATATATATATATATATATATATATATATATATATATATATATATATATATATATATATATATATATATATATATATAGTAGAGGACAGGTTCACTCACTTGTTCTCCTGTTGTCTTAAACAGATGATACAGTCACAACATGGCCGTCAATAGGAAGTCCACCCTCTTGCCCTAGTGCGCTATAATCAGGCTCTCTGCTTCTACTGAGAATTTGAGCAGAGGCATACAACACTGCTCCCACCGGCAGCGGAAAGAGCTGCAAGCATCAAAGAAGCAGAAACAAAATTTGAAAATATTCAGCACCTTGGCTTCTCTTTCAGCACGTTTTAATTTTTTTTATCTACTATCTAGTTCTAAATCTTGAGATTTAAATGGTAAAAATAGTTGTTATGTCTTCACCCATATTGTCTAGTATGAACGTGATGTGTGCATGAGTGTTGGTGGTGGTTGGAGGGGCTGATGGCCCAGATTGACAACATCACTTCCATTAGTCTGTTTATTATTATTATTATTATTATTATTATTATTATTATTATTATTATTATTATTATTATTATTATTATCATTTATTTACTTTTTTTATTTATGTATATTTTTATTATATAATATATAATTATATCTATATATTACTTAACCTAATGATCATATTTATATCATCATGTTTTTTTCTTTGCTGACATTAAACATATTTTTAAACTTGAAAATCGACACATAACCAGCAGCCTGCAGGGGGCAGCATGAACCCGGCGCGTGCGCGATTGACAGTCGAGCAAGTCACAGTAAAACATGGCTCCCACGTGACACATGTGGATCTATGGAGACGCTCTTCTCCGTGATCTGGTCCCGTCCGTGGCCCCGTGTCTGCCTCCGTGCCTGCCTCCGTGTCTGCCTCCGTGTCTGCCCTCTGTGCCCTCTGGGTCCGGGCTCTCTGTGATGCCCCGTGCCCGCGGTGCGCTCATGGAGCCTGTGCGGGTTCTGGAGCTCTACAGCGGGATAGGAGGGATGCACTTCGCCCTCAAAGGTAAGATCCATACAATCTGTGGTCAAATCTGACTCTCTGGTCTGGAGAGTACATCTGCTGCCCACATTGTACTACACGACTTTGTACTATACAAGGGTATAGTACAAAGTAACTAATTAGTTCTACAAGTACTCATGCTATTGTAATTGTAGGCGTACTTTGTTGAGAAAAGTTTAAACCTGTACTTGTAATTGTTTTGAGTAGGTCAATACCTCTAGCCAACCAACACTGCAGCTCCTGCTCTGATTGGCCAGAGCTCAGAGACTATGTAGATTGTGGTTTGCAACTACTATTCATTTTTCAGCTGTTTAATATATATAAAATACTGACCTAATATCCTGTTAAAAACAGCAGTAACCTACATGTACTTGTAACTGAGTCATTTAGATTGTAAATTGACTTATACTTGAGCCCTTGAGACTTATACTTGAGTGGATTTGATCTAGCATGTCCTCTTTAACATTGCCCTGTCCTCATGTGTTCAGGCTGTGGCATCTCTGCTCAGGTGGTGGCTGCTGTGGACATCAACACCACAGCCAATCACATCTACAAACACAACTTCCCCTCCACCCCCTTGTGGAGCAAGTCCATTGAGGTGAGATACAGGCTCACTCACACCAAAACATCTGGGATTAGATTTCTGTTCTAATACTTTGTAGTATTGTCATGATACTAACATTTCAGACTTGATTTTGATACTAGTGTTGCTCACAATGGAATCAACATAAACACAATATTTAATACAGACTCAGATGCCACTCTTTGTTTAGACAATAGAATGTGATTTTCAGCATTAAATTCTAATTGTACTTTCTTTCCTATTCCCATGTGTTATATATGCGTGTAATCCTCAGTGGTGCAGTAGGTTCGTAGTGTCCATGTGTGTATACTAGTCTATGTGTCTTCTACTTGTTCTGATACAACTCAACATCATTCTAAAGACATTCAGAAAGGTTCATTTCTCTATTGTGAATGGATTTTTTAATATTCTTACCTGCTCAAATGAGTATGTCTTGTCTGAAAATTGTGTCTTGTGTTAATGACAATAAATGATAATATTGAAATCAAACCATAAAGCAGAATTAGCCCCCAAAATACTACTGCAAATGTACAATATTGTTAAAAAATATGAACTGTAATAAGTAATAAAGAAACACTATCTAGGTTGAGTCATAGGAGTTCATAAGTTGACCCTCTGCTGTACAAAAAGACCCAAAAATGTCCCACAAATGCAAAGAAAAGGTATATGTGATAAATGTGGATACTGTTCCATCTGTCATGTATTGAGGCAATATACTGTAGTAATTCAAAGTTCAAATTCCCCTCTTAGCGTAAACATCATTGCTAAAACGGTCAGATTCCAGCTCCCTCAGATGAATGCTGCTGTTGTGTCCTTGGGCAAGACACTTAACCATCCTCACCTCCAGTGTCCGTGTACACTGGTGTCGTGTGTATGTGAATGAGTGAGTGGGTGCTTGATGTAAAGTGCTTTGAGTCTTGAAGGTATAAGCGCGTTATATAAAATGTGACCATTCACCATGGTTACAGACCAGTGACAAGTCTGAGAGCAGTATATGATCAACTTGGACATGTTAGATCAAAGTTGCTGGCCAAAATATACTAGCCAGAATATTCAGATTGTATTGAAAGATTACTTTAAGATAATATAAACAATTATTTAATGTCCCGATTCCTGGAGTACATAGGTGAAGTTAGTTTTTAGTTTATGTTGATGGGGAAAGCAGTGCATCACTTTAAAGGGGGTATTATGCATTATATTTAATTTATTTTTTGTAGCTTTCTACAGTGTTCTGATTTTGATCCTTCATCAAAAAGCGGTTTTAACTGTCATCCATGCCTGTTTGAGTCATTTAATGATCTCTCCTGGGCCCTATTAATCCTCCTTACAGTTAGCTGTAAGATTTTGTACAAGTCTCCGCCCACAAACCTACGTCAACCACACTCCCACACGACACTTCTCCATAAATGTACAAAAACATGATTTAACTGTGCACAGCAACTTGACAAACCAGACATGATGTGCAGTAGTTTCATTAGCAGGATACACACAGACACACTCTGAAGGGGGAGTGACTTAGCATGTGGGCAAGGGGAGGAGAGGCTCAGAGCACCAAAAACAAAACTTATAAAACATGTTAATATGTTATTTTTGGCGAATATATCATTTTCAAAACAATAAACGGTAACATGGTGATGTAAATATGTGACGTGTTTGCAGTTGATACCCCAGAGAAGTGTAACAGCTCCTCTTTAAAATGTCTTCTTTTCCTCTCTCCTCAGGGCATACCACTAGAAGACTTCAATAAGCTGTCCATTGATATGATTTTAATGAGCCCGCCCTGTCAGCCGTTCACCAGGTACTGCTCCGTCGCCTCTGAACATTCTTCAATAAAGCTGTGACATAGTAGTGAATAGTGATGTGACGTTCCGTATCGAGGCTTCGAAGCGTGTGCTGAGTAAGGAGGGGGCATTTCCGCGATGCGCGTATCGAGGCTTGCTTCATTTAGGGGAGGAGCTGAAAATGATGGCGTCCGAAGCCTCGTTGCCCGGCTGTACCACATGACTGATTCAGGAAATGGTTCGGATTTTGCTGCGATTTCCATTTTCATCATTTTCAAATAATCATTTTCCATACTGCCAGTATATAGATACACAGTACACTGCCATCACTACAATATACATGGTTTGCATACTTCTTTATTTTGCTGACAGTTTTATTCACAGGCTTTCTGCAAAATGTCACACACTTCAAATTCATGTCAAATTATATTTTTGTGTCCAGTAGATGTCCTGCTAGAGCAAATGAAGCTTCAAGAAGCTTTGTGCTAGAGTGAACCAATTGGATGAAAGGTTTCAATGCTTCATGAAGCTTCATTTGCCCATCACTAGTAGTGAATATGTTGAACTGTTGCTCTTTGCAGGTTAGGCTTAAAACGTGATGTGGTCGACCAACGAACCAAGAGCTTTCTTTATGTTCTGGATCTCCTGCCAAGGTAAGAGCCCTCAGACCGACTGTATGTTGTGTTTGTTTAAAGAGCATGTGGCTTTTTTCATGTGTTTCTAATTCTGATATGGTTTGGAGGAATACTACTTGAGCTAAATATTGATAATATTTCATTAGTCACTCGCACTGATTTGTGGAAAAAAGTTGAAGAAAACTAAGACATAAAGGATACAATTTTTGACAGATTAAGCAATGATTTGACAGAATAAAGAGATTGTCATGTATTGTTATTAGTCTAAACAGAACTATTTTGCACATTTCAGCCTAATACTAATTATTTTTACACATTTTTAGCTTCACACAATTTTGAGAGACCACAGAGAAATTTTGCCATCACACTAAAACTAACAACAACTAGCATGCTAACGCATCTGATTATTGGATTTAAAAAAAAACACACACACTTTATAATTAGATGCCAACAGTACACAGGGGACTTATTTTGACCTCAAAAACTGCTTACATCTGTACCGGATATGTTTGTATCGAGTACAGGACCTTTAACTCCTGTTGGAGTGAAATGAGTACTCTTACCTGTCATGTGCACTTTAATGATTCATTACTGGCTAGATTTGTGTTTTAATGTCCTTTTTCTGTTCACGCTTTCATTTCATGTCCAGGCTGAGTCCTCGTCCTCGCTACATCCTCCTGGAGAATGTGAAGGGATTCGAAGAGTCTTGTGCCAGGTAAGAATGAAATGACTGTGGGCTGTGTGGTGCATTTGTCCAAACTATGATTTATCATTTGTCTTTCTGTGTCAATAGGAACCAGCTGATGAAAACCTTGAATGAATGTGGATATCATTTTAAAGAAATTATGGTGTCTCCCACAAGTGTAAGTCTTTCACTATACAGCTCAATGAAACATGTAAAGTTTTTGACAGACAGCTGGTGTAAATAACAAATTCTGTATTTAGAAGATAATTAGGCCCAAGCGCCAGAAGCTAACAAAGGGCCTGTTAGTATTGCAAAGCGATGCTCCTAGTGGCCGGAAAATGAAATAGTGCGACGTGACTCGCCCGCAGTGACCAGGGACCCTCGCCATGACGTAGCAATGCGCCAGAGGTTTCCGAAAATGTATAGTTTGTCGGACAAAAAAGCGGAACATTGTTCTCGCATCAGAATATTCTTTCTTCTTTCTTTTATTTTTTTCCTAACCAAATCACCCATTTTTCACTCACTGAACAATGAGGAAAAGTGCTGAAATTTTGCCATCTGGTAAAACTCGCGGTTCTCTAACTTTTGGCTATTTCCATTTACCAAAAATAAATAAAATCAGTGCCCCCAAACAACTCAAAAATGCATTAGGGAATACGAATGAGGGCAAATCATGAAATTTGACACAGAAGTCGATCATGTCAAGACAAGGAAAAAATATTATTACGCCAACACCGTGCGCTCCACTAGGGGGCAGCAATATTGGATAACAGTTTGCTGGATAACAGCTTTTACGAACTCCTCCGTTCACCCAAACGAGCTCAAATTTGGTCCACATTATCTCAAGAGGTGGAACATCAAAAGTTATCCAAATTTTTCACACACATCTTACGGTCTCTGAGCAGTGAAGCAACAAAAAATGCACACAATTTTGGAGATTTACAAATTGTAAAGTTCAAGTTCTAACGAACTCCGATTTCAATGAAATTTGACATAGTTGTTAAACTCTCTGCCCTTAACCTACTTAATGTGAAAATTATTAATTTGGCGTATTAGCGCCCCCTATAGATTGAAACTAAATTTAATATGGGAGAAAATCATTTGTTCCCAAATAGTTGTTAAAAAATTTCTGAAATTTAGCACAAAATTCCATTTTGGCATCCTGATCCAAAAGTCAACGACACCCATGTCATATTTTTTATGGCCTTGCCATAGCGATGACATAAACTCTCCATGTTATTCCATTGGTAAACTTGACAAATTTTGGCACAAACTTTGGCCGATTTCACTCCAATTTTAATTGTGGGTTCACACCCCGACCCTGAACAGACTGATACAGAAAAGACAGAAAATACAAAATGGGTGCAATAGTGCCCCCTAGAAAATTTGTATGGAAAAAGATTTTATTTGTCACAGTTACACAAAATTTGGTATCAACATTTGTGACATGGTCTCGATTAAAAAACTCAATGATGCCCAAACCCTAATTACATTGTGTTGCCATGGCAACAAGCCAAAATTCTATCCTTGCCAATGGGACGTCTTTACACAAACTTTGGCATAGCCAAACCAAATTTGGTAGCCAGATACATCATGGCAATAAGAACAAAAATGTATATTGTGACCACGCCCTTTTCAAACCGGAAGTCCGCCATCTTGTTTGTTTGTTTTTTTGGCAAATTTTGAAAATTACAGGGTTAGGGTTGGGTCTATGATTAGGATTATGTTTAGGGCAGTGCTTCTCAATTATTTTCTGTCATGCCCCCCCTAGGAAGAATAAAACATCTCGCGCCCCCCGCGTGACTATAAATAGTATCATTTGTCTATAAAATTGTTATAAGTACAGCTCTGCGTAACACTGCCACCTTATATGATGCCAACAACGCTCGCTGGTTTACTGAAGTAGCAGTCACAAAGCGGGATGATTGTCGGCAATATTCGGCACGTTTTCGCTGAAAAAACTCAAGCGGCTTATCAGAGTGATTGGAGTGTAATGTATTTAAGTGACGCCTTAATTTATTGGGCTTCATGCTGTCCGCTGCCAACATTTTTAGACACAGTAAGCACACCGGTCTTTCCTCGTCTCCCACCATAGTCACAGTGAAGCCAAGCGCTACATACGCTTCGTCATATTTCCTCGTCTTAGCTTTCGGGAGATTTTCGTTTGTCTCTTTATCTCCGCCTGTCTTCTCATCCCTATTTTTTCATGGTGTCACTTGAGGGTCTGCAACACTTCGTGTCTACACTTCATACTCAAACTCTGTGCTGTGTGCAAAGCACGCATGCTCAGTGCAAACAAAACTCCTACACCACCGTGCGAATGCTCCCTGCGCACACTCTGCCAATGAGAGCGCCACTGCCCCCTAATGTAGTGGAAGTGCAATTGCACTTTATTCTAGGACAGTAAAAAAAATAAAAAAAATAAGCATGTTCCCCGAGGTCAAACGCGTCCCCCTTGACGGAGCCTTGCGCCCCCCAGGGGGGGTGCGCCCCACTATTTGAGAAGCACTGGTTTAGGGTAAGGTTTAAGTTTAGTGTTATTAAGGTCAGTGCGAGGCGCGGCATTTGTGGGGCACAGCGAAGGAAAAACATTCAAAAAACCTGCGTCCGTGGTGCGGGCGGTATCTTGTAACTTCACAGACTTGAGTGTTATTTGGCTTGCAGGAGGGCCGCCTGCTTCTTCCATGGAATCATGCAGGTGATCACTTTAAGTGTGTGTGAAGTTACATTCGATTTTTTTGTATTACACAAATGTAATGTTCCAGAGGAAAACACATTTTACTCTGTGTGGTTACGCCGTGTTCACAGTGTCTAACCTTGTGTATGTGTGACTCCAGGTGGGCATCCCGAACTCTCGGCTGCGATACTTTCTCATGGCCAAACATTCAGACGAGGGCTTCAGTGCAGAGACCCACTCACAGGTGAGACTCTGGGCTTTAGTTAACTCATTTATGAAATATGTTTTTTTTTAACACTTTAATGTTTTTCCTGACAGATTTTAGAAGCATTCCCTGTCCACACGGATCTGGACGTGTCTGAACAGCAGACAGTTTTGACTCCTCACCAGCCAGAGGTGGTAAAAAAGATACCACCATTATTTTCTGTGGGAGTTTACACCAAGACGGCCTGCCTTATCAGTTCTAATTCAAATCAATTTTCATATAGTCATTTTGTATAGTTTTGTAGGATTGCCAAAGTCAGATCAGAGAGTGATTGATATTAAAACTAATATTGAAACTAGATACTCATTTGAGCAGGTATTGATTCTAAAAAAGTTATGGACACTTGGGAATAGAAATTAATTTTAACCGTCTCGTTTTGGTGTGTCTTTATTTAATGTAATTTGATTTCTTAGGGCAGTGTTTCTCAACCTTTTTTGAGCCACGGCACGTTTTTTAGATTGGAAAAATCTTGCGGCACACCACTAACCAAAATGTTACAAAAATGACACTATATAGTATATTTAATTACAATATAATTTCTACATTAATTTCTACTTACTCAGTGTGAGACCTGCGCCTGTTTAGATGAACACAAAGCTGATATCCTGGCAGGAATAGAAGAAAGACACACACAAAGCTCTTCATCAACAGCTCTCAGTCTCTCTCTGTTTTTAGTTTTTATAGCAGTTAAGCTTGAAAAGCTCTTCTTCTGGGTCAGAATCTTGTCCACGCCCCATTTCGGAGTTCACATTCATCCATTTTAAAAAACTTTTCCATGACTGTCACCATGCACATGCGTTACTAATTCTTTTAAAGCAGGGGTGCTCACACTTTTTTTGCCCCTTTTTGGACCCTCACCCACAGTTTGAGAACCCCTTCTTTAAGAGAACTTCCTCTGGCACTTTACACAAAACTGTGAAAAAAGTGAAGGAAGATTTTTAAAAAAGGGGCTTGTGTTCGCTGTACGCAGGAAGGTGAGAGCGTGAAAAGGCGAGGGGTGGCGTGCTGACGTGAGGCAGATGGACAGGTAGGATGTTTAGGAAGTTGAACCTGCCCTGTGATGCACGCTGGTACACGAGGGCACACGCTGTTGCAGACAAGCCGTGCGTAGGGAGCGTGTGTGTTTGTGATGTGCCGTAGAGTCTCCGCGGGCTGCACTGAGACGCCCCACACGCTCTGGCACACCTGTACAAGTTTATTGCCAACAGCAGCAGCCTTAATGAAATATGATCGCACTTGTTGAGTGTCAGACCTTGAGTGACAGACAAGACCGAGTGCAAACGCGAGTCCGAGACGAGACACGGCGATCTACCCACACGACCTTGGTGATCGACTGGTAGATCGGGATCGACATATTGAGCACCCCTGATTTAAAGAAACGAGGCAATTGGCTGCCTGTCGCCACCCGGACGAATATTAGATCACTCTGCCAGTCATTATATACTACACTGTACTACAGCACGGACACTCAACAATGACATAATATTTGCAGGTAATAATTAATAAATTTTTATTTTTAAAAAAGTGATATTGGATAATTTCTCACAGCACACCTGACGATCTCTCACGGCACACTAGTGTGCCGCGGCACCGTGGTTGAGAATCACTGTCTTAGGGTACAATTCCCTGACAGAAAGTACTGTTGAAACATGTTACTAATCATATTCTATTGTCTAAAGAAAGTGTTTTTTATTATCATCGTGGTGTTTGAGCCAGTATTGAGTATCAAGTCTATTTCTTACTATCAAAATCAAATTTGAAATTTTAGTATTGCAACAACACTAGAGTTCATTTAAAGTAAAGGTACCTTTACTCCAGTACATGTTGTGACCCGTCCTTTCTCACACAGACAGGACCAGAGCAGGCCCAGGTGCTATACAAGCTGGAGACCCCCACGGAGGTGCAGAGGAAGCAGAAGCAAAACAGTGACATGTCCATCAAGCAGATCCAGGACTTCTTAGACCCGGACCCAGACTTGGACCTGGACCAGTACTTGCTCCCCCCCAAAACCCTGCTCCGATACACTAACATCCTGGATATAGTCCGGCCCAGCTGCAGGAGATCCGTCTGCTTCACTAAAGGGTCTGTATGCAGCCATTATAAACATCAAATATAGAGTAGAATCAGCATTATGATTATTGTAAATATAAACAACAAACATTGCATAACCCCAGTGACCCAAAAAAGATTCACACATAAATTTTTACTTTTGGAATAGTGTTTATATTTAAAAGAGCTGTACCTGATTTTTATTGTCTGAAAAACATGAAAAACAGAACTTTCCTTTTTAACAGTTTTGCAGTGGTCCAAAGTAGGGCACGACCAATATATCGGTTTTACCGATATGGGCACCTGGAAACATATCGACGATCAGCCTAAATCTTGCGGATATGGGCCGATAATTCATTTGGGCATGTTATACCTCGTTGTTAAGCTTAGACTCTCTACATTATGTTCATTTAATCCAGTTTACAGACAGATAAATGTCCTAGTATGTGGCTTCACATCAGTATTTGTCTGTGGAGTCATTTGTCTGTGTGTGTGTCCGTACTGTTCCTGGACACACCCCCTGTCACTTCACTCACATGTGTTTGTTTACACCCACAGACATAGATCCATGTGCAATACTTAGATTATATTCTTTTAACGGACAATCGGTTTGAGTCTGGATTAAAAGGACATTTATTAGTGCAGACTTGTGATGTGAGGAGGAGCCTGTGTGAGCGGTGAGTGTTGGAAATGTGTCAACTTTGAAGCTAGTTTTGGTTCTTTCTAGAGCCTGACCGATATGGATTTTGTTGTGGCCAATATGAAACCGATATAATGGGAGTTGGAGCTGCCGATAGCCGATATAATCGCCGATATATTTAGTGATGTAAAAATTCACTGTAAATCTTGAATTGTTTAAAAAACTTAGGTTTGGCTCTAGTGGATTCTAAATTGGGTTTATTTAGGCAACATTTATTGTTATTCTGACTCTTTACGTCATATTTACATATTTACATACAGTAGATTGGCCTAATGGCATTTTTGCATCACATTCTAGCTACTAGTTTGTTTGTTTTTTTGGAGAACCGGCTCTTTTGGCTCGGCTCACTAAAGCAGCTGGCTCTTTCGGCTCCCAAGCGACTCTTGAGATTGTTTTGTTGCAAGCAGGACTAAACCAGAACTGAACCAGGACTGAGTGTCGGGACTCGGTCTCTCCCTCACTCGAGCCCAAGATTAGTCCTGGTTTATTCATTTTATGCTGAACTGCAACCGATATGCACTTTTTTTTTTTAATCCTATGCACGTGCAGATTTCTGAAAGTTTCGTTTTCAGCCGCTGCTGCTGTCAAACTACGGGTCTACATGCGGCTTGAAGAGAAAAAGTGAGAAAAAGAGAAAACACGGCTCCCAATAAGAAACATACTCCCATTGTTTGCTTCAAAGAGCCGGCTCTAAGAGCCGCTTCGATCGCGACCGACCCATAACTCCTAGCTAGTAAAGAAACTACCGCTATTAGCCTTTAGCCATAAAAACGTGCGCACCGCGGTAATTAGTTATATGCATAAATGGGGATCATTCACACGTCTATTCACAGCTCATTTACATATCAGTGCTGGTCCAGTAGCAAATATACAGCCAATATAGTCACTTTAAAATAGGTCAATAGAAAACAGCCTGTTTATGTGAGGGAGCTACAGCAGCTAATCGCTAATAACAAATAGCCAAAACTAGCTTCAAAGTTGATGTATTTCCAACACTCACCACTCACACAGGCTCCTCCTCACATCATAAGTCTGCACTAATAAAAGTCCTTTTAATCCAGACTCAAACCGATTGTCCGTAAAAAGAATATAATCTCAGTGTTGCGCACCGCTGCGGGTGTAAACAAGAACACGTGAGTGAAGTGACGTGACTCTGAGGGTGTGTTCAGGGACAGTACAGACACAGACAAATGACACCGCAGATAAATACTGATGTGGAGCCACATATTAGGACATTTATCTGTCCGTAAATTGGATTAAATGAACATAATGTAGAGAGTCTAAGATTTATAACGACGTATCACATGCCCAAGTGAAATATTGGCCCATATCAGCAAGTATATCTGCAGATAGCCGATATGTCTCCAGGTGTCCATATCGGCCAGCCGATATATCAGTCAGGCTCTAATAGTCACTTTACAATAGGCCAATAGAAAACAGCCTGTTTATGTGAGGGAGCTACAGCAGCTAATCAATAACAAATAACCAAAACCAGCTTCAAAGTCGACATATTTCCAACACTCAGTGCTCACACAGGTTCCTCCTCACATCACAAGTCTGCACTAATAAATGTCCTTTTAATCCAGACTCAAACCGATTGTCCGTTAAAAGAATATAATCTAAGTGTTTGGATCTATGTCTGTGGGTGTAAACAAACACACGTGAGTGATGTGACTCTGGGGGTGTGTTCAGGGACAGTACGGACACACACACAGACAAATGACTCCACAGATAAATACTGATGTGGAGTCACATATTAGGACATTTATCTGCCTGTAAATTGTATTAAATGAACGTAATGTAGAGTGTTTAAGATTTATAACGAGGTATAACATGCCCATGTGAAATATCCGCCCCTATCAGCAAGCATATCAGCCGATAGCCGATATGTCTCCAGGTGCCCATATCGGCCTATAATATCGACCAACCGATATATCGGTCAGGCTCTAGTTCTTTCTCATTGGTTAGTGATTAGCTGCTGTAGCTCGCACACATAAACAGGCTGTTTTTTATTGGTCTATTGTAAAATGACTATATTAGCTGTATATTTGTTACTGGACCTGCATTAAATGAGCTTTGAATAGAGCTGTGAATGATGACATTTGCACATATAATTGATTACCGCGGCGCGCAGCATTTACGGCTAAAGGTTAATAGTGGTAGTTTCTTTACTAGCTAGTAGTGATGGGTCGGTCGCAAACAAAACGACTCTTAGATCCGGGTCTTTGAAGTGAACGATTGGAGCCTGATCCTTATTCGGAGCCGTGTTTTCTCTTTCTCTCACTTTTTTCTCTTCACGTTGTGTGCAGACTCGTGGTAGTTTGACAGCGGCAGCAGCTCAAAATGAAACTTTCAGAAATCTGCGTGTGCATAGGATTAAAAAGTCGGGCCCTAGTCCAAAATTCTTCCTCACTTACATATCGTATTTTTCGGACTATAAGTTGCTCCAGAGTTTAAGTCGCAGAAGCCAAAAAATGCGTAAAGAAGAAAAAAACATATAAGTCGTACTTTTTTGGGGAAATTAATTTTATAAAATCAGAGACCAACAACTGACATTTCATGTTGAAAGTAAAGTTCTAGTAAAAACAATAGAAGAGAGAACAACAGACTGTTAACGTCACATATTAGTCAGGGAGCCAAAGTCTCAAAAGCTCTAGAAAATGGGTTGAACCTGACATTGCCTGCCATACTTTTTATTTGTGTTTTTTTTTTGTTAACTGTGACCCTGAGGACCAATAATTGGAGGGTCTGCTCTTCCGGAAATATCGCGAAAAAAATTTGTGGCCATTTTAGTGTAGGTAACCTTCATTTTGTGATAGAAAATTTTGAAAAATGAAAAATTTCCTCAAATCCTCAGTGGATTGGGTAAGCTGTCTACAAATACATTCCAGATGCAAAGAACACATGTGGTGACAACATTCAGTGAAAAGAATATTCATAAAACACATTTCTACATGATTTTGGCTCAATTTAATGCCAAAAAATAAGGCATTTTTTTCACTTTTTTTCCAATATTTTCATCTTTACCTCATTGGCAATCAACTATTCCCCCAAGTTTTGACATCAGCCAATATGCCATTCTTTTCTTCAAACAGTATAGTCATTCCACAGAAAAAAATATAAAAATCCAACCAAAATCAATGGATCTGTGATGATTTCATTACCATCAACAGGCCCAGAACCTCAATAGAATGTTAGGCTCCTCTCAACATTCCATAAGGCACACTGGATATTTAGCATGGTTGTTAATGTCCACATTATTAAACATCATGGCCTAGGCATCTTTTAAACAATAATAATAATAATAATAAATATAGCCGCAAGCGGCAATGATCGGCCCTCGCTCAAGCCTATGCCACGCCGCACCCCGGCCACGTTGAGCTCTGCACATGCCATGCCCCCCTTCCACTGCAAAGAGACCAAGACGTGATGTTGCTGTAAAACCACAAGAACAAGAAAGTGCAGCTCAGCCTGTTTGTCTTCTGTACGTCTCACTTAACAAACGGGATTTTACTTTGATGGTGCTCCACACACAAAATGTTCTCTGCAAGCTCAGGATGAGTTAGAAAGTCAAATGTTTCCTTTTTGGTTCTTCCTGTGGATCAATCCTGCCCATCACCTTCACCTTTCACTATTTTTCAGTTCCGTTGTGAAGGGAAACAGTTTGAACAGAGGTTTGCAGTCACACACATCTGATTCACTTTTGCATTTATGGAGTTCGCAAACAAATTTCTCGAGTCATTTTCCGCTGTTAGGATCCAACAACCACACAATTAACGATACCTGAATCACAAAACTAAAATATGACAATATCAGAACCAGAAATAAAAGTGATATGGTGATATAGACACATCCCAGTGGGAAAACAAACATGGAGGTTTGATGTTCGCTTTTTTGGAAAATCCTTCCCAGTATGGATTGCACAATGACCGGAAGTCTGAGATTCTTGATGCATCTGTAGGACGCCCAACAAAAACTTTGGCGTAGCCAAACCAAATTTGGTACACAGATGCACCATGGGAATAGGGACAAAAAAGTATATTAACAGGAAGTCGGCCATATTGGACTGATCGCGCGACTCTTGTCCTCATATTTGAACGAACTCGTCCTATGGCGTTTGACCCAGACTCACTAGAATCATTTTGTATCATCTAGACGAGTGAGACATTAAAAGTTGTTTAAAGCTTTTTAAACAGTGTTGCTGTGGCAGTGGTGCAAATTTCGGGTTCGTTTTTGCAGCTCGCCATCAAACTTCGACGCGTGATAATTCGCACAAACTTTGGCCAAGTTGACTCAAACTTTAATTGTTGGTGGACACTCTGACCCTTAACAGATTTATATAAGAAAATCTAAACTGGACGCAGTAGTGCCCCTTAGGGAGGTTGTATGGAACAATAAAATTTTACTTTGTCGTAGGCATGTAAAATTTGCTACACACATTCGTGGCCTGGTCTTAATGAAAAAAGTCAATGACGCCCACACTCCATCTCCCATCGTGTTGCCATGGCAACTGGCCTAAAATCTGTCTTCACCAAGGGGACGTCCCAACAAAAATTTGTATGTACTTAAACCAAATTTAGTACACAGATGCATCATGGGAATAGGAACAATAAAGTATATTGTGACCACGCTCTCTCCCAAACCGTAAGTCCACCATCTTGGATTTTAAAAAAAAAATCAACACATACAGAAATTGAGAAAAATAGTAGGGTTCGGTTAAGATCAGGGGTTAAGGTTAGGCTAGGGCACGGGTCGGCAACCCAAAATGCTCAAAGAGCCATATTGGCCCAAAAAAACAAAAACCATACCTGCCTGGAGCCGCACAAAATTAAAAGTCTTATATAAGCCTAATATGAAGGCAACATAGGCTGTCAGTATATTAGCTCTATAAGCTGACTATTAAAATGACTAAGTAGGCTACAAATACAAAATGAGCATTCATGATACACAAACCCCTTTTGCGACCCTCTCATACTCGGTGCGGCGTCTGTAGTCACTGAAATCAGGTGGTTAGTGTTTACTCCTTTGTCATTTAGGCCCCGTTTACACGTACACGGGTATTTTTTTTAAAACGGAGACATTTCCCTTCGTTTGTTCACATTGTTTACACGTTAATTCGCCTCTGAAAATGAATCTTTCTAAAAACTCTGGCTAGAGTGGAGATTTTGGAAAACTCTGGTTTCACATTTGCGTGTAAACTGAGATAAATGGAATTTTAGGAGCTGATGCGCTGAAAGTGCGACCGACGTTTACCTGTTGCTTTGACGATGATGATGGAAGTATTCAGAGCAGCAGTCGCATTTCTTCTGATCGTGAATAGGAGCACTCATAAAATAAACCCAGAGCAGAAGCTCTGAACTCGGGCAGCAGCACTAAACACATGGGAGCAGTCAGCGCGCAGCCCCTCAAGACGGGTCTGGGGGGTCCAGTGTTGATTGTCCGGAGACTTCATCCTCCATGTCCTGGTTCCAGACGGGGGCGAGCAAGACCAGCGCGCAAAGAACTGGGTCCGAGTGCTTCAGTGCTGTCATCTGTGTGCTGGTACCATGCGGGAAAAGTGAGAATGCGCTGTGGACCACAGGTCCGGGCTGCTCCGGTCCTCCGTGCTCGACCGTGGCTGGTTCTGAGGTGATGCAAAGCATCCGGACAGAAGTGTGAATCCCGTTTGGTTCGTTATGTTGTTCTGAGCGTCCATCTGCGCACGTGTTTTTTTGTTTTTGGTTTTTTTTTTCGAGGAAAGCGCTTCTCAGGTGGAGGCACCGGACACCACCCCTGCTTCAGTTCATCTATTTGTTCTGCTGAATCATTTCACACAGCTGATGGATCAATCCATGACCAGAGATGAACAAGGGTTTTACCCCTAAAGAAACCAGATTAAAACAACAACCAAAAAAATCATTTCTTTTCCATTTTCACAAATTTTTGAAAAAGATCCAGGGAGCCACTAGGGGAGTGATAAAGAGCCGCAGGCAGCTCCGGAGCCGCGGATTGCCGACCCCTGGGTTAGGGGTAAGGTTCGGGTTAGGGCTAGGGTTAAGGTTAGGCTAGGGTTAGGGCTATGGTTAGGAGTTCACGTAGGTTTAGGGGTTAGTGTTAATTTAGAAGTTAAATCAATGAGTAAGGTGCATTCGTGGGGCACGGCATGTGCAGAGCTCAACGTGGCCGGGGTGCGGCGTGGCATGGGCGTGGCATAGGCTCAAGTGAGGGCCGATCATTGCCGCTTGCGGCTATATTTATTATTATTATTATTATTATTATTATCATTGTTTAAAAGATGCCTAGGCCATGATGTTTAATAATCTGGACATTAACAACCATGCTAAATATCCAGTGTGCCTTATGGAATGTTGAGAGGAGCCTAACTTTCTATTGAGGTTCTGGGCCTGTTGATGGTAAAGAAATCATCACAGATCCATTGATTTTGGTTGGATTTTTATATTTTTTTCTGTGGAATGACTATACTGTTTGAAGAAAAGAATGGCATATTGGCTGATGTCAAAACTTGGGGGAATAGTTGATTGCCAATGAGGTAAAGATGAAAATATTGGAAAAAAAGTGAAAAAATTCCTTATTTTTTGGCATTAAATTGAGCCAAAATCATGTAGAAATGTGTTTTATGAATATTTTTTTCACTGAATGTTGTCACCACATGTGTTCTTTGCATCTGGAATGTATTTGTAGACAGTTTACCCAATCCATTCAGGATTTGAGGAAATTTTTCAAAATTTTCTATCACAAAATGAAGGTTACTGTAATAGCCTGGTGGCAACCTTAGCGGTTTTAGGAGGAACAGAAGTTGAGCCAGTTTACAGTGCAGATCCCAGTGCATTTATTAAAGACAAAACAAAAACTATTTACAAAAATTCCAAAAAGGTTAAAACAGGCATAGCAGTTACCTGCACTCACACAGCACCTCTCCCTAAACAAGGTGAGGCTGGCTTCTTTTAAAGGCCCTGTACTAATTGGGTGAGCCCACTTTAACGATCAGGTAAGCACCAATAATTTGTACATTTAATATCTAAAAACCAACTATCCAACAGTGCCCAAACAACATCCAATTACATACATTACAAAAATATATATATCTTTATTTAAATTAGCAGTGTTCAATGCCCTAAAATACTAAATAGAACCAGTTAAAAAATTGTGCTCCCCTCCTCCAAACAACATGGTTGGCTGCCCCGGAACCTTCTTAAGGTGCTCTGGCTCCCCGGGGACTCTTTTGGCCGGAGCACCTGAGGCAGACCACACCAGAGGGTAAGTACAATTACTTCAATTTAAATGCACTTTTACTTTTTCCCTTTTCTTTTACAGGTAACTTCAATCTGCACATACATTTTCAATAAACATTTCTTAAACTTTGTTTCAGTTCCTCATTTTACCTTTTAACTAGACCTAGGCCCAAGTAATGGACTGGCTACATTACAGTTACCTACACTAAAATGGCCACAATTTTTTTTCGCGATATTTCCGGAAGAGCAGACCCTCCAATTATTGGTCCTCAGGGTCACAGTTAACAAAAAAAACACAAATAAAAAGTATGGCAGGCGATGTCAGGTTCAACCCATTTTTGAGACTTTGGCTCCCCGACTATATGAACAGTTCTTCAGATAACTATAGCATAAATAACAGAACAGAACAAGTTTACCAAACTCTCCATCTCACTCCAAATCACTAAATCCATTCAATTCTTCATTCTCTGTGTCATTTCTGAGCAACTCGGTGACCTCTGTAGGTAAACAGAGCGCCACTTCCTCTTCTGTGTAGCTGTCATCAGACTCAGCATCAGTTCCAGTTAGAATTATTCGGGCCTTTCTGAAACCTGACAGGATGGTTTCGGTGTCACAGAAGTCTAGGCTTTGTCCATCCATCCAGTGACTTCAGGAAAGTTGCACCCTCCCAGTGTCACAAGTTTCTCACTCAGTCCAAACTTTCTTTCTGCTGCTTGATTACCGTTTTCAGCTGCAGATTTCGCTACTTGAAGTTGCAGGAAACCATGAAAAAAAAAATGAATCAAACCATGAAAAAAGTGCGACTTAGAGTGCGACTTAACATCCTAATTATTCACCACGATGAGACAACGCAGACTGCACATAGCAGACTTTTATCTTTACTGGGGCAAGACCTTTAAGTCCCCTTTGTTCAATGAAAATCATCCAAACTCAAACGTGAAATAGATGACTCCTCTTGGCATTTCCTTGCTGTCACCAGTGTCCTAAAATCACACACAATATAATAAACAACATCACACAAAAAGGATACTTACTCAGTTTTCAAAACAAAAACTTAACGAAACTTAATTGAATTGTTACCCTGTGTGTGTTCCAGGTATGGCCGTTACATAGAAGGCACTGGGTCTGTCCTGCAGTCTTCTCCAGAGGCAGAGGTGAGATGGCCCCAACACTCCCTCACACAGGGGACACATTCTCCGTGTAAATCTTAAAGCCACACTAAAAACTCACTTGTATGCTCTTAATAATAATATGTTGAGCAATTTTATTTCTATTTTCTTTGACATCCAGCCTTATTATTTGCTGTGCCTGTTTTCTCCTAAGGAGCAGTTCTTGTCACAAGAGTTCAGGGAAGAGTTGAAGGGCGCAGTGCCAGTAATAACAGTACAAATTTATGTCTTATTACTCATATAGTGCTTAATTGTCCCTATTTTGTCATAGTAAAACACTGGGACAAACAAAAATGAAATGTATTTTAAAAGAGTCCCAGTTTTGGGTGTTCTGGGACCCCTGCTGTAAAAGCATTTTGGGGCCATAGCTTGTTGTAAATGTGCTGTATAAAGCTGACTGTGACCCTTGACCTGCTGTCTGTGTGGTACAGGTGGAGCAGGTGTACAGGGGCCTGGAGGAGCTGAGCGAGGAACAGAGGTTAAAGCGTTTACAGTGCCTCAGACTGAGATACTTCACTCCCAGAGAAGTGGCCAAACTCATGGGTTTCCCTCAGAGCTTTGGTAAGACCTGACTCTCCACTTCATCCGCCAGCTGTCTCATATTAACCCCATGTTTAACAGCAAGGGGCAACTAAGAGTGGACTAAGAGCAGCAGTGATTGTAAGGGTTAACTGGGGTACAGAAAGGTCAATGAAAGTAATTTTGCTGATTGATATTTTTCATGAACGATTTTTTTCCACTTGACATTTTGCAGTGGAAACTCCCTAAAATGTAATATTCACATAAACAGAAACAGATTTTTTATTTTTTTTAATGTGGCTTTCAATCTGACCATAAATAAGCAGTGCTATTTAATGCCAAAAAGAACAGCTGTGGAAGAAGTACTCAATTTTGTTACTTAAGTAAAGTACAAATACAATGCTTAAGTATTGAAGGGCCCTTTGAAAATTGTGCATTTAAAAAAGTAATATTAATACATATCAAATGTAGTCATAAAGAATGTATTTCTTAATTTTATATATTTTCTTAATTTCAAGTGCAAAACAGGACTCAAAAGCTTTGGGAAGAATGTTAAAAATGACCATGCCCCTGTCTTGATATGTCTTGTCAAAATAACTCAACTGGTGCTCACGAACAAATGCCTGCATATTTACTTGAAGCTGCTTCAGTCTGAAGCTCTTGCCTGTCTATTATGAGGACCACACATATCCAGGCCTCACAGGTGTATGTTTGTGTCCTACAGAGTTCCCAGAGGACGTCCCGCTCAAGCAGAGGTACAAGGTGCTGGGGAACAGTCTGAACGTGTGTGTGGTGTGTAAACTGCTGCAGATCCTCCTCTCTTAGCACACACCACTGTCAGGATGGACACTACAGCCGGCACATGTGTGACCTGCTTTATGTCTAATAATTGTGGATTACTGGACCAGTCCTCCACTCTGAAACTGTCCCAAAGTTCAACACAAACGTCTGTGTCAGCACAAAAGAACTCTTACCGTAATCCAGGCTGGCATCATTCACTCGTACAGACTGCATGTCTGTAAACTGGACTTGAAGCATGGAGCAAGTGCATGGACCTGTTGCCTAAAAAAATCTGTTTAATTAAATGTTTATTTTCTTTTAGTATTACCCAGGGCTGAACAATTTTGGAAAAAATGTTTAGTTACATTTTGTGATTCATGTATGAATCACAAAATGTAACTAAACATTTATGTTATTTATGTTTCTGCCCAAAGTTAAGGCTGGAGTCTGACCTGCTAACCCAATACAAGAATCCCATTTCAGAACATGTTTCTGGGTTAGTAGGTTTTATACTGAAGCAGGCAAGATTTAGTTTTTTGTAAAAGAAAGCTAATTAGCTAATTAACACTGTTCAAATTCTATTTGAATCTTTGCCTTTTGGATGATAATCTCTGATAAAGATTTTCCAGTGATTTATGTAAATGTTTTGTCTTTTTATACACAATTTGCTAAAGTATTGGTACAGTGGGAAAAATATTAACTTAACAGTAAAACTGTATGTAGACCACATAGAGCATTTTATATGGAGTCGCGACATATTGTAGCAATAACACGGCAAAAGCATTTAGTTCCACCATAATAGGCATGTGTTGCCTGTTACAGCATTATTACCAAAACACTGTCATAAACCTCTCTATATAATTTCTAGACTCTGCACCTCAGCTCAGGGAACAAATAAATCAGTGTATTCTTACTTTTGTAAAAATGCATTCTTAGGAATTATTTTAAAGGACAAAAGGGTCATTACTCACTTTCAACACATTCTGAAGGGGTCAAAGAGGTTATTGGTGCACAACGGTGGCTGCGTCTCATCGAAGATTAAAATGACTAAACAAAACTTGTGGTTTCCAATAAATCCAATCCAATAAAACATGAATCTAGGTCTGAACAGAGGTGGGAGATGGCAGATAACACCTTTTTAAGTTACATACACAGAGAAATCTTGGTCCATTATAATATTGAAAGTACACATTATACTAAAATAATGAAGCCTGACTATAGACCTACACATGTATCTGAAAACAAATCATAATAGTAATGATTTCACTAAAACATAACTTCATATCATTATATTTCAGATTTGCAAAGTTTTTTATTTATTTTTTTTTTTTCTTCGAGAAAAAACTTAATGATTTTACTTCCTGGTTCCTTCAGGAGCAGACATACATAGCTGTTTCCAAGCAACTGTAATATAAACAAGGGCCAAAATGTGTCTAAATTGCACAATAGTTATGATTAGACTAATACAAATAAATGTCAAAACCTTTATTTTGTTAAATGAGGGTTTATTCTGTCCGAAAAATGCCTTCCTTGTGCATAAATTGTGTCTGTATTTTGGATGGAGTTTTCCATGTTGATGACATACAAGCAGAAGGATTCTATTTGATTTCTTGCTTACATATGTTTGTACTTTTACCACAAACTGCCACTTAAATGATGTGATAAATATTTACTATTCCATAAACCAAGTCAGGATCACTATCGCATGAAAACCTGGCCTATGCTTTTTTCTCTATCCTCAGAGTTCAGGGTCAGACGTGTCACATGACCCTTGTGTCGACCCTGCTACTCTGGCTGATGTTTAACTTGGACTCAGTGACAGGAGCGCACCTGGATATTCAACAGCTCGGCTTTATATCTTCCAAGAGCACTTTATGGTCCAATTCAGCTGACCACATCACAATCACCCTCGAGCACCAACAGGTGTTCATGGGAGTTTGCCCAACCAGTCCGCATGTGCTTTGTGGATCTGGAGAAAGCATTCAACTATGTCCTTAATGGTGTCCTGTGGGGGGTGCTCTGGGAGTATGGGGTTCGGGGCCCTTTGCTAAGGGCTGTCCAGCCCCTGTATGACCGGAGCAGGAGCTGTGTTCATTGCCGGCAGTAAGTTAGACCTGTTCCCGGTGCATGTTGGACTCTGCCAGGGCTGCCTTTTGTCACCAGTTCTATTCATTGTATTTATGGACAGAATTTCTAGGCGGAGTCAGGGGCCGGAGGGGGTCCAGTTTGGAGAAGACAGGATTTCATCTCTGCTGTTTGTTGATGTTGTCCTGCTGGCTTCATCAAGCCAGGATCTGTAGCACTGGGGCAGTTTGCAGTTCAGTGTGAAGCGGCTGTGATCTCCTCCAAGTCCGAGGCCGTGGTTCTCGACCAGAAAAAGGTGGCTTGCCTGTTCCGGGTGGTTGCCTCAGGTGGAGAAGTTCAAGTATCTTGGGGTCTTGTTTACGAGTGATGGGAGGGTGGAGCGTGAGATAGACAGAGATCGGTGCAGCAACTGCAGTGATGCAGTCCTTGTATAGGACTGTTGTGGTGAAGAGGGAGCTGAGCCGAAATGGCCATGGCTATGGTCATGAGCTTTGGGTAATGACCGAAAGGACAAGATAGTCGATAAAAGCAGTTGAAATGAGTTTTCCTTTTGAGAAACGTTTCAGATAGGGTGAGGAGCTCGGAGTAGAGCCACTACTTCTCCATGTCAAGAGGAGAAGTTGAGGTGACTCTGGCATCTGTTCCGGATGCCTCCTGGACGCCTCCCTAGAGAGTTGTTCCGGGCACATCTCACAGGGAGGAGGCCCCAGGGAATACTCAGGACACACTGGAGGGGTTATGTGTCCGGGCTGGCCCGGGAACACCTCGGGAAGTGTGTGTGGAGAGGGAAGTCTGGGCCTCCTTGCTCAGTATGCTGCCTTCGCGACACATCTCATACATACTCTGCACCTTTTAGAATCCTCCACAAAATAGACATTGCAATACACTGCAATAAAGCACCAGTTCCGCACTTCACAATTAGGCCTACACTAAATCAAGTCAAATCATATCTGAGATTCTTCACCATTAAGACACCAGTAATTGAATGAATGCTTGTATATTTTTCATGTTTTTGTATAAAAATGTTCTGCAGTTTTGTTTTAGAATACACTATGTGACTGTCTGATGGCACGTCACCTGTATGATTTCATGGAAATAGAAAGATTGGTGGTTTTCAGATTCGTGAATGTGATGATGTCGAACTGGGGGAAGAGCCTTCCTCTTTCCCATGAAATATCCAAAAGGTAAATGCAAACATGTTTGACTTGATCATTTCTCTACTTTGTACATTTATTGTAAATATGTAAAAGGATATTTACAGACAATCTGACCTGTAGCATGTTTTGGGTATATAACAACTGATACAAAAGTAAGCAGATTTATAATGACTAAAGAATCACCTGTACATGATACAGAGGTTCATTTCAAGATATTAAAAGGGTGGGTATCACTGGATTAGGGCCATACACCACATAACAAACCACCAAAAGAACGATATGCTCTTACTGTTTTAAAACATGCAGCACAATCACAACAGAACCTGTGTCTCCAGAACCTTAACATGCAGATAGAGTTTGTGGACAGATATGCCTCAGAAGCTCAGAGCCTCAAAAGCACTGACCCCTGCAAGAGTCCTAAACTAACTGGATTTCAGCATTGAAACAGGCAACCCAAATGAGAGACTGACAACACTAAAATATAATATACGGTAAATAACTTCACTGTTTTTAGTCTTATTTGTAATTAAGAATAAATCTGCATCACAATTGTTATCAGTAACAGTTAGATTTGTTTACTTCTTATCTTGGGACAAAGTTAGATCATGTTTATGGAATTTAAAATCTGAATTGTAATGGTTTCAGAATGGTTTGTTTGATTATCTGATGTGACTTCTATTTCATTTTATTAAACATATGTGAATGTTATGTCATTTTAAAATCAGCAATCACAGCTTCTTAGGAATACCAATAAACTCCTTTTAGTTTTTACAGTGTGTTTGTTCATGTTTCACACATGTTTTATGAGCACGTCTTGTTTCCTATAGGATCATGTCTCACAGAAAAAAGTATTTTTAAAGTACTGCAACATAAGTAAGAGCAAATTAAAAAGTAACTGTCAAGGGCGTAACATCTGATTTATAATTTGAGTTTTTGTAAGAAACAAAAACTTTTACTCAAGTAAGAGTAAGTTACAGTATGCTGTTAGGAAAGTACCCTGAAAAGTAAAGTTTCTTGAAAAAGTTTATATTTGTTTATATTTATATGAGAGTTATTAAAGATTAGAAAGTAAGTTTTTACGAGTTGGTTTCCTGACCACAGTGCAAACGGCTGGTTACTCATCTGCTCTGGTCATGTGCTGAAATGATGAAGCAGCTTTTTTCACATTAGGAACAATTTTGCTCACATCTTTTAGGTCATAGTCTTGGTTTAGTCCCCTCAGAACAGTTCCTATCGATGAGCCAGAGGACAAGGGGAGGTTTGCAGTGAGCTGGGCCCGGACAGAAGCACCATGGCGCGGAGATGTTGGCTGCTCTGGATGCTCCTGGTGGTTCTTCTGGTGGAACTTCAGGGAGAGCTGAAAAACGGAGAAAGAGGAGAGGAGAGAGCAGGCATCCCTGACCAGTAAGTTAAGATTTGTAGTTATGTATTAGGGATGCTTCATTAACAATATATATATATATATATATATATATATATATATATATATATATATATATATATATATATATATATATATATATATATATATATGTGGGCCCGGTCAAGCAGAAGTAAACAGCAAGGCCAAAAATTCAAGTTAATGCATCTGATATAAAAATGTATTCAACAGATACATATGTACTCTAGTTTATGAAACTGTTGACCTTCTTTCTGTACCATTTTTGGTTCTAAAGTTCCATACGTTTTAAACAGACCATGTATGAAACATAGAACAAAAATTATTTCCCAAATTTCAAAGACCTGCAAATCATGTAAATAAATATTTCATCATATCTTGTGTTATATATATCTTTGAACTGTTGATGAAGGTACATGATTTTTATTTATTTTTTTATGTATTTAAAATGATAAAAATTTGCTTGGAAGGACTGACATATTTTATAGAAATAGTTTCCTTTCATTTTGAAGTAATATTACAGTATAGAAGAAAAAAGCTGACAAATGATGCAAAATCATGCACCTTCTACTTGTTTACACAATTTTCCCTCCGTTACTTTTCCCTCCATTACCATGACCTTTCTTAATAAAAAATCTCATGACTCAAAAAGTAAGAGGTTTTTCAACCTAATCTTGTACCATATGGTAGAAAACTATATGAAGCAAATATTCAAACCAGTTTGTTAAGGATATGTAAGTGAGAACCACTAGTTATCACTGTTTGTATTTATTGCCCAAAAAGTGCTGCATATTTCATTCCCTCCGTTACTGACATGAATTTTTAAATTTTTTGTCAACAACTTGAAAGAATATCACAGGTTTAACTTTATCCTGTTGGAGTGTTAACTCTTTCCTACATTCTGATACTTTACTTATTTCAATAGTCCCTCTAGTTTCTGAATAAGAGACATTTGAATGTCAAAAATCTGTCCCTGTTTCCCTCTGTTACCGCTTGACCAGACCCATTTATATATTTATTTATTTATGTATTTATATTTATATATAGATATAGATATAGATATAGATATAGACATAGATATGGATATAGATATAGATATATACATAGATCTATGTTCTAATGTTGTTTCCTGATCACAAACAGACCTGGAGTTGTGTTGTTTCATACACACATACACATGTTTAACACTGAAATCCTGCACATTTAGACTCTTCTCTCAGACAGAAATCTCCCTGTTTTACCTTGTGTTATGTCTGATGTTTTAATACAGGAAGTGCTCTACTGTGTTTTTAAACTCCATACACCTTCACTAGGATTATTTGGATGATTTCAGTCCTGGAATTGTCAATCTCTACACTACATGACATCACAAGGTGGAACAGAACATTTTGAGTTTAGAAGATGTAGACAGATCAATAATAAAGTGTTACTCCAACATGTGTGAATGAAACAAAACTCCAGGTACTGTATGTTTTTGATGAGGTAACAGCATTCTAACAGGGTTTAAAGCTCACAGGAGTCCATTTTGTGTGATATAATATAGGAGCTTTAAGCTGTAAAGGAAGCACAAACCTTTTATCATGCATTAGTCATTTTTAATATAAAGTTGTTGTTTTTTTTAATATTAAGATATTTTTTAATATTAAGTTAATATTAAGATAGGGTGACCATATTTCCATTTGTGAAAACCCAGACACCTTACCGGGGGCGGGAGGTGGGGCCTCGACATTGACCTACAGTCGTCCCTCGCTGTATCACGGTTCACCTTTCGCAGTCTCGCTGATTTTTTTTATTTATTAATTTTTTTGTGTGTCAGTTTTGCATGTTTTTTTTTTTTGGTTTTGTTTTTTTAACACATGGGTGGGTCAGGACTAAACCAGGTCTAAACCAGGACTAATCTTGGACTTAAGAGAGAGAACGCCGAGCAGTTTGTCTGCAAAGCGCGATCAGGCAATTGCCACGTTTGAGGTGTGGAGCACTCCATTGGTCCCTGCTCTTGCGGTCACCTCCGGCCCGTCCCGACACTGACTCCTGGTTTAGTCCTGGTTCCGTCCTGGTTCAGTCCTGGTTCAGTCCTGGTTCAGTCGTGGTTCAGTCCATGGCGTAGGCAGCGCAAAAGCTTGATATAATCTCGGGTTAACGGGCGGGTGCGGTGTTGTACTGCCAAAAATGGACCCGTGCAGGACTCTGCGCTGTAGGGCTCTATTACGGAATAAATTAATCTTGGGTTCGTTACATAAAGAAGGAGGAAAATAACAAAAGGACGACAGCAGCAATAAGTTTTAAGAAGGACGCAAAAAGAGTTGTAACTGTCCTGTGTGAGAAAAGTGTATAAAGTGTGTGGTGAGGGGTTTTACAGTTTAAAACAGATATAATAATTGTAAAATATAAAGTTGACTACTTTGTGGATTTCACCTATCGCGGGTTATTTTTAGAACGGAACCCCCGCGATAAATGAGGGACCACTGTACTCTCACTCGCAACCTGTGCACATGGCCTCTCACTTGTCCAGACCGGGATGGAAAATTGAGAATTTCTTGTACAAGTCATTGTTAAATGCGCATTTCCGCTTCGGTATGTTGCAGGCTGACCGACTGTTTGTGTCTCGCTCCTTCTGAGTCACAGAGAACTACAAAAGCCGATCAATTTAATGCCCCCAATGAACTGTAATGAAAACCCGGACATTTCCATCACTTCAAAAAAAAAAAAAAAACAGACGCCCAGGACAAGACGCAAAATACGGACATGTCTGGGGAAAAACGGACGTTTGGTCACCCTATATTAAAGGTTGTATGGAGGATTTTTTTTTTGTTTGTTTTGTTTCAAGTTGTCAATGATAGCATTATAGAGGTGCAGTAGCCTTGTAATTATGATGACCAAAAAAAAGAGAATAAAAATGCATCAACTCTGGACGTGGTGGGGCCAGCTAAACATTTGCCAATAGATAACGACACTGCCTCGTTATCTGTTAGCTGACAGGCTGTCAATCAATCTCCCTACGTTTCTAGCGTAACTGACCTGCCTGCGCGCCGCCGGTACGTGGTTTACGTACGCCTGTCACGCAGTCCACAGACGCAAGATGCACAGACGCTGTTTACTCCACCAACGCAACAGTTCTTAGCGGCTTTTTTTGACCTATATCTTCCTCGCAGTTAGCACAAAGTTTGTTGCAATGGCAGACAAGAATCCAGGAGCAGTTAGCCGCAAAAGAAAGTCCGTTTTTGAGGTCGCTGAAAGAAGAAGACAAGGGGAAAAGCAGCGAAGCCAAACTAAGGTGATTCTTGTAGATTCATTCCAGCGATGGCGCGACTGAAGCAGACGCAGGGTCTAAAGACTGACGCATTGGTCGCCAAATTACTCCTGGACAGGTAACTTCTGCTTATTATGAAAACGTACTTTATTTCCAAGAGCTAGTCAAACGTTTTTCAGGACACGAAAGCGATATCCTATGTCTGAAAACGTAATTTTCAAGGCAAAGAAAGAGTCCGCTTGCTGCTGCGTGTTGTAGCTAGTTCATTCGCACTGAATCTCCGCGCAACCTTCTCTGCTCCCCTTTCCTACTCCTGTCCCCGCTGCCCGTTCCGCTCTTCCCCCTTCTCCTCACTTCTCGTCCGCGAACGAAATGTCCGCACACCGCTCCCCCCGCTCCTCACTTCTCCGCCTTGCCTAACCAACACTGTAGTTAGTTGTTTACAAGTCATGTGCAGCTCACCGGCTGTAAACAAACCTGTTTCTGGCGTAAAGAGGAGGCGGGAGAAGGCGTTTCTACGTAGGGAGCTGTAGGGGAGGGGGGGTGGTTTCACGCATGCGCAACATTTGAAAAAGGACAAACAGTCGCTGGATTTCTCGTTCCTTGGAAAATCCTCTATACAACCTTTAAGAGACACTGCTGGAGAATAAGAAGAAAAAATCTTACATTTAGAGATAACAACCTGAAACTTCTCCTGTAGTTTAATGACTCAGTGTCTCAGTTTGTTGACATATTAGATAAAGTGTTTGAGTTGACTAGAAATTGGGCTGTTTACATTTTGACTCCTTTTTTTTTTTTGGAGTTAAAACTTTAATCAATCAGATTTAGAATTGGGTATCTGCAAATCTTTCTGTACGATCTGTCAAAATCTGGTTAAATTAAGATTGTTATGTTTGGTGAAGAGAGGGGCTGAGCTGTCAACTGATCACCACCTGGTCGTGAGTTGGGTTCGCTGGCGGAGGAGGAAGCCGGAAAGACCTGGCAGACCCAAGCGTGTAGTGAGGGTCTGTTGGGAACGTCTGGCGGAGCCCTCTGTCAGAGGGACCTTCAACTCGCACCTCCGGGAGGACTTCTCCCGGATTCCGGGGGAGGCTGGAGATATGGAGTCCGAGTGGGCTTCATTCTCGGCCTCTATTGTCAATGCAGCTGCTCGGAGCTGTGGGCGTAAGGTCTGTGGTGCCTGTCGCGGCGGCAACCCCAGAACCCGGTGGTGGACACCGGAAGTAAGGGATGCTGTCAAGCTGAAGAAGGAGTCCTATCGGGCCTTGCTGGCTCGGGGGACTCCTGAGGCAGCTGACAGGTACCGGCGGGCCAAGCGTGCTGCAGCCCGTGTGGTCGCGGAGGCAAAAAACTCGGAGCTGGGAGGAGTTCGGGGAGGCCATGGAGAAGGACTATCGGACGGCCTCAAAGAGATTCTGGCAAACCGTCCGGCGCCTCAGGAGGGGAAAGCAGTTCTTCACCAACACTGTTTACAGTGCGGGGGGAGAGCTGTTGACCTCGACTGGGGACGTTGTCCGGCGGTGGAAGGAATACTTTGAGGATCTCCTCAATCCCACCGTCACGTCCTCCGAGGAGGAGGCCGAGGCTGGGGACTCAGAGGCGGACTCATCCATCACCCTGGCCGAAGTCACTGAGGTGGTTGGCAAGCTCCTTGGTGGCAAGGCTCCGGGGTTGGATGAGATCCGTCCTGAGTACCTGAAGTCTCTGGATGTTGTGGGGCTGTCTTGGCTGACACGCCTCTTCAACATTGCGTGGCGGTCGGGGACAGTACCTCTGGACTGGCAAACCGGGGTGGTGGTCCCTCTGTATAAGAAGGGGGACCGGAGGGTGTGTTCCAACTATAGGGGGATCACACTTCTCAGCCTTCCCGGTAAGGTCTATGCCAGGGTACTGGAGAGGAGAATCCGGCCGATAGTCGAACCTCGGATTCAGGAGGAGCAGTGTGGTTTTCGTCCTGGCCGTGGAACACTGGACCAGCTCTACACTCTCCATAGGGTGCTCGAGGGTTCATGGGAGTTTGCCCACATGTGTTTTGTGGATCTGGAGAAGGCATTCGACCGTGTCCCTCGTGGCGTCCTGTGGGGGGTGCTCTGGGAGTATGGGGTCCGGGGCCCTTTGCTAAGGGCTGTCCGGTCCCTGTATGACCGGAGCAGGAGCTGTGTTCGCATTGCCGGCAGTAAGTCAGACCTGTTCCCGGTGCATGTTGGACTCCGCCAGGGCTGCCCTTTGTCACCGGTTCTGTTCATTGTATTTATGGACAGAATTTCTAGGCGCAGTCAGGGGCCGGAGGGGGTCCGGTTTGGGGACCACAGGATTTCATCTCTGCTGTTTGCGGACGATGTTGTCCTGTTGGCTTCATCGAACCAGGACCTGCAATGTGCACTGGGGCGGTTTGCAGCCGAGTGTGAAGCGGCTGGGATGAAGATCAGCTCTTCCAAGTCCGAGGCCATGGTTCTCGACCGGAAAAAGGTGGCTTGCCCTCTCCGGGTGGGTGGGGAGTCTTTGCCTCAAGTGGAGGAGTTCAAGTATCTCGGGGTCTTGTTCACGAGTGAGGGAAGGACGGAACGTGAGATTGACAGGCGGATCGGTGCAGCTTCGGCAGTGATGCGGTCGCTGTATCGGACCGTTGTGGTGAAGAGGGAGCTGAGTCGAAAGGCGAAGCTCTCGATTTACCGGTCAGTCTTCGTTCCTACTCTCACCTATGGTCATGAGCTCTGGGTAGTGACCGAAAGGACGAGATCGCGGATACAAGCGCTCGAAATGAGTTTCCTCCGCAGGGTGGCTGGGCGCTCCCTTAGAGATAGGGTGAGGAGCTCAGTCACACGGGAGGAGCTCGGAGTAGAGCCGCTGCTCCTCCACGTCGAGAGGAGCCAGTTGAGGTGGCTCGGGCATCTGTTCCGGATGCCTCCTGGGCGCCTCCCTCGGGAGGTGTTCCGGGCATGTCCCGCCGGGAGGAGGCCCCGGGGAAGACCCAGGACACGCTGGAGGGACTATGTCTCTCGGCTGGCCTGGGAACGCCTCGGGGTCCCCCCGGAGGAGCTGGAGGACGTGTCTGGGGTGAAGGAAGTCTGGGAGTCCCTGCTTAGGCTGCTCCCCCCGCGACCCGGCCCCGGATAAGCGGACGAAAATGGATGGATGGATGGATGGATGTTTGGTGTATGTTGGTGCTGATCCTTATGTCCTGAAATGCATTTGGAGAAAACAGCCTTTGGAGTTACAAAATTCCATCCAAAGTCTATGGCAGCATGTGGATTAAATAATAAAACTGTGTTTTTGGGGACAGACTGGACAGTGTTGTTGTTTCCATGTTTCCAGGCATGTATGTTGTTGAGAGAGCAACAGTGGGTCTCCTTAGAAGCAGCTGTAGATTGGGAAAGTCTAAACACTTTTTAATCCTAATCAAACGTGTTTAGAGCTGGACTCTTTACTCAGTATTTTGATCACCACACAAAATGGGTCCAGTCAAGTGAAGAGTGGAGTGGACATGGCTGCTGTGATCACATTTGTTCATGATACGTGGGCTTCAGATGAGCAAAGCTGGTGCAGAGTCTTCATCCTCTTGAGATGGATGAAGTGAGTGAGCGTGTCACAGGGGTAGAGCTAGGGCCCTTAGTCACACTGTAACAGAAGACACAGAGCTCTGCTTTCACGGCAGAGGACACAAAAACAGAAGCCATTCTACAACCCAAGCACAGACTGAACCCAAACTGCTGTTTGCACTGACTTGTGTACTGATATACAGTTCAGGAAAAGAATATTGTGATAGCAAAGAGATCTTGCATTCAGTTTGGGAGTGTATGTTCCCACAGCCGTACATGACGAGCACCTTAACAGTGCTGAGTCTGATCATTAACTCTATGACAAGCAAACTAAACATGTGGGAAGTGGGAGACATAGGACCTGTTTTCAAACTTGGAAACACAGAGCTGGTTGCGTATCAGGTTGTCAGATGTTTAGGTTACAGCATTAACCAGATCAGCTCAGACCTATTCACACAGAGTCACATGATACTGACCATCATTACAGTGCTATGACACTATTTATTTTTGTATGCTTTCTTGTTTGTCATGCAGTCAGTAAGTTTTTATTTATATAGCGCTTTTCACAGACATTTGTCACAAAGACGCTTTACAGAGCATTATTCAATCACTCCATACCCAGTGATGGTAAGCTACTATTGTAGCCACAGCTGCCCTGGAGCAGGCTGACAGAAGCATGGCTGCCATGCCTATCAGCGCCATCAGTCCCTTTGACCACCACAATCACTCACACACACACCACTTTCATACTAGATAATGTGGGTGAAGTGTCTTGGCTAAGGACACAAATACAATTTTTGCAACTGGCGCCCCCCTGTGGCACCTGATTTTCCCTGTGGTCTCCGATCCAAGTACTGACCAGGCCCAGTCTTGTTTAGCTTCTGAACTCTTACAGGATCAGGCTTTGATAAGCTGGTATGGCATATAAAAATCTGAGGGTTGACATTTTAAGAGAGTCTGTAGACGTGGTAAAGCCACAGATGTATAAACTGTAAGTTACATGGTTTGATCAAAGCAGTGCTACTGGCTATGGATAGGCTATGTTATATGTATCATCTTCTGTCATCTTCCATCTCTGCTATAATCTGTCATATTTACACTGCAGTTAGAGACGATCCATAATATGCACTGTCCCTGTCAGATAAATAAATAAATCATCAGAAAAAATAAGATAATTGAATCTTACCCCATAACATCTTTTTTCAGTTGACATTTATAACTGCCCTAGTGTTGGGCCAACAACCAGGCCTAATGTGAAGAACAGGAGAGGTACAGGCCATAATCACACAACCTAAAAACAGCTCTTCAGATGAGCTGCATGTGCAGGGCAGACTGACACTAAGTGAAGTGGACCATAAGAATGACTATGAGCACAAACAGTGTACTGTATACTGTCTAGGTCTACTCTTGTTTGAAGAAAGTGGAGCCTGTAGGCTCATTTTTATTTTCAGTTTCTATCAGAGCACTGTAACAACTCCAAGATCCCATGTTCTGTCCACCAAAGCATGTCAGAATCAGAAGCACATAAAAGTCTGTCATATATACATTAGTCTGACTGCAAGCGTCTCTCTGCCTTTGTATGCTCTGATCTCCCTGCATCTCTGTGCAGACCCCGCATGCTGTCAGAGGACGGGCATCTGGTGTTCAGCCCAGCGAACAGCAAAGACATCTGCTTTAAGCCCTCTGCATTAGGCCGCGTGAAGGTGGGCGACGAGGACCTCACCTCGCTCATAATACAGGTAAGATCACACCATAGTATTTATGATAGGCTACTCAAGCTGGGTAAATCAACTTTACAAGTAAAATATAGAGTATAATAGTACAATAGAGTAGGGTTTTTCAAAAAGATCAAAACCCAGAAACTAATCAATACTAAAACTATTTTCACAACTAAATACTCACACTTAAACAAACATATTACATGAAATCACTCTTTTCAGAGCTCTTTAATGTTATACTTGTTTCCCCTCATCATTTGCCCTCGTGTAGTTGTATTTGGAGTGATTTGTGCATGTCTGATTCATCTTTAATGATTTATTTTCAAGACGTCTTTTTGCTCATCAACCCATTTTTTTCATTGGAACACACCCACTGTGACGTGCGCACTTTGTTCTCCAATTAGATTTTTTAAATCGGTGACACATGTAAGATTTGGCAGCATGTCATCTTTTCACAAATGAAAAATAATCACATGTTTGCTAGTGTGATGTGCAGATATCCACAGGAGGGCCCTTAGCATGCAGTGCTTTGGTGTGATGATGTTTATAGCAGGGTTAGCTCCCATTGGACAGCACACTTGTTTCTTTTATTAAGTCATTTTGATCAGTGTTATGATTTAAAATGTGCAAATTATAACATTATGATCCACAGGCATCACAGAATATAACTATAGAGCACAACCATAGTTAGGCCCGAGCACCAGAAGCTGGCGACGGGCCTATTAGTATCACAAAGCGATGCTCCTAGTTCTGTATTTCAATCAGTGTTTCTTAATCCCAAAAGAAGGGCAACAGAAGCACAGTGTAGTTTTGGTTCAGCAGCTCTCAGAGGGACCAGGAGCACAGACTGTATATATGAATGAACAATTAACATGCTAACTGATCCTGGCTCCCACTGACTTACACTGGAATATTGTGGCTACTCTTTCTGCTGCTGTGAGCCTCGTCATTATGGTCTTAAAAGTTCATATTAACCTGCTCTACATGATCCTTGTGTTTTGATTTCACTGTTTTGTCTGTTAAAAAAGTCCTGCTCAGAATACTGAGCCTGGCTCCAAAATCGCTCCTGTGACTATTAAAATAGTGAGCTTCATTTGAGTGGAGGCAACGCTGTGGGTGAAGTCACACTCAGTCCACTTCTTCATACATTCTGTGGTCAGGAACCGGAGGAAGGGCCTGGTCTTCTTGTGTCAGGACAGTGTGATTAAAGAGGACAAAGCTGTCCATCCTTCTCTGACCAACATGACCCAACCCAGAGTCCGGCACAGGTCATTTTTTTGAGACCCGCACCCGCCTGGACCCATTAACATTTTTCCGCCCATGCCCGTGATAACCCAGGACTAACCCAGGACTAAGGTGCCCCCGCGTAGACCGTCTGGTGACCACAGCAGAGCTCTGCGCCACATGGAGGTGAAGTGCTACAGTCGCCTGATCGCGCTTTGCTGACACCTGCTCTGTGTGCTCGGGGCTCTCTCTCTTAAGTCAGCGGGTACCTGACCTGGTGTAGGACTCTGACCTGAGCTGCCACAGTGAGAGCTGGAGAGATGCTGCGGCACTTGTTCCAAAGCCAAATGTTACTTCTCCCCTTCTCCCGCTACACCCCCTATATCCACGCAACAACCAAGGTACATGTGCATCTGCACAAGTGCATCATCGGAGAGAGTTTATAGTGCCACCGGAAATATTGTAACTCCGGAGGTGGGAGAGGGGGTGTGATATCATCGCATATCACGCTGTTGAGCTGCTATAGGGAGAAATTCCCTAACCGCGACAGCCCTAGATAAGAGCCATGACACCCGAGGATCAGTATGTTAGTTTTTGGACATTAAATTAAATTGCAATATTCATCTAAAATGATTTAATAAAAGAAACTGCTGACTTAAGCATTAGAAAACTGTGGTGTCCAGTGGGAGCTGAAGTCGATGTAAACATCATCACAACAAACGCCATGTCATTGATGAATCCTACAAGTATCACCAATGAGAAAGTACAGAGCAAGTACAGAGCAGAGGCCGTATAGAACAGCAGAACATGTCTGTACAGATCTAAACTACAGGGTTAGCAGATTTTATGCAGAATAAGACAGGAGATTTTGTTTTTTGTGGAGGGCATTATTGCAACAAAATTGCAAAATTTGCTTTCTATTCAAATTGTGATTTCGATTCGACTACCGTATTTTCCGCACCTTAAGACGCTCTGGATTATAAGGTGCACTGTCACTGAATGGTCTATTTTTGAAATTTTTTCACATATAAACGAAACACAACAGTTAGATAAGTCAGTCAAACTTTATTTAACGCATTCACAATAACTCTCAACTTTGTTCAGTTGTAACGCGTAAAAAAAATACTGTCTGAGAGGCTAAATTGTTAGTGTATTCACAGTAAATCATAACTGTCATTGGCTCCCTATGCGGTAGCCTCTCGATATTAGAGCTTTACGCACGCTGCTCTGTTGGAATGAGAGGGGCAGCATACGCCTGACCTCCCTGCAGGTGAGAGCGCGGTGGAGATGCCAGTTTAATGAGTGCCTAAAAGTCCGCATCTTTAAGTGCGCGCATGAGGAGAAGGGGCTCTGCAGCCGGCTCTTTATAAACTTTTATGAGTTTAGAAGGGACCCACACATTTCTGGGTCCCTGTGTAAGGCGCTCTGTCCTCCATGAGCAGCCGAGCAGCATGGCTACAAGGGACAGATGCGTAAGAATCTGGAACTTTTATGAATTAATAGGTTACGGGGCGTTACCTGTCACTGCAGATGGAGGCGCAGCAACGCACACTTGGCTTCAGGCGCAATGATACGACCGAGCAGAGAAACTACGAAAACCTGGATTGTGTGACAATTTGGACATTTTTGTGGATGGACAGGAGCAGTAGACATTCATTACCTGTCGCCAAAGACCAGGGCGCACGAGAATGCGCTGTGAAGCTCAGTGTGTTGTGGGAGTGAAGCGGTGCCGGACTCGCAGTCAGATAGAGGCACTAAAAAGATCAATGATTTAGGTATTTGGATATTTTCATGAATAAGGGCTAAAGGACTGGGATTTTACCTGGTCATGGAGGACAGAGCACCTTACACAGGGACCCAGAAATGTGTGGGTCCCTTATAAACTCATAATAGTTTATCAAGAGGCAGCTGTAGCTCTGCTTCTCCTTGTGCTCGCACTTATAGATGTGGACCTTTACGCACTCGTTAACCTGGCACCGTGCTCTCACCTGCAGGGAGGTCAGAGCAGTGTGCATAAAGCTTTGCGCGCTCTAATGGCGCAGAGCATGCCAAATACCCTGCTATACGGGATTACGGTTCTCTTTCTCTATCTCTCTCTCGTCCAAGATTAGTCCTGGAGTAGTCCTGGTTCACCGTGTCGGAATGACAGCATCAAAGTGTCGGAATGGGGGCAACAAAAAGTGTCGGAATGGGGGCATGTTGGGGTGGAGGGTTGTCGGAATGACAGTATGTCGGAATAGGGGTTGCTGCCCCGCATGGTGTAAGTCGTACTAACACTAGAATAAATTAGTATATAAGGCTCTAGTTTATAAGGCGCGTCGTTTTTGGATGAAATTAAAGGCTTTTAAGCGCGCCCTATAGTGCGGAAAATACGGTATGTAATTTTGCAATGTAATATGGCCCAAATCAGAATTAACTTTGCAACAAACCACCAAAGTGCAGACATATCACTGTATCTTTGTTTCAAAGATTACAACAATTGTGATTACTACAGCATTTTTTTAAGATTTTTGAAGGTTTTTATTACGTCGCCATCCTTGTATTCGAATTTTGTATGTCGTCATATCGGGTATTTCCGAATGATCTTGCAGATAAAATCTGTCCCATAATAAAATTGCATTAACCTGCTCTGTGTTGTACATTTTTGCAGATTAAATCAAACAAAGCAGATATCGACAACATTAAAGCCAATGGAGGACCAGTGCCCCCAGAGGTCACCACCAAACTGAACCAGCTCAGCACCAAGGTCAGACCACCTCTGCCTCTCTGTCTAAAGTCTGAAGAAGCAGCAGTATGACTGTGGTGCCCTCATCCTGCTGGACTGTTTAGAATCCAGACACTGACAACTGTCACTCATCACATAACTAATACATGTAGCTGCTGCTGATAAATAATCCAACATACACCTTTGATAATACTTCCTGTTTATTTAGAAAAGCAATATTCTTTATAAATGGTATTTATTCCTAGCCTTTTCCTCTTATAGCAATAAGTGCACTGTTAAAATTACATAAGGTTGAAATTATAGACTAAAATATTACAATATGATTATGTTTGTTGTTCAAATACATCATATTTGACTGACACAGATGAATATTCTTAATCTATAGCAATATGATATGTACTTTTAAAGTGAATGTGTTACAAACAGATTTAAGGCCGTGTTCATATATATTTTAATGATGGTGTTTAGACATCATTTTGTGGTTTATTCAGGTTCATGGTTCATTATTTGGTTTATAGACTGGCACAAAGTTCAGCGTCTTGTCAGTCAGCACAATGAAATCATCCTCACCTGCCTGTCTTCTGTTCTGCTCACAGCAGCCCTCGGATGACGTATGTTTCTCTCCTTTCAGGTCACCACACTGGAGACCAAAGTCTCCAGTCTGGAGATGGTAAGCTCTAATTTATGTACGGCTAGAGATTTTGAAACTTTCCACCTCAGAAAAAGTTACCCACGAACCAATGGTCTGCAACTGGTTTAAAACAAGACTTGGGCAAATTACAATAGGACAACCAGGACTATATCTAAGGAATTATGTATGATCTCAGACGTTTTGTATTACCGTCAGAGCACACTTTTTTCAGGTGCACAGCTTTACCTACTAAGTTTGAATTAATCCCGATAAAGTCTGATCCAAAAAGAGACTCTGTCTACTGTATACTCTGAGCACAGAGCAACATGTGTCTTTATACTGTTTGAAATGAGACTGGTAGATTCTATGATTCTGATTACTATTACGAGTTACTGTATAACTTGTGTTGTTGTGCAGACGGTGCAGAGGGTCTCCTGCAGCAGTAACCCCTGTCAGAATGGAGGCACCTGTCTGAACCTGCTGGGCTCCTACCACTGCCTGTGCCCACTCAACTGGGCGGTCAGTATGTCCGGTTGCACATACAAACTCAAACATGAAGCCAAAGGAATGGAATTCCTTGTTTCCTACACTAACAAATTTATGTTACTGGAGTAAAAAATGTAGATATCTGTACTTAATTAGATTTTAAGGTGGATAGTTTTCACTTTTACTGCACTAGTGAGAAAAGGAGCATCACTGAAAAGTAAAAGTATATTATATTACAGTTTGAGACCTGCTAAAACAAATTTACACATAAAAACAGCTTCAAAAAAAGCATTATTATTATTCCATTGTTTCTGTTGAACCAATTTCAGCACAAGTCTGCATCAAAATCACTACATTTGAAGCTTTATTAGCTCTCAAAATCAGCACACAGTACTTTACTTTGATTCTATTACTTAAGTAGATTACTTCATGTGATACTTTTACTTTTGCTTGAATATTTTTTGCTTCGGTATCTGTACTTTTACTTAAGTAACAAAATGAAGTACTTCATCCCCCACTGTCCAGACGTTGAAGAAGGCGTGCAGCTTTTCTTCTTGTCATTCCGTCAAGAAGAAAAGTTGCATAGTGCACGTCTTCAAGTTTTTATTGCTTGAAGATAGATATGTTTAATGCCATACTGTGGAACATTCCAATCAAAGTAATACCATTTCCATGGAAAAAAGTAAGTTTCAGACCATCCATCAGGTTGTAGGGCACCTTTAAAACACCTACAGCTCTACTTTACTTAGCTCAAGATGGAAAAGTCATGGAAAGTCATGTGAAAGTGGTGTGTTAAAACATGCATGTCTGAGTTGTTTGTATACACTGTTAACACTGTATATGACTGTGTGTTCTCGTTGTTAGGGCACAAACTGTGACACAGATGTGAATGAGTGTCAGACGTTGGCAGGGACTCTGAGCGGCTGTCAGAACGGAGCCACCTGTACAAACACGCCCGGAGCCTTCTCGTAAGCATCACCTCTACTTTATACACGTTCTTTACAATGTACTCAAGCAAAAGTACTGTTCTCTATTACCATAAAACATTTAAGCAGTATATTGGGTTCTTGACGTGATGCTCATTTTTGGCATAATTACTTTCGAAATAATATTTGTCTTCCTCCAAAATTCAACTCAACTGTGTACAAATATATATTATATTATAATATGTATTATATAAATTACATATAGTTTTAGAATAAAGTTGTGTTACAGTTTCTTTGTATTTTAACACTATTTAAGTCTGAGTCTCTTGCATCAGAGACAGTGAATAAAGGTGTTGGCATAAAGGGAAGTGTGATAGAAATTTATACTGTGGAAAGATTTCTTTCAATCTGGCTTTGTGTAAATTAATGTGAATGTACCCGAGACCAGACCCCCACAGGAAAATACTGATTATGATTGATTACATGAAAATAGTGATTAGTTTATCTTTTAGAAACACATTTGGTCTTGTAACTAAAATACATTTGGTTTGGTAGTTAAAGACAGTGTTAGAAAGACCCCTCAATGTAAATACTTCTGTTCCCTTTTGCGCGTTAATCTTGTCAGGAAGTAACAAATGTAGGTGAATATGGAGGCAAATCAGATTAAACACATCTGGCTACACCTCAGAAGGAGTCATCACCTTCTCAGTTTGAAATGTATGTCCTCTGGTCATCTCAGGCTTTATAAACTTGGTGCTTTGTAACATTCAGGGTGAAATGGGGCAAGATGTGGTAAATGTGGCTCAGAGAGGCTGTTGGGCTCTGGCCAGGGTAGGCCTAAGCCCTGTCCATATCTGCTGTAACAAGAATAAACCTTGGTCTATATTCCAAAAACTCATCTGGCTTTGCAAATGGATTAATTATTTATCATCAAGAGATGCACATTTTTTTCTGCAACAGGAGGCATGTCTACCAGGAACAGACTGGGACCAAAAACAGACCCTGAACACACAAAGATTAACTACTTCTGATTGTACAAAAACACCTAAATCACTTCATTTTTAGAACAGATTTATTTTTGAAAATAATTTTTGAATTTTGCTATAAAGGCGTGTCACACCACAGGACAGAAAAAAAGTTGTTAAACCCCCAAATGTCAAGTAAATTTACACTTTATTTGCAAAGTACTGCTGTGTTCACAGATTCTCTCGCCTCTACTGGCACACGCTATTGTTATTTGACTGATTTAGTTTTGTACATTTTTGTTGGAGAAATATCACTGAGATCTAATGAGATGAGGCTTTGAAAAGCAGGGATGACTGTGTCTTTACTTACAGTCACTTCTGATAAGTTTATGATAATATAACAAGCTAAAAGAAGCCTGAAATGTGTCATACCAGTATACTGGCTTATAGCGTGTTTCTGATGGAGAAAATTTGACTATTATGGCCGCAGTATTATGACTCAAGCAAGACTGAAAAAGTGTCAGATGTTGTTTAATTCCAACTGCTAAAAAAGATACTGTGAAAATTGTGATATTCCCAAGATCTTAAAATTGGGGATGTATTGTTAAGGTAAACAGAACAATTATATAAACTTTAGTTTTTTCACTGTGTGGGGAAGCTGGCCAAAGTGGTCGAAGTAGGAGGCAGATGACACAAAAAAAAGGTGTCTTACGCAGACAAAATTTATTTTAAAAACAGACTTCTGGGTTTAACCAACAAAAATGCAAATAGACAAAAAATAAGTAACTCAAAGCAAAACACCAAATACCTGCAGAGAAGTCTCCCCCTAATTAGTGACACCTGCTTGCCTTTTATACTCCGCCCAGGAGGAAGTACCTCCCCCAGGTGAGTAACAATTCCAGGTAAAGCAAAGCAAAAGGTGTCTTTCCAAAATCAAAATGGTTAACATAAATTAAGGTGAGTTTAAAATAAGACAAAGGCCCACTTTGTCACACACTGTCAACATAATGCTGCAGACTAACTAAAATGGAATGACTTGCGTACCTTCACTTTAAAGTAATATTATACTAATACTGAATACTTGTGTACTGAAATACACATACATTGTTAAAGAAGTACTGTCCTCACTCACCCTCTGGTCCTGTGTGTCCTGTTCAGATGCAGTTGTGCTCCTGAGTGGAGCGGGACCCTGTGCACCCAGCGCTATGACGACTGCAGGAACACAGGCCAGGATCTGTGTGTGCACGGGACCTGCATCGATGCAGACCGCATCACGCCCGGACAGGTACCACATACAAATACGAGAAACATAGGTCAGGGTTAGAATATAGTCAGCTGGGTCTTGAGCCTTGGACAGGGTTTTTTAGTTGTCCTCTTTATATACATTAAATTACAGATAATTTAACATTACAGGTAATTTAAATTACATTACATGACATGACCCTGTCACAATCTGAAAAATGTAATGGTGTGTTATTGAACAAATACATTTCATGCAGACAAGAAGAACCATTCACATATTTCACCCATTGCACCATTACTGCCCACTCCACTCATTGCATTTCATGTTCATTCAGAAGGTAACATTAATTAGTTCTCTACATGTAATATAAAGTTACTGTGTGGAATATAGAGACAGTATGAACGGTGACTTGCAGGTGTCCTGACCGTGTACCTGACTGTGTACCCTCTCGTACAGCCCAGGTACCAGTGCATCTGTGAGCCTGGCTGGGACTCTCCTGCGGGGAACCCAGCCTGTGTGGCTGATGTGGATGAGTGCAGTCTGCCCAACAAGCCCTGCTCCTCCAACCCCCCTGTGGAGTGCTTCAACACACAGGGCTCCTTCTACTGTGGGGCCTGTCCTGCTGGTACTCTCAGAACTGTTCAACATTATACAAGTGTAAAAGTCTAATACTGAGTATGTTTTTCATCCTGCACTACAACTGGATATCTACTGCACAGCCCTTCTTCTCAATGACCACTAGTAAATTCAATTGATTAGCTCTGATTTGTCCCAGCACGTCCTCTTTATGAGTGGTTGTGGAGTATGTGGCTACTCTATTAAACAACTGAAGGAATTAAAAGCCTCTGAATGCCCGTGTGTTTGATTGCATGTCTGTTACGCAGGTATCTGTTAGTCACTGTCAGGACTGTATGAGACCAAATGGACATTAGTAATATAAATATATTACTATAATAATGCGGTGATGTGATGTGGTCCCAGGCTGGCAGGGGAACGGCTACAGCTGTCAGGACGTGGATGAGTGCAGCATTAATAACGGCGGCTGCTCCACCTCTCCTCTGGTGCAGTGCCTCAACACGATGGGCTCCTTCCACTGTGGCTCCTGTCCTCCTGGTAAACACACGCAGAAACTAGCATTAAAGTGTATGGGGCAGAATTTCATGTTTTTACTATTTATGACTTGGTTTGGTGGAATAGGTTTAGGTTATTTGCAGTTTGTATTTAAAAGCCACATAGGAAAAGCATGTGCAAAAAGCTCAAAGTGCACCACTGACACTGAAACAAAACACAAAGTAAGATTAAGTAGCCAAAATATTAAGGGGCTACATCAAATATAGGTACATCAACGAGATAGTACCTGTGGTCAATATTTGTCATAGTTTAGTTTAGTTAAACGCAACATGACACACAATATATGCAATCTTTTTCTCATATTCTCTCATAAGTTTTAGTCAGAAAATGATCTGTTGAGACATTTCTGTTATAAAACATAGTCTGAGGTTTCAAAAAGAAGATGGGAGAGAGCACTGTGTCTGTAAGAGCACAGACTGTAACAGCTGAGTGTGGGAGGAGCTACTGTCTGTCTCAAATTGATATCGTGACCCATGTATTGAGATACCGAATCATGGGAAAACTATATCGTTACATCCCTACTATCTGTGTCATCAACACAAAAGTTCCATCCAAAATGCACACAATTTACACAGAAGGCAGAGTATGAAGTAAGAAAGCTTTCAGAAATATTTGTGCGCATAGAACAGAAATCCGTGCGTATTTGGGAAATCCGTGCACATTTGGCTGTAGTTGCGCATAAAATAAATATTCGTAAACTCTCGAATGAGTCCAGTCGTACATAAAATATATTGTGTGTATTTGATCCATCAGAATACGAATTGAAAATGTAACCCACGTCAAGTAGCACCACTACCTGTGGCACCCTTACTGTGGCGGGATAACTTCCCTTAAGTTCCAGCATCCCCACACACACCCCCGCTTCCTGCTCCTCTCCTCCGGTGCTACGACGCTGCTGCTCAAACACTTGGGAAAAAGCATTAATCACGGATCTAATAAAGATTTGCTGAAGCCGATTCACTCTTCTTTCATTCCCCTCAGTTACATCTCAACGGTGAGTGACAACACTACATCTTCTGAAAAATATCTACGTTTTCCTCGAACCTGTCAACACCCACGTACAGCCAGCTAAGCTAACGCTAACTACCTCCACAAACAAATGCGGTCGGCGTGACTGATAAATGGACCTTTTAGTTTAATCCCCCCTTTATTTTACTTTTTACCTAACCCGAACATTTCACCAAAACCATCAGCGTTGCACAGATATATTTGTATTTGGCCGCCCTGAACATTTATATAGTGTTTGATACCTTTTAAGCACGAGCCCAAGCGGCTATGGTTATTTTGAATGGAACCGGCTGCGCAACAGAGACACTGAATGAATTCTGTTGATATTGATTTTGATTTATTTGTTAAAGGTGCACCATATTTTTGTAGTTTTATTTGAGTTTAGTAGTAGTATTGATTATTGGTCAAATGATAACCAGATGTTTATTTTTGTGCGTATTGAATTATGACATTGAATAATTAATTTTATTTCCTTTAATAATGATTTATTACATCAGCTAAGGTTAATTTAAGTTAATTAAATTCTTTGCTAATGTCTGTTTTACTGACCCTGTTCTAGGTCAGGTTTTTTTCTCCCCACTGGATCTTTCTATTGCACTACTACAACTCAACAATGGCGAGCTACAGACTCCCCGCATGAATCGCGGTAGGACACAAACACCCCTTTCGTAACACCGGAACCTACTCTTTTGGATTACAATGACTCTAACTAAGCCTTGGATTACAATAACTCTAATGGAACATACCACCCTCTACACCCGCTTATAAACTGGACTCAGACTTTTGAAAGACAATTACTGGTTGTGTCATTTTTTGTGTGTGTTTGATTTTATTTTGTTAAACTCTATATCTATATCTCTCTCTATATATCTCTCTCTCTCTCTCATATATATATATATCTATCTATAGATATAGAGAGATATATATAGATATATATATATAAATAAATAAATAAATTCCTGGGCGCCTCCCTCGGGAGGTGTTCTGGGCATGTCCCACCGGGAGGAGGCCCCGGGGAAGACCCAGGACACGCTGGAGGGACTATGTCTCTCGGCTGGCCTGGGAACGCCTCGGGGTCCCCCCGGAGGAGCTGGAGGACGTGTCTGGGGTGAAGGAAGTCTGGGAGTCCCTGCTTAGGCTGCTGCCCCCGCGACCCGGCCCCGGATAAGCGGACGAAAATGGATGGATGGATAAATAAATAAATAAACAATTACGCTTTCCCCAGTATGAATTCGAATTCTGACGCGACTTTACTGTCAAAAATACGTCATCACTTCATTACTGCGCATGTGCTAAAGTTGTCCCGTTCAGATTTCTACACAATATTACACAGCAGCGTTTGGTTCCCGAACTCAATGTGACAAGACATTTTTACAATAAATTTTAATGAACCCACCTGTTGGTTGCTGTTGTAGCTCCTTGTTGTGCCATTACTCCATTTTTACCCTCTGCTTCAACTTTAGCACATGCGCAGTTTTGATCGATGTTTCTACTGCTCGATAAATAATGTCTGTGAAGTGATGACGTATTTTGACAGTAATGTCGCGTCTGTGAATTCAAATTCATTCTGGGGAAAGCGTAATCTTAATTTTCACTTTGTGATTGTAATTCTTGACGTCGTAACTTTTCAATTCGTATGCTGATGGATAAAATACACAGAATATATTTTATGTAAGACTACACTCATATGAAAGTTTACAAGTATTTATTTTATGTGCAACTACAGCCAAATATGCACGGATTTCCCAAATACGCACGGATTTCTATTCTGTATTCTAATTTAATATATTCTGAAAGCTTTCTTACTCCATACCATTTTCTCACAGTTTACGCATTTATTTAGAACAGTAAAAGTGCAGTAATTATGTTTATTCATCTAATCATAACTATTCTGCAATTTAGACAGGTTTTGGCCCTTGTTAACTGTTGCTATGTAACAGTTAATAAGGGATAACAAGTTAACAAGATTTACCTCTATGCATGTCACGTCTGCCAAAATGTAAAAACTAGAATAAAATGTCAGCATCATTTTTTGCAAAATCTGAACACACAGCATCAATGCACAATATCAGAGCCATGAGGTTCAGGATGATCAGCCAGTGCTTGAAGCACTGCCTCTGGTGGTCAGTAGGTATGAATTAGAAATGATGTTATGTGTTCAGGTTATGAGGGCGATGGTAGAACCTGCACCCAGAGCAACATCTGTGAGACCAACAATGGAGGCTGTTACCCACTGGCCACGTGCTCCTCCACTACAGGTACACACACTTGTAAAACCTTTCTCTATTGTGTTCTATTCTGGAATATATCCTCTACTCTACTTTCTGTGTCTGTCTCTTTGCTCATGTCCACTCTGTGTCCCCCACGCAGGCTCTAATCTGCCCATCTGCACCTGTCCCCCCGGTTACACTGGCAATGGCTATGGACCCAACGGATGCACCCAGATCAGCAACATCTGCCAGACCAACAACCCCTGTGTCAACGGCCAGTGTGTGGTAAGAGAGGAAGGGTGCTATAGTGCAGTACAGTGTAGATGTTTTACAAGCATTAGTTTTATATAGCACTTTTCAAGATGCTCAAAGTTGCTTTACTCTTTGGTGCATTATTCATTCACTCTATACTTTGTGAGGCTGCCAATCTGCCCCTCCCACCACACACTCACACACCACATTCGCACTAGACGGTGGATGAAATGTCTTGCCTAAGAACACAACAACAGTTTTACCACTGGTGTCCCACTGTGGCACCTGATATTCCCAGCGGTCTCCCACTCAAGAAATGGAAAAATAAATTACAGAAAATGTAATGCCTCTGAAAACAATATAACCCAACCCAAGCCGACTAATTTCTTTAGTCGGCTACAGTCCTAGTAGAGAATAGTGTGGACATTTGGACACAGCCCAAATCTGCATCTAAAAATCCTGAAATGCGCTGAAAGTGAAAGTAAACTGTTGTCATCTGCTCTGTGTCTGGTCTCTCAGTCGACCAGCTCGTCTCAGGGGTACCAGTGCATCTGCAACCCGGGCTGGGCAGGACCGCACTGCGACCAGAACATGGACGAATGCTCCAGTGTCCCTTGTCAAAACGGAGGGACATGTGTGGATCAGGTCAACGGCTTCACCTGTACCTGCCCCAGCCAGTGGACCGGGCCCCTGTGCCAGACCCCACAGCAAGGTACAGGGAGGGAGGGTCAGTCATCGTTTAGACTTATTTCAGTGTTGAATTAATTATTATAAACTTTCATCCACTTAACATAGTATCAAAAGAAGCATTCTAAAGTGAGCCTGCGTTTCTCTGTGCTGTTCTCAGAGTGTGGTGGTGTCCTGACCGGCCCAGCTGGCTCCTTCAGTTATCCCAACAACCCTGGTAATGACGAGTACGAACATATGGTCAGCTGTGCCTGGGTCATCCGCACTGAACCTGACAAGGTCCAAAACTCGATCTATACACATTTTATCAGCCAGGTTTTTTTGCCCAGAGCTGTAAGATTCAATGCAAGCTACTTGTTGAATAGTTGATGTCTTCTGCAGATAACTCTGCTTTGTTCACATTGTATTGGTTTGGTCATGGTATAGTCCAGAATTTGTTTGCCAGTTTAGTTCTGTTTCAATTCTAAAATGAATGTATTGTATATACACGTGCGCATGTGTGTAAAATCCCTCAGTCGTCCAGGTAGAATTCATGGCAAAAGGAGAAATTCAATCTTTCTACTGGACAAACATTTACTTAGTTTGAAAATGTTTTACAGCTCATCCAAGCTGCTTCTTCAGTTCTAGTCAGACCTTGTTGGACACTTCCTTATATCTGCCTGAAGAGAGGAGCTAACTACAATGACACTACTCTGACAGTAACACACCTACCTGTTTACCGTTTCTGTTAGATAGCTCAGTCTAATTGAACTGCACAGAGTGTGTGGTCATGGAGATGTACGGCAGACTTAGGACCACTATGTCTCTCCAACACAATCGAGAGAGCCATAGTGGACCTCAGTCTGCTGTACATTTCCTCCTAAAAGCCATGAGCCATTCCTTTGAGGACAGTGAGGTACAGATCTGAGCCAGAGAAAACAATTGGTTTGAGAGGTTAGTTAAAGAGGCTATTTTTGTTAAGACAATCCATCCTTGAACAGAAATGGAGGCCTCAGACATAATCTGTCTCCTTCTACAATCCCGTCCTCAAACCTAAAACTAAAGGGATAGCCAGGTCAGGTCCAGAGGTGTGAAAGCACCATTATGGGTCTGAATGATTCTGCTGATATGACCCCAGACTCAGTGCAAGTTCAAAAGACCAAGCTAAAAAAAACTGTATACAAGTAGGGTGTTAGTTTCAGAGTAGTTTCATTGTAGTTAGCTCCTCCCTTCAGGCAGATATAAGGAAGTGTCCAACAGCATCTGACTAGAACTGAAGTAGCTTGGATGAGCTGGGAAACGTATTTGACCAAAATAAACTTTTATCCAGTTGCCAACTTGAATTTCTCCTTTTGCCAAGTGTGCATGTAGTTTAAATATTCAGTCTCCATGGAGTCGTAAAAGTCCTATATTATTGTGAGCTTGAAGCTATAATCCTGTTACTAAAAGAAAAAACAAACAAAAAAAACAGTAGTTGTGTTTTGTTTCGTTCACACGTTTCAGTAAACCTGCATTATTAGTCTTATTGCGGCGTATGTAGCCCAAAGCTTATCCCACACGCCGCGGCAGGCTAAGACACGGGGTAAAACACTGTGGACGCGTAACTCGGAACAAATGCACATATACACGGTACTTGTTTGTAATGGTAGGCATACACGTTAGAGCACTTACTTTAAAGCTGCTGCCGTCCGTAGCCATGCACCGATTCCTTCTATATGCAAATCTTTCCTGTTAAAATACGGTCAACAGAAAGTTGCTCCCCGTGCTCACCCCACGACCCATGATCCAAGGCCTTACACCAGGGGTGCTCACACTTTTTCAGCATGCGAGCTACTTACAAAATGACCAAGTCATAAAGATCTACCTAATACAAAGTCAAGCAAACTGCACTGAAACACTCCCCATTTTTGGACCCTCACCCACAGTTTGAGATCCCCTTCTTTAAGAGAACTTCCTCTGGCACTTTACACAAAACTGTGAAAAAAGTGAAGGAAGATTTTTAAACCTGTTTTTTAAAGTTCCAACGTGGAGTTGCATTCTTCTCTGGTTTTGCAGTGATATTTACCAGCCTCTGCACGTTTACCAAACCAAACACACATCGTGACAAACACAGATGCATTTGTGCACTTTTGTTAGACAAATTTCAGCCGAATGTGGCAGTCGGTCTGTTCTGTAGGTCTGCTCTATGCTGTAGACCTGCTTTGTGCCAACTGTAACATAAATTTAGACTCGTTTTTGCCACACGTTTGGTCTTGCTCTTCTAATCAGTGCACACTGTGGAAGGGGCTTGTGTTCGCTGTACGCAGGAAGGAGCGAGAGCGTGAAAAGGCGAGGGGTGGCGTGCTGACGTGAGGCAGATGGACAGGTAGGATGTTTAGGAAGTTTAACCTGCCCTGTGATGCAGGCTGGTACACGAGGGCACACGCTGTTGCAGACGAGCCGTGCATAGGGAGCGTGTGTGTTTTTGATGTGCCGTAGAGTCTCCGCGGGCTGCACTGAGACGCCCCACACGCTCCTGCAACCCGGTACAAGTTTATTGCCAACAGCAGCGGCCGTAATGAAATATGATCGCACTTGTTGAGTGTCAGACCTTGAGTGAGAGTCCAAACGTGAGTCCGAGACGAGACACGGCGATCTACCCACACGACCTTGGCGATCGACTGGTAGATCGCAATCGACGTATTGAGCACCCCTGCCTTACACTGAGCAGGTGAGTGTGCTCATATATAGGCCACACCCCACCCACCGTGCCACGTCCCGCCACTGCAGTGTAGTGCACAGAGTTAAAGCGTGTGCACATTAGTCACGTGAGGAACCCAATAGAAAACCCAGGAATGGCTCCTACAAGTTTGTCTACATTTCCAGTGGTTAAAATGCTCTATTCCACCTTGTGATGTCAGCTGAAGTGAACAGCTCCTTTTACCTTTAGTTCAATAGAGAGTGCCAAATTCAGGGAATCTGACAGAATCATCCAAATGATTCTTCTGGTACGGGATACTTCCTGTTTCATAAAAAAGAAAATACTTGTACAAAATATCTGTACTGGGGCAAAACCGATTTTACTGAACGAGAGGGTGCATTTGTTTTTGAGCTTTCATTTCATCTCTTTATTTTATTGAGACAGGGACAGTGCACAATTTTTACATTAACCTTAACAGGAGAGATGCTTGTACCAGGTTGTAGCACCAGTGCTAATTTCCACCTGTAGTCCCTGGGCAGGTTCATTGATTGATTGCATTTAACTGATCTTGGCTATTGGGGAACCTGAAGCGCCCAGAGGAAACCCATTCCAGACACAGGGAGAGACATGCAAACCTTCTTGTTGTGAGGCATGAGTGCTAGCCACTCAGCCACCATGCTGTTTTGTACTATGTCACAATGTTCCATTCATGCTTTATGCTTGAAGAGGTTTTAGATGTCATTCATGCATGTCTGAATATTTTAGAGATTAGCTGTAAGGTTTTGTCCAATGCTCCTCCCAGGTCTACGTCCCCCATGCTCCCACACAACAATTCTTTATAGGTATTCAAAACCATGATACAAGATTGTACACGGCAACATAACAAATGCAATACAAGTGATGCAATGTGCAGTAGTTTCATTAGCAGGACTCACTTTGATTGTGTTATAACGCTCTGAAAGGGAAGTAACTTGGCACGGAGAGCAAAGCGAGTGGAGACTCAGAGCTCCAAAAAGGAAAGTTATAAAACAAGTTAATATTGTTTTTTCAGTGACACGGTGATGTAAATATGTCATGTGTTTGCAGTTAATACCCCATGGAAGTCTAATGCCGCCTCTTTAATCACAAAAAACTATTACAGGCCTTTGAATCATAAAACCTATAATGAGGTACTTTATTAAGATAGTTTAAGCTCATATTTCCCTCTGTTCTTCTGCAGGTTTTGCGCATCACCTTCCCATACTTTGACTTGGAGGCCAGCTTCAACTGTAACGCAGACTTCCTCCAAATCCACGACGGGGAGAGCGCAGGGGCATACATGATTGGACGATACTGTGGTCAGAACAATCCCAACACCCTGGCCAGCTCCCACAATGCATTGTACTTCTGGTTCAGATCAGACCATGCTATCAAGAAAGGAGGCTTCACTGTGATGTGGCAGTCTCAGGACCCAGGTAAGACACTGCGGCTAGACACGTCACCAGAACTCTAGAATGTAACAGAGTCCAAGGAGCAAGTCACCATTTACACTACCAGTCAAGAGTTTTAGAACACCCTCATTTTTCCAGTTATTTATTGCAGTTCAAGTCGTGCAAGTCCAATGAAAAGCTTAAAATGGTACAAAGGTAAGAACTGAACAGACAGAGGTTAAAAAAAAAAGATAAAAGAACAAAACACAAGTCCAATCTCTACTACCTCAGGAAAAAAGAACAAGATGATGAGCTTGAAAACCTGGAGTGTCCAGCAGCACAATCTCCAGACTTAAACCCCATCAAGCTGGTTTGGGATGAACTGGACAGAAGAGTGAAGCAACCTACAAGTGTCACAAATTTATGGAAATACTGCAACAGACTTGGGAAGAACTATCTGAAGAATATTTAATTTCTATTGTAAAAAGAACGAGCCACGAGTGTGCTCAGCTGTTATATCTGCCAAAGGTGGACACTTTCATCAGTCAAAAGTTTAGAACACGTTTTGGTCAACAGTAAACAGTAAAAAAAAATGTGGTGTTCTAAAATTTTTGACCTGTAGTATATATCCACACATGCTGCTGGAGGGCAAACACAAGTTTGTGAACACTGTGAACATGTGAAACTCAGAACTTCCAGAATTCCCTCCCTGAACTGCAGAGGCTGCACTAGCACTGACTCATGACTGATGCAGGTGCTGGGGTTTAGGGAGAGACCGTTCAGATCAGAGATCAGAGACATTTTTGTTTTGTGAATATGTGTAACTAGAACGTCTATTGTCTGTTACATGTTTATTGCTTGCCCAACATAAAAGAGAAAATAAGAATATTTCATTCTATATCAGTTTTGTCTTGAAATAAAGAATGATGTGTGTATGTTTATGTGTTTTTCCCCTTAGTTTGTGGAGATGAACTGATTGCCCCCTACGGCAGCATCAACTCCCCTGGTTACCCTGGTAACTACCCCCCATCTCGGGACTGTTACTGGAGGGTCTCAGTGGACCCTGGCCTGCTCATCACCTTCGCCTTTGGGGTCCTGAGTCTGGAAACCCACCCTGACTGCAACTATGACTTTCTGGAGGTATCAGAACTGAACTACCTTTCTACTTTTATCTAACACAGTTGCATAGGTCTGTGTTTGACAAAAAAATTACCACTAGGTGCGTGATGGCCTGCTGCCTGAAGACCCTCTCCTGGGCCAGTACTGCAGCACCTCATCACCGCCCCCTGTGGTCACCACTGGACCCAGCGCCTGGATCCACTTCCACTCAGACAACATTATATCGGACCGGGGCTTCCACATCACCTACACCACCTCTCCAAGTACGACTAAGATCTACATCTGGCCCCAGAGTCTGTGACACGTACATAAAACATAAAAACAAAAGTAGAATGACAACATATGAAAATACATAAACAGGAGTGGTGGCTGGTCAATAGAGGGCAGAAGTGTGCCGCACTCCCTAATTTTATCTTTTTTTGTTTTGTTTTTTATCTAGGTAAAGTCGTTATTTTGTATTAGGCTATATGTTTAATATTTTCTTTAAAATTGAACGTGCATCTGCATAGACATATTTTTATCACATTAAATTGCTCATATCACTTTATTTGATTCAGCGCAGGGCGGGGGCGCCCTGAAATCAAGTGATTGGGCTGAATAAACATTAACACACACCTTTGACCTATTGTGGTTCAGCTGCTCGCTCTGTCACTCAGCTGTCGCTCAGCCCCAACTCTGCACTGACTACTGTTACAGGCTATCGAATGTAGCACAACAGAGCTGTGTGCTATACAGTTATGGTGAGTTCATACAAGTACGTCGGAGGAACAATTTTTGTGAGTAAGAGCAAGAAAAGAAGCATTAAGCTGGAATGAGTGCTTCTGGCTGTGGTGAGATACTATGGCTTTTATTCTGATTTATTCTACTTTAGCTTAAACCTCTCCACAGTAAAGCGCGAGGAGAGACCCGCCGATGGGACCCAGGATTCACTCGCTGCCTGAGCCAGGACAGTCACTGCCTGGGCCGGGGCAGTCGTTCGCTACTCTATCTGCCTCTGCCCACTTGTTTCTGTAGAGGTTTTAGGCCTGGATCACCCCTCTGGATGTTTTTTGCTACCTTTTTTCACTATGATTTACTGTTATCTTATATCTTTTGCCATCATGAGTTGATAGAGACCAACCCCAACTCGGCCCCGTTTGGTCTCGGGGCCCAAAAAACACCCTTTTTAAGAAAAGCTATTTGCTAAATTATGTAACTGTAAATATTAAAGTACTGTAACTGCATACATGGTCAAATAACCCTAAAAGTTTGCATGATGTATCCTGACACATGGGGGAAACTAGCAGAAAAATATTCTGGGGCTTGCTGTCTTTCTGCTGTCAAATATCACCCTCAACATACACCAAAAGACAAAAAAAAATCTGTCTACCTGACAAATTGTCATCAAAAGTGATCATTTTCAAGGATTTTATTGCATGTATCACTGCCTCAAATGTACATGAAAAACTTTCCAAGTTTATAGACTTCAATTTAAGCCCAAGATGACCTTTGTACCTAGAGGGAAACGGCTGCTTTGACCAAAGTTCTTCACTGTACCTCAAATCGGCAGAAAGAAACTTTCAGGCATTACCATTTCATATGGGATTAAGCAGGATTTTTTTCATAGAAACAATATTTTAAAAGAGTTTACTTATGTACTGCTGTACAATATGAAGTGAGTTACATTAAATTGAATAATATTAAAACTCCAAGTGGACAGGGGTCAGGGTCAGGGTCAGGGTCAGTGAAAACTATGGTAACCAGGTTATATACAAATATATACAAAAACACAACCAACCAACATCCTAACCCTTCATGCAACATCCATCAGAAGTTATTTTCCAAAGACAATTTTGAGAGAAGTTGATACATTTTTCTGGTTATAAAAAGAGATTGAATCTACTGGGAAACTGGTGTCCTTTTCTAGGCGTCCACGACTTCTAGACTGAACATTAGCTATTGTCAGATTGTTAGATAATAACCAACCCAATGGAGCTACTATTGTGGGGAGACAAATTATAGAGAGTGTGTGTGTGTGTGCGTGTGCGCAATATCCTCAGTAAGATCCTCAGTAAGATCCTCAGTAAGATCCTCAGTAAGATCCTCAGTAAGATCCTCAGTAAGATCCTCAGTCCTCAGTAAGATCCTCAGTAAGATCCTCAGTAAGATCCTCAGTAAGATCCTCAGTAAGATCCTCAGTAAGATCCTCAGTAAGATCCTCAGTAAGATCCTCAGTAAGATCCTCAGTAAGATCCTCAGTAAGATCCTCAGTAAGATCCTCAGTAAGATCCTCAGTCTCTGTTTGAGGCTAAACTTCAATGAAATTGGAAACATTGGGTCTCAGTTCATGTATATTTACACACTGAATACTGCACATTATTTCATTGTTGTAATAAATACACAGATTTTCAGATGGTGTAATGCAACAATATACTATCAAAAACAGACAGAGTGCCAAAGAAACGATAAAATGATGACGACTGGACAGCTGGGCAGAGTTCAAGGGGACAGTAAATGACAGGCTGATTCACTGAGTGCTTTTACTGCTATCCATGATATAAAAAGGAAACTTCACACACAAACATTTGATGGTGCTGGCAAGATGTTGTTGAATCAATTCCTGATGAATTGTTTTTGGATTGTGGCTACCATAAAAGGTGCCAACCCATGTTTTTCCAAAATGCTAACCTTGCTTTAAGCAAGTGTCAAGAAAATGTCTCCATCGGCCCCGGGCTCCGGCCCCGGGCTCCGGCCAGACCAGCTGTGCGCTGTGAGCTGAGCTTATTTCTTTAGTTCAGTGCTGCAGGGGGAGTAACTGATTTACCGAGATACCACTGGAAGAAAAAATGTGATTGGTCCATTCCATTATATTAACCCTTTGTTTCCCAAGGAATATCAGTCCAAGTTTATAACAATGATCTAGAAATTATTACTAGTGTAGTGTTCATTACTCACTGCATAAAAAATATTGAAAAAATATATTAGTAGTACAAACGTCCATTCGATATTTTTTCTTGGGCTTTCACTGAATACCTTGAAGGCTCTGAGGGTTCCCCTGTGAAAGAAATGCTGTTTGCACAACAAATGTGTGGCTCTTTCATTTACATTTCCAATAAAAGTGCGCTATACTCTACTTTTTAATTCATTAATTGGTTTTGCGTATAACATGCTATTGATCGCGATTAATCGCTCAAACTCATTCGATTAATGTGATAATTTTTTATTTTTTTTTTGCCCACCCTATTCTGTGTGTGTGTGTGTGTCTATATATATATATTATAAAATAAATAAATCAAATTTCAAAAAAAAAAATTATACTACCAGCCACTACTGTGCCTTATTAATTCATTTACTTACTATTGTCCAGCAGTATATGCATTCTTGAACTTGTTGTGGTTCATACTACCCCCCAGTACTATTTGAACAGGAAATTTGCTCTAAAAATTTTTTATATTGGAGTGCTACACTTGATCAAAACTTACGCATACAGGTGCTCATCAAACCAAAGTGCTTGAATTCTTGTTGAGTCACTGAGGATTTGAGGTGTTTTAATTAATGGCCTCGCCTACATGTTTTGACTACGTCATTCAGTCATCATTAAGCTATGATGATGACTCTTAAGTTGCCAAAACTTGTCTTTTTTTCTACTCAACAGGGAATTTGCCCTAGTTTGGCTTAGTCTTTATTTCAGGGAACAATGTACATTGACATTAAGCGCATACAGAGTGAGCATGCAAATGCTGCAACATCAACAATGGGACATGTGTGTCAGTGTTGAATTTCACAAAATTGGAGTAAACACTCAGAAGGGTAACCGTGTGAGCCCTTGTGTTTGGTTGATGTTGTGTCTGCTCCTGTGGTGTGACTCAGGTGACCCGGGCTGTGGGGGCACCTTCACAGACTCTGAGGGCATCATCATCTCTCCAAACTGGCCCAACGACTACGCCCACAACAGCCAGTGTGTTTACGTCATCCGCCTGCCCCAGGGGGAGAGGGTCACCCTCAACTTCACCCATATGAACCTGGAGCAGCACAGCAGCTGCGTCTTTGACTATGTGGAGGTATGTCACTATCTTCACTATCTAGTGAGCTCTTTGCTACCTGTATGTTACTGACGCACATTGGGGGCATTTCATTATGTGTTCTTTTTTTTTATGATGATGATGATTAGGGTTGTGCAAAAATATTGATATATCGTATCGTTTAATGTGATGATACACTAACGATATTGTTGGCTGCTGTATCAATATATCTCCCAAGAGTGTTTTTTGGTATATTTTACAAAGTTATTTTTGCGGATTGTGGCTACCATAAAAGCTGCCAACCCATGTTTTTCCAAAATGCTAACCTTGCTTTAAGCAAGTGTCAAGAAAATGTCTCCATGAGCCTGCGGCCCCAGGCTCCGGCCCCGGGCTCCCGCCCCAGGCTCCAAATAAATTACATGGTCTGTTTTGACCACACACACACAGACTTCAGGCTGGGAGGTTTATCTGACAGAAGACGCACAGTTCTGTGTCACTGCATTGATACAACGCAGTTAAATTATTACAGTGAGACCAGATCACTCAGCAGCATACAGTATGTGTACAAGTGCAGAGCGGAGAAGAGCCGGTGTCCTGTTGATTTGAGTTTCCTGCCACTACCAAGCACCGTTACAGTTTAAATGCTGTCGATTTGAGCTCCCGAGGCAGAAGTGGAGTAACACGTCACATTTTAAAAGTGTTTTGGTTTTATTATTTGTTTGGACCAGTTAAACATCGACATGTGCGTGTTGGGTTTGTGGCAGAAAACCTGTTGGATGATAGAATAGTTTGGATTTAATTTTGATTTTATAATTTTCATTTTCATTACATCATATTTTATTTTGTTTCCATGTGTAAAAAATGTTGTAACTTTGTTTAGAAAGACGCTGTATAAATAAAATATCACTATTATAATTGGAAATTCAATCTGTAGCCCATAATATTAGAGTTAAATATATAAATTATATATTTAATGCAATTTAATATAAAGATGTCAGTGTTTCCAGTCATTTCATTCTCTTCTATTGTGGGAGTCTTATTTGATAGAAGATATCAGCCTGCGGAAATGAGTTCTGCCCAAATTCATCTAAATAAGTGAATAATTTTGTTTGTACAGTGGGACATTATTGGCTGGATAAATTGTCCTGTGGATATGTACTCCCTTTAGTTGGAGCCTATTTGAGCCGAATACGACTGTCCAAATGAACTACACAGATTCAGATAAATGAGTTGAAATTGTACATAACTAAAGTATAAAGTGTGATCACCTTATGCAAACAGCATCAAACCCGCGTCTCTAATCCAAAGAAATATGTTGTTAAACTGGGGAGGTCAGAGTTAGGATTTGGCTTTTTTGGATCTATACAACTGTAAACGGAAAAACACAAGGTTGCTTATTTTGATAGGGCAGGGTGAATCTATAGACGTCACTGTCAATCTAGGAGCTCATTTTGACGGGGCAGCCCATTTTGACAGAACACTGGACAGGTCAGTGGCCCGTGTATCAGCAACGTCACTGCTGAGATCTCGACTTTAACAGCAAGCATCACTGAGGAAATGAAGATCATGTGTGAGTGCAGAAATTAGTTCTATGTGCCAAATATTTCACCAAACTACTACCAGATACTGGCAGACACCAGGCCAACTCGAGCAGCTTGTCTCTGTCACTATAGGAGCCAGCTCCATCAAGCCACTCTTAAAACTGAATATTTGTTGTATTCCAGGTGCGGGACGGCCTCGTGGAGACGTCCCCTCTGATCGGTCGATACTGTGGGAGTGTGCTTCCTGCTCCCCTGCTGTCCTCCTCGAGTGCTCTGTGGGTGCGCTTCAGGTCTGACAGCTCTGCAAGTCATGCGGGCTTCAGGGCCGTCTACTCTGTGGTGAGTATGTGAGCTCTGAGCTGTGTGTCCTCTCTGCATGTTTACTCACAAGTCTAGTATATAGGTATGGAGTAAGAAAGCTTTCAAAAATATTCATGTGCAAAGAATAGAAATCCGTGCGTATTTGGGAAATCTGTGCATATTTGGCTGTAGTTGTGCATAAAATAAATATCTGTAAACTCTCAAATGACTCCAATCGTACATAAAATATATTGTGTGTATTTTATCCATCAGAATATGAATTGAAAAGTTAGGACGTCAAGAATTACAATCACGAAATGAAAATTTACGATTACGCTTTCATCAGTATGAATACGAATTCACAGACGGGACTTTACTGTCAAAAATACGTCATCACTTCACAGACATTATTTATTAAGCAGAAGAAACATCGATGAAGATCAAGACTGCGCATGTTTAAGTTTGTAGCAGAGGGTAAATACAGAGTAATGGCACAACAAGGAGCTACAACAGCAATCAACAAGTGGGTTAATTAAAATGTATTGTAAAAATGTCTTGTCTTGCCACATTGAAATCGGGAACCGAACGCTGCTGTGTAATATTATGCAGAAACACCTCCTCTGAACGGGAAATTGCACCTATATCTTAGTAGATAACATAGTGGAGCCAGTTGGTGAACATCAGACGTAACGTTATCCCAGGGCTAATTAGCAAATATCAGTGTTCTCTGCATGTTTATATTAAAACATTCACAGCTACAGCCACAGTGAGCGTCAGTCAGTCTTAACCTTCATCTCAGCTGCATTTCTCACATAAAATGCGACCAAAAGTTCCTCGAGACGCTGAAATGTCCGTTTACACCAAGCACTACCAGAAGCCCTGAGCTGCAAGTGTTAAAAAAAAAAGAAATAATAATAATAAAATAATAATAAATTATTTTCTTTATTTCTTTTTTTTTAGATATTATCTCGTTATTTCGAGATGTAACGAGATACTATCTCAAAATAATGTAATAATATCTCAAAAAATAAATTAATTAATTAAGAAAAAAATGTAGGTGTAGGTGGTGTAGATGTGCGTGCTATCTTTTTTTTTTTGGTATAACATGGTAAAGATGGCACCAAATTTATTTTTTTCCATTTTTAATACTTAATATCTTCTAGAGTCTTCATCACAGAGTACACAGCATGTGTGGGAAGGTGTGTGTTCAATATCAAACCTCTTTGTCTTTGAAATTGCACTTTTATAAGGAGTTGGGAGCTAAAATTTGGGACACTTCCCATTGGAAAGTGTGTCCTAGAATTTTTTTCAGTAAAATCTGAGATGGTCGGGTGGTGGCATTCGGAGATCTGGTGTGGAATGACCCATATATGGAACTAGTAACTAGAACGCTAGTAAACACAGACATTCTCATGTGTGACCAATATCACACAAATGTTCATGGGCATTGTACAGCTGCACACATTGCATTGTAGATATAACGATCATGTAATATGGGCTGTCCAATATGTGATGAATTGCCCCTGCCGATGCCTCATGAGGGACCAGGTTGCTATCTGATTGCGCTTGTTAGTTTTTCAAAATCCATATGAACAAGAAAGAAATGAAACACACACAAGGCAGAGCACCGAAGGGATTGGAACAGCGTTTTATAGCTTTATAAAACGTTATATTGTTGATTGACCCTTCCTTCCTGTGTGCAGCCTGTGGGGGGGTACTGTCAGGCACAGGCCAGATCCGCTCCCCTCTTCACCCAAGCTCCTACCCCCACAACAAGGTGTGTGAGTGGGTCATCAGCCAGCCCCAGGGATACTTGGTCACCCTTAACTTCCTGTCCTTCAGCGTAGAGGACCGCTGTCAGTACGACTTTGTGCAGGTACCACACATGAGCTCGCTGTCAGCTACTCTATCAATACCATGGAGGATGTCCGACAAACCATAGAAAGATGTCACTTATTCGCTTACAACAAGATTAAGTTAAATAATACATCAAATACTAAAACAAATGTTTTTGCATAATCTATACCTACTCTACCACCTGAGATCAAGAAGATACACTTCTCCAACACTTCACTGCTCAATCTCTAGTCATCTGAGGTGAGAGACATTTTAGATATTCAAAAGGATGGGTGACCAATGAGCACCTTTGTTTCACTGAGATAAACAAATCTGATTAGATGGTCGTGTTTGAGCATGTTTGACTTGAAATGTCTGGTGGTGACTGATATCAAACAATCTGTATAAAACAATCTGTAAAATATAGTCAAAATACTGTATAAAACAATCTGAGGGTTTTCATTCTGGATGCAACTATTTCACATTTATCACCAATTTTCTTCACACATATCACTCCACTTACTTGTTTATTTCTTTGTTTATTTTGGACAGAGTAAAAAAATACAAAGCAATTGAGTTCCAAATATGTCTTGTCTTTTGTGTATCCACCTCTTTATTGTGTCCTTCTGTTCTGTCCATCCTGTGGATTATGACATCAGAAGTACACTGCTCCAGTATGTTCTTGTGCTCTCAGGTCCGTGACGGCTCCTCGTCCAGTGCTCCTCTCCTCGGGACCTTCTGTGGGGTGGACATCCCTCCCAGGCTGCAGTCCACCCAGAGGTCCCTGTATGTGCGCTTCCAGACCGACTCCTCTGTCAACAACCACGGCTTCCTGGCAGAATACGGACGCGCCATAGAAGGTCACTTAGACAGCGGCTTACGCTGATTCTGGGGCTGTAGGTTCAAAAGTATAGAAAATCACATACTAATCTGTACTAAAGCTCGTGTTGAGGAAAATAACCCTTTCCTTGCGTGTTCGTTAGTTTCTGCTTAGACAAAAAATTACACTTGAAACAGAAATAAAGTCCAGATAATTTAATTATTCCAATATTAGGAAAGTCATACTTGTACAAGGAGTCTGTGCTGACATTTCAATGCAGACTGAATAGGGTGATGAGTCATGAGTCCGCATATCCCTATCAATAAGTCCTTGCCCTATTTAGTTAATTGATTAGACATATAGATAGAAATAGAATATCTTGTACATGAATTGAAACTACCTCTGCACCTCTCAGCTGTAATCTAGTCCCTGTTTTCTGGGTCATTGTATAGTGAATTATAATAGTGCAATAATAAAATATAGCAGTACATCAATAACTGTATAGCAGCACATCAGTTACATCATAGCAGTAGTTATACACCACCTAAGCCTAGTTATTTATCCTAACACTAGTATTGAAAATAGATACTCAATTTAAGAAGTGTATTAGAAAGAAATGCTAATGTCAGTGTTCTGCTCAGGGGTGGAAATAACATAGTTGGATGAGTCATTGCCCATCAACCAGAGAGTAACCAGTAACACCTAAACTTCGCCCAAACCACATTTCAAATAGAGCTGCTTAACTGGGCCATACGTCTTTTTTCCAATGTTTTCCGGACATCCAGTACTGACGTTTGTTTTTTCTGTAGTGATACAGAAAAGAGGAGCCACTGTCTGTGTGAATGGTCATGTCTGTAAGCCAGTGGATCTGATGCTTAGCCAATGATGTTTATGTGGAGAGAGCAGGATTTGAACCACCAACCCTCAAATCAGTGAACAAATGCTCTACAAACTGAGCTAAAGTGCTGCCCTTTTAGACCGTTTTTATGGTTGAACTCATAGGCCCATAGAATCATAATAATTTTTGTATGAGTAGGCTATAATTTTCCACAAATTGCATTTACAAACAAACAAGCAAACAAAAGTAAATTTGTTAATTAAAAAGTTAACAAAATGTACTCATGTACTCATAAATAATTAGTAATACATGTTTAATCACAAATAATAATGAATAATATAGATAACAACAATGTTGATATTTGTCATAAATTTAAAAAAAAAGTGTCTTTTCATTAACAATCTCATTTTCCTGTGTCTGTGTTAGACATCCCCATAAATGTGGGAAAAAGTCCCTTAGTCCATGGTTCAAATGTTTAACTGCAGACTGACGTCCAAGTGGGGTCAGAGTTAGACGTCCAAATAGTGGACGTCATTTGCATGTCATGTAGTTCAGAGTTGGTCTTGGACCGACAGATGCAAAACGATCTGCACGACCATAAGACGACTGATGTTTAGTGGGAAGCGGTAAACGTACCTGGTTTGCAGTAAAGTTGTTATTGGCAATGTTATTAAAACACCATACACACTTTAGTGGCAAATTCTACTTTGACCTACTTGTAGTTCTATGTCCATTCCAAGACAATTCACAACTTTACCCAACACCAAAAACAAGAAGGGCACCAAGTGATATAAAAGTAACTGCTTTAATAAAAAGGGAATGGCTCACAATTTTCCTCACTGAAAGTACGGATGAACTATGTTGTGCCAGTATAATAAAATCCTGCATTGCCTAGGTTGTGGAGACACCATGACCAGCCCGAGCGGAGTGATCGTAAGCCCAGGTCACCCCAGCACCTACCCCCATGGAGCCAACTGCACCTGGTTCATCAGTGTGGCCCCCGGGAACCTGATCCGCCTCTCCTTCGACTCCTTCAACCTGGAGTACCACACCAATTGCAACTTTGACTACGTGGAGCTCTACGACAACGGCACCGTGGAGACCGGCACCAAACTTGGACGGTACCGAGAGGGAGGGGGGAGGGGGAGGGGGGAGGGGGAGAGGGAGGGGGAGAGGGAGGGGAGAGGGAGGGGAGGGGGAGAGGGAGGGGGAGAGGGAGAGGGGGACGGGGGATGGGGAGGAAAGAGGGAGAGGGAGAGACGGGGGAGAGACACACAGAAAGAAGGGAAGGGAGAGAATTAAACAGAGAGGGAGAGAAAGACACAGACAGAGAGAGAGAGAGAAGAGAGAGAGACAGAGAAGAGGGAGAGAGAGAGAGAGAGAGACGGAGAAGAGTGAGCGAGAGAGATAGAGAAGAGGGAGACAGAAGAGGGAGACAGAGAAGAGAGAGTCAGAAACAGAGAAAGAGAGAGAGATGGAGAAGAGAGAGAGAGAGACGGAGAAGAGGGAGAGAGAGACAGAGAAGAGGGAGAGCGAGATGGAGAAGAGGAAGACACAGAAGAGGCGGAGAAAGAGAGAGAGACAGAAAAGGAAGAGAGACAGAAAAGGAAGAGAGACAGAAAAGGAAGAGAGAGACAGAAAAGGAAGAGAGACGGAGACAGAAAAGGAAGAGAGACGGAGACAGAAAGAAAGAGACGGAGACAGAAAGAGAGAGACGGAGACAGAAAGAGAGAGACGGAGACAGAAAGAGAGAGACAGAAAGAGAGAGACGGAGACAGAAAGAGAGAGACGGAGACAGAAAGAGACAGAGACGGAGACAGAAAGAGACAGAGACAGAGACAGAAAGAGACGGAGACAGAAAGAGACAGAGACGGAGACAGAAAGAGACAGAGACGGAGACAGACAGAGACGGAGACGGAGACAGAGACAGAGACGGAGACAGAAACGGAGACAGAAAGAGACGGAGACGGAGACAGAAAGAGACGGAGACAGAAAGAGACAGACGGAGAAGAGGGAGAGAAGAGAGAGACAGAGAAGAGGGAGAGAAGAGAGAGACAGAGAAGAGGGAGAGAAGAGAGAGACAGAGAAGAGGGAGAGAAGAGAGAGACAAAGAAGAGGGAGTGAGAGACAGATGGGGGAGAGAGAAAGAGAGACAGGGGGCAGACACAGAAAGAGGAAGGTGAGAGAGAGAAAGGGGGGGGGGGGGAGGGGAGGGGGGGAGGGGGGGGGGGGGGGGGGGGAGAGAGAGGGAGGGAGACAGAGAAGGGGGGAGATACTTTATTGCCTCCACAAACTCTGCCCTTTGATCAGAACATACATGGACAATTAAAGATGCACTTTGTGTGTCTCCTCTCTGAACTCATGAGCCGCCACGCTGATACAGGTGGACCAGGCATGTCCTGATTGGCTAATCCAAATGTCAATCACTCCCAACATAAATAGCTCATCTTTTCCTTTTTTGAGATCTCTGAGTTGAGATCTCCGTGTTGTGTGACTGTGTGTGGAGGTGGGAGAGTGGTTCCTTAATGTGAAGTGCTTTGAGTATCTTGAAGTGGAAAAAGCACTACACTTGTCCTGTAAAAATGTGACTTCTTGATTCCTCCCCTGAGTTTCAGATTGTAGAAGACATGTTGTGCTCCTGTGTTAGGTTCTGTGGTCGCTCCGTGCCACCCTCCGTCACCAGCACCGACAACTTGCTCACCCTGCTCTTTGTGTCCGATCACTCTATGTCCACTCAGGGCTTCTCCGCTCGATACGTGTCCATCAACGCCACCACTGGTACAACACAGCAACACGCCACAATGAGCTCTATTAAAGCTGTGTTTCTTCTATATTTCCCTCTTTTATATCTTGTAAATTGACTTGTAAAGTAATGTTTCCATAAATTAATGTACAGACTTTTTTTTTTAAATAGATTGTGAAGTGTTTATTCTTTGCTTTGTACTGTACTGTGCATATATTCACTTAAAAACATGAAATAATACATAGTTGAAAAGATTAAAGATACATGATGTAACTTCTCTGGTGGAGGATCCAACATCCAACAGTATCTCCAAAGAGACGAAACGAATGATGCCACAGGGCCAAGCTACATGTCAGACCTGTGGAGAGGGACACAGATAAACTTAATACCATGCTGTGGAACATTCTGAGCAGATTCTCCATGGCAAGTAGGAGACAAGCAGGTGATGGACCCCTCACCAGAAAGGTTACATAGTGCACCTTTACAGCATCTTATATAATGCACAGAATACAATCTCTAAAGTCTACAGTAAAATATGCCCATAGGACTTGTGTGTGGTGACATGTTTAAATGCTCTCAGACTGTAGCGAGTCCTTCACCTCGTCCACCGGTTCCTTCTTCTCCCCAAACTACCCGAGCTACTATCCCAACCACAGGGACTGCTACTTCACCATCACTGTGCAGGTTTGAAAAGCACTCTTTGATCAGACATGACCAGTGTAACGTCACCAAAAGTGACCAGTGCTCGTGTCTTGTTCCAGCTGAACCTGCAGATCATGCTCAACTTCACAGACTTTGAGCTGGAGGGCGCCCCACCGTCCTGCGGCTCTGACTTTGTGGAGATCAGGTGAGGCACTGGAGCTGTTTCAAAGACCCATAGTACACCATAGACTTTGGACTTTGGGAATCCTCTGCTCTTTTTTTAGTGTTGCTGCCAAGACATTAGTTTAAAAGACAGGCCCTATCTGTGTAACTTTTGTGTTTTATTCATGTTTCTATATGTTTACTTTTTACAGTACAGAAATAACTGCTATTTGATGAGGCAATGATTAGGGAAGGGACAAGATCAAGTGTAAAGTGCAGAAATACAAACTAGAAAGAGCATTTTTCCACTATTCTGAATTCATTCTGAATCATTGGCCAGAAATCGGGCTGTCACTGTGAGGATGCCCTATTGGCTACTGTTACATTCCATCTTATTTCAGTTTGCACGGCTGCTGCAATGTTGCTTGTTTTTCAGGGACGGAGGCTACGAGACCTCTCCTCTGATCGGGAGGTGGTGTGGCACAAACAGGCCCCCAGTGCTGGTCTCCCATAGCAACCGGCTATGGATTCGATTCCGCTCAGACGCCACAAATACACATAAAGGATTCAGCGCACACTGGGATGGCACACAGAGCGGTCAGAGGGCAATAATTGAGCAATTTGGGCAATTTATTTATTTTTATTGGTTGCTGAATTTCAGGTATATGGACAGATCCTGTAAACAGGGCTGAAGCATCCCAGGGATAAAATATATTTAAGTAGTCATTTAATTGTATTTTAGACACATATTTATGTGTATAAAATCCCCCAGTTGTCCAGGTAGAATCCATGGCAAAAGAAGAAATTCAATTTGTCATTTGGACAGAAGTTTATTTTGGTCGAATATGTTTTGCAACACTGAAGGCAGCGTCCACCAACATTCTGACCAGAACTGGAGAAGCAGCTTGGATGAGCTGCAAAATGTATTTGACCAAAATAAACTTTTGAATTTCTCCTTTTGCAGCACATGATTGTGTATGTTTTGTGATAAGAAAAAAAAAATCTGCTTTAAAATTTGTATCCTGTGTGGTTCAAATTTTTCAAACATTTTATTTATTTATTTTTTGCTTAGGGGTCATTTCACGCCATTTCACCAAATGGCCCACTTCGATCTCAAAAAACTTTGAAAAAAATACCAAATAGTCCCTTACTATCATGTACCAACCCTGTGAAGTTTTAGTGATTTTCGATCATTACTTTTCAAGTTAGGGGAGAATGTGTCCATTGACGGGCCCAAAATCGAAAGTTTGGTGTCTCAACTCATTGTCATTTTATATGAACTTAAAAATGAAAAAAAAAAAAAAAAAAACTCATTCATTTCCGTGGCATACCATTTTTAGCCCCTTTTTAAACCTACTTGTAAGTGTAGGAGACCTTTATTTTTTTTTTGGAGAATCAAGATATATACTAGGACTGTTAAATGAAATCATCAAATGTTGAAAATTTGAAATAGGTTATGTGTGAGGGTCCTGTTAAAAACAAGAAAACGTAACATGGTCCGATTTTCACATCGAATTTATGGCATGTAGGTAGTGATAAAAAAAAAATTGCAATAATATTTCTTTGAAAGACCAGAAAAAGACCTTTCATATGGTACCAAACATATGTATTTTATGAGGCTCCTTAAATTTTTAATTGTATCTTGAACATTCGTGTTTTTGAGGTTTCAGTCATAGTGCAAGACACAATGACACGTGTATACAGTGACCATGTACTATGTTTTATTCCAGCAGCTAAGGTCACTAAACATTTAAAGTCTGAATCAAATGGTTTTGATAATAATTTTGATGTGACAAGGTATCTGACAAGGTGACAAGTTATCTGACATCCAAGAAAACAGCTCTAGATTATTCTCATATTAAAGAAACCAAGTCATGTTCAACAATATGATATTGTCTTCTTAGTTGTGGATGGCACATTGATGTTCAAGACTATGCAAAACATTACAATAGATTTAGATGCGCAAGGAACTCAAACATCTGGAAGCAGCCGAGAAGTGAGGAAACTGTTCCCTATCATGTTCGGATCGCCTGAGCAGGTAAAGAAAGACTTATGGAGCCTTAAATGGGAAGTGTGAAGGTTGTCCATTTAAGGGAAATTTCAGGATTTGTGGGAATTTATCGCATATAAAAAATCATATTCAACTTTATTCTGGGGTGGACCTATGTAGTTCCAAATGCACCTTTTTTTTTTTTAAGTTGTGTTTTTTTTTTTATTGTATATTTTAAGAGAGCCAGTACATGTTTGGATCACCATGGGACCAAGAGCCGACTCCCAACAAATTAATGAAGTGCACAGATGACGAAGCGCCTGATTGAAGTTACAAGGCCACACCTCAGTCAACATGGTCAACTGAACCATCTAAAGCCAGTCCACCACGGATGAAAAAGCTTCCACAGTTTGAGGAGAATTCTGGTGGTCAGACTTGTGGGGACTGTCCATGCTGCCGTGACCTCAGCCAGAAAATCAAAAAGCTTCGGGACCGACTGCAGGTTTATGAAGATGTGCCTTCCAATACTGATGACGAATAAGTCATGTTCTGTGTTCTGGGTTTTTAGATATCTTGTAACACATCCTGTTGATTCATTCTTGTTGATTCATGTTTTGGAGCTTTAGCTGCTGGAATAACACATAGTACATGGTCACTGTATACTTGTGTCATTGTGTCAAATGTGAATATTCAAGATACAATTAAAAACTGAAGGAGCCTCATAAAATACATATGTTTGGTACCATATGAAAGGTCTTTTTCTGGTCTTTCAAACTAAAATTATTCAAAAAAAACTGTATCAATACCCACATGCCATAAATTACATGTGAAAATCGGACCATGTTGCGTTTTCTTGTTTTTAACAGGACCCTCATACATAACCTATTTCAAATTTTCAACATTTGGTGATTTCTTTTAACAGTCCTAGTACACAACTTGAAAAGTAATGATCGAAAATCACTAAAACTTCACAGGGTTGGTGTATGATAGTAAGGGACCAGCTGGTATTTTTATCTGAATTTTTAAAATATGATGCGTGAGATTTTCTGGAAATTTGATGAAATGGTATGGAATGTCCCTTAAGTGATTTGTTATTTACTAACATGAAAAATATAACTGGGTCCTCACTCCTCCTGGGTCCTGGGTCTCACCATAACAGAGCCTATTGTATAATTAAAATTTGTTCATCACAAATAACTGCAATATGGAGTAAAAGCTGTTTTCCTGAAGTAGTGTACACACTGTTCAAACATGGTACTACTTTATAGGTACTACTTATATGATACAGCAACCTGTCTCACTCTGAGCCTGTCCTCTGTTGTGTTTGTCTCACAGCCTGTCTCAGTCTGAGCCTGTCCTCTGTTGTGTTGCTCAGGTTGTGGGGGCACTATGACCTCGGCCTCAGGGGGCTTCTCCTCTCCAAACTATCCTCTGCCCTACCACCCTAACGCAGAGTGCTACTGGAGCTTGAGGACCAGCCTGGGCAGCAAGCTCCTGCTCAGCTTCTCTGACTTTCACCTGGAGAACTCCATCAACTGCACCTTCGACTACGTCGCTGTGAGTAGAACTTCACTGAACCAATGTCACCATTTTATTACTGAGAGAAATCTAACCAGGAGTTTATCTGCCCAAAATGGTTCTATATAAAGAGTAAATTCCAAACCTCATCTGACTGCCTTTGTTTTGCTTATGAAGATGGATTATCTGAATGTTCTTTTCCTGCAGTGAGATATGGTTTATATAAAGCTTTAGTAAACAGATGGTTTATGTCTGTAGCACATTCATTGAAAGCACGTGCTCGTAGAAAACTGTTGTGTGTTGCAGGTGTATGATGGGAACAGCAGCAGTGCTGTTCAGCTTGCTCAGCTGTGTGGGACTCAGGTCCCCAGCACCATCTTCTCCTCCAGGAACCAGCTCTACGTCAAACTGAGGACAGACAGCACTGTGACCGCAGGCGGCTTCCTCGCCTCATACTCCACCAGTAAGAACACACATGCCTTTCCACACTACTGTTTTTTCACTATGCAAACTTTTAAGTTCACTTCATTTTGATACAAACAAAATGGCTTGGTACTGACAATGAGTAGATTCTTAATGTGGAGGGGAGAATGAGAGAGGGTTAGGGTATTAGGGTACATTTATCCTAGGAAATGGCAAAATAAAGTTCAGTATGTGAATATTTTGTTTGGAGATTTCTCCAAACACATAAACAAACACAAAGGCAATTTAACAGCCAAAAGATTTAAATGTTATGAGAATAAATTCTAAATTCTAAATCTCTAAATATGTAAAGGTTCTATATTACCCAAAATTATCTATCTGAGCTTATAGCCATGTTATAATGTTACCTCCTCAAAAACAGATCTGGAGATGTTTTTTTAGTATGTTTGAGTATCTCATTATTATCAGTCTGTCTATATCTCCAAAGCTCAAAATGCTCTGTTCCACCTTGTGATGTCCTGAAGTGGTAGTTTTCAAGTTAACAGCTGCATTTTACCGAAAATTCCAGGACTGTAATTGTTCAAATGATTGTAGTGAAGATGTATGGAGTGAAACACTTCACAAGGTGATGTGTTTTGAGAGATCCTAAATGTGCAGGTTTGTGTGTTACACATGTGTGAATGAAACAAAACACAACTCCAGTTCCCTTTGTGATGAGGAAATGACATTATAACAGATCTGAAAATAGTGGAATATGGGCCCTTTAAATTATCAATAGGCAGAGATGGGGATTTGCAAGTTGTGACCTGGATTTGAATCAGACTTGAGACAATATTTTTAGGACTTGAGACTTGACTTGATAAAATGGACTAAGATTTGGGACTCGCCTTGGACTTGAAGGTTATTGACTTGGGACTCGACTCGGACTTGAGGCCTGTGACTTGAGAAGACTTGAGGCTTAATTAAAAAGAAAAAAATTCTATATTTTCAGAAAATACTTTTCTCTTTATAGTTCATAAATGTGGTGATTAATTTTACAGAAACAAACTGGAACATGTCCCTCCCACCTCTGTTTGGTACTTTAGATGGAACTGAAATACTGTGAGATGGTACCTCAAATTGACTACAGTAATATACAGTACAATACAGTAAACCAGAGGGAAATACATGATGCTTCCATTTCAGTGCCGACACATGCACACAGACACAACATAATTGTTATTAAGCTCTTTCAAATCTAAAGTCTTTCTGTTCCAACTGTAATGATTCACACAAAGATCATCATAAGAAATTTAAAAAGGAAAAAATTGCATTTCTACAACTTTTATATACTCTTATATATACTCATATATAAATATACCATGACCTTTTAAGTACAGTTAAGTTTAAAATTCAGATAAATTACAAAAATCTAAGCAATAGTTAGTACTTTGCTTTGAGCTTCAAGTCATTTCAAGTCTTTAAACTAGACGACTTGAACTTGGACTTATGGGCCAGTGACTTGAGACTCGAATTGCGATTGCCTGTCTTTGACTTGGGACTTGACTTGGACTTGAGGTCAAAGACTTGAGACTTGCAAAACAACAACTTGGTCCCACCTCTGTCAGTAGGTGAACTTGTTTCATTGTGCTGCTAATGACAATCCTCTCCCCTAAGCCCAATAACACAGATGTAAAAAGAGTCGCTGCCTGTTTCAGATTGCAGTGGGATGCTCATAGACAACCAGCACAAAGGTATTCTGGAGTCCCTAAACTTCCCGAATGAGTACCCTCTGAACACCTACTGCACCTGGACCATCCTGGCCTCCCCCGGGAACAACATTAGCTACTCCTTCAGCGCCTTCCACCTCGAAGGCACCTCAGGGTCCTCCTGCACCTACGACTATGTCAAGGTGAATTCAGCACGGTTTGAGTATTACTGTTCATTTGTATACATAACCAGGATTAAAACAGTACTACAACATGACTAAACCAGGATTAAAACTGGACTGAACCAGGACTAAACCAGGAATACACCAGGACTACATCAGGACTAAACACAATGGACACGATTTGTATGTGTTCAGATCTAAACCAGGGTGGCAATACAGTTGGTAGAGCAATCGCCCACTGATCTGAAGGTTGGAGGTTCGAATCCAGCTCTCGACATAAACATCACAGGTTGAGTGGTCAGATCCACTGACCCACAGGTTGGCTGGTGTGATTCCAGCTCCCACAGATGAATGCTGTCATTGTGTCCTTGGGCAAGACACTTAACCCACCTTGCCCACAGTGTCTGCGTACACTGGTGTGTGAATGGGTGTGTGTGAATGGGTGAGTGGTTCCTTGTTGTAAAGCGCTTTGAGTGCCTTGAAGGTGGAAAAGTGCTACAGAAAAATGTGACTATTTACCATTTACTATAGCAGTGCTCAACCAGTGCAAGACTTAAGTGGGACTAAGGTGTATTCAGGACTAAAGCAGGACTCAACCCAAACCAACCCAGGACAAAACAATCTGAAGGTGAAGGGGTGCGCTAGACTAGACAAATCCTCAACTTTGATGGTGAGATATTTGAATCACTGTTCTTGTTCGCCTTGAATCATGATATTTCCATCACGTGTATTAGTTTTGGTTTCTGGTAGTTAATTTATCTGCTGTATCTCACATACCATTTAAAACTCCTGTCACAGCTGTACAACGGCCCAGACTCCCAGGCCCCTGAGCTGGGCATGTTCTGCGGTAGCTCCCCTCCTGCTCCAGGCTCCACTTCCTCCTCTGCCCTCACTGTGATCTTCAGGAGTGACAGCTCAGTGTCATTCACCGGATTTCAGATGCTCTGGTCTCAGATAGGTGAGACTAAATTGACTTTATTCAACATTTTATGATGAGCTCAAATTACTTAGACAATTCAGTAGCTCATGCACCTTTTACCTCATTTAGAAATCCTGTTATCTCACATTCTTTCCATTCTCCCTCCATATTTCTAAGCTGCTCATGTCCTTGTGTGCAGGTTGTGGTGGAGAGCTCCATGGACCAGCGGGTTCTTTCCAAAGCCCCGGTTACCCAAACAAGTATCCAGACAACCGCGAGTGTATTTGGTACATCACCACGGCAGCCGGCAGCAGCATCACTATCACCATCCACGAGTTCAACATAGAGTACCACCCGGACTGTAACTATGACCTGCTGGAGGTGGGCTTCTGACAACACCACACTGTCTGCTGTGACATCTCATTTTAAATTAGAAACTTGTACTAGTAAAAGTATTCACTCTCTTTTCAGTAACTGCAAATAGAAAGTGCAATAAAAAAAAAATAATAGAAAGGTACTTTATTGTTTTCATAGGGAAATTTGTCCTCTGCATTTGACCCATAATACAAAGTGATTCTTGCCTCCATTGGGCTTTCTACTTTTCTTTAGACAGTGTTGGGAAGGTTACTTTTAAAATGTAATCCCCTACAGATTACAGGTTACACACCCCAAAATGTAGTTTGTAACGTAATCTATTAAATTACTTAAAGTGAGTAACGTAATCTGATTACTTTGGATTACTTGATATTGTCATGTTTTTTTAAACGACATGAATGTAGCAACCACATTCTGAAAATTCTCATTTGTTGTCTTCAAATTGTCTGAGCCCAAGTCTCCATGAATAAGCAACTGTTTGCTGTAGAGAAACAAAGACCACGATATCTTAATATAAGAGGTTTTGTCTGTTAAAAGACAGTAACAAGATCAGTCTTTCCTTCATCATATTAAAAAAATATTATTGATAGAGAAATTGTTTTTTATATGAGATCACCTTAAATTCTGTCAACCTACTGTTAGGTGTCATGTTGTTTAGACCTGGTTTAGACCTGGTTTAGTCCTGGTTTAGTCCTGATTTTTAGACCTGGTTTACTCCTGATTTCAGACCTGGTTTAGACCAGGTCTAGACCAGGTCTTTAGTTCTGGTTTAGTCGTGGTTTAGTCCTAGTTTAAACCTGGTTCAGTCCTGGTTTAGTCCTGGGTTAGTCCTGGGTTAGTCCTGGGTTAGTCCTGGGTTAGTCCTGGTTTAGTCCTGGGTTAGTCTTGGGTTAGTCCTGGTGTTAGTTCTGGTTTAGTCCTGGTGTTAGTTCTGGTTTAGAGGTGCACAGGAGGAAGCGCGGTTTACGCGAGAAAACACAGTCCACACGCGGCGCACGAGACGGCGGTGTCCGCGCAGTAACTACGGAAGGAGACGTGGTCCGCGGGTTCTCAGGTTAATGATGATGATGAAGGTGTGTGTTTCTGTGTGTTTGTATGTGTCTGTGTGTTTGTGTGCACGTCCACTCATGTCGCAGGTCACTATAGGACAGTAGTGCAGATATTATGAGTCTATGCAGGTTGTTTTCACCAGTGCCAGTAGCTCCTGTTTCACATTTAAGTTGTAGGCGATTTTATATTTGTTTTTGTTTTTTTATATATATATCTCACATCGGGAGAAGAATTTCCAAGACACAAATGCGATTTTACCAATGCACTGCTGCTTCCATTGTGTGACTGACACCGCTAACTTTAACATAACGTTTACATCGCTCTTATTGCGCACGTTCCGTTTGGGTTTCCAGCAATGAGTGGAAATACCGAAATAAATAAATGGGATGTAGCACAAAATGTGAAAACAGGAAAATACAGTCTTGTAATCCACTTATTTCAGCAAAGTAACTGTAATCCAATTACCACTCATTGAAGCAGTAACTGTAACGAAATACAGTTACTCATAATTTGTACTCTGATTACGTAACGGCGGTACATGTAATCCGTTACTCCCCAACACTGTCTTTAGAAAGCCCAATGGAGACAAGAGTCACTTTGGATCAAAACTGTGGTTGTCAGAGTAATTGTCAGACACCACCTTCTATAGTTTAGAGCAGGGGTGTCAAACATACGGCCCGGAAGCCAGATCCGGCCCTTCAAGTCCTTTAATCTGTCCCTCGGCTGATTTTCTACTAAAATATTTTAACAATATTTTCTATTAAAATATTGGTAATTTTCTGCGCCGCTTAGCATAGCAGCGTCTCCAGCTTCTCTGTGCGTGGCCCCTCCCACCAGAGCAGCACAAATGAAAACTTGCCTCTTTCCAAACACTCTTAAAGGACGATCGTTTTGACTGTTGACCGTGACACCCTCATCAGCAAAATGTTAAAAATGAGAAAAGTGGATGCCGAGTTCAGGATTTTCCAAGAAAAATTGACTTATTCCTATTTGCATACAAGTTAACATTAAAACGTGTTGAAACTGCATTTCTCTTAAAGTTTCAGGTTGTTCATAATATTATAATAGTTTGTAAAAGAAAGAGTTCATCAATAAAAAAAAATATTTCTGTAATAGAGTTGCGTTGGGGTATATATGCCATAAGTTTTCTGATCTGGCCCCTTTGGGATCAAAGTAGGTTGGATACGGCCCCCGAACCAAAATAAGTTTGACATCCCTGGTTTACAGTTTAACAGTGCTTTACTTAAAGAGGATATTTATGAACCTTGAGAATAACAGAAGCTCAGAGCAGAAGCTCTCCGCTCTGCTGCTTTGCTCTGTCATGAGACCAGACATTCCCTCTGGAACTTCTTCTGCCATATTTGGTGCAGAAAGTCTGTTGGGTTGCTGTAAAAAGTCCTTAACTTTTGTCTTTTGTATTGCGCAAGCTGTAATTTTTAGTTAATTAAAATCCCATCAAAATTTTGTGTTAAATATGCATGATAAAAATTTAAAAAGTTTAAAAACTGCTCAGTGTGCCAGCTGGTCAGCCACAAGAGCAGCCAGTGGCAACCACAGAAAGAGACCAATATAACAAAATTCATAGTACCAACTCTAAAAACTTAGAAAACATATAAAACCAACAGCAGCTCAGGCAGACAGAGGGTAGAAAGGTTCCTTTGTGCTTCATGGGTGACTGATCCCTCAGGTGTATGGGGGCCCAGACCTTCAGGCTCCTCAGCTGGCCAAACTATGCAGCACCACCTCCAGCCCCATGCAGTTGTCCAGCACCGGCAACACAGTCACCGTTCGCTTCAAGTCCGACCAGTACGTCAGCGGCAGGGGCTTCAACGCCAGCTGGGTGGAGGTCCCCGGAGGTACAGCACATTCAGAACACTGAATGTTCATGTTAACACAGCTCACTGCAGAACTCCTGACCGGAGCCTTCATTAAGATATGGAAAAGCTGCCAATGGTAACCTACCTGGTCAATGCTAGCTGAACTAGAATTCACCAGGCATTGACCAGGCTGTTTATGCTATAATTTGGTGTTTGGTTTCTAGAACCATCTAGATTCTAAATCCAATCACAAAAAACAAAATGAGCCTCACATGACTCTCTGAGGCTACCTTTATATGATGACAGTCTGAACAGAAGACGCAAAAGTGACATTGCGTCTTCACTTTTTATTCCGCGTTTAGTCAAGCATTTTTGGGAGGAAATCTGCGTGCATATGGGGACTCAAATGTGCGTTGAATTGGATTGGGTATGCACACCCTTACATGTAGTAATTTATACTTGGAAAGAGAAAAACAGAATGATGATATAATGAATAAAACCTAAAGTGTGCTTTTGTCAGGCTGTGGAGGCCCCATCACCGCCCCCTCTGGAGAGATCCACTCCCCCTCGTACCCCGGATCTTACCCCAGCAACGTGGACTGTTCCTGGGTCATCAGTGTGGACCCCAACCACCGTGTGCTCCTCAACTTCACCGACTTGGACATCGAGTTCCACAGCAACTGCTCATGGGACTATGTGGAGGTCAGGAAAACAAGTCCACAAGTCACAAGAAACATGATCATCTTTATTTTTCTCTCCTTCTCCTCCTCTCTCTCCTCGTCTCCTCTTCTCATGTATCTCATTTGCTCCTCACAGATCCATGATGGCCCCACATTCTCCTCCCCTCGCCTGGCTCATATGTGTGGCTCCACCCCCCCTCCTCCCATCACCTCCACCTCCAACACCATCTCCGTACGCTTCAGGTCTGACGCCAGCCGGAACCACCGTGGCTTCAAGGCCTACTTCTCTGAGGGTAACTGTCCATCTGCTCAACTCCAACGACCTTTTTATTTATTGGTGTTCTTGCTCTTAAAGTGCCTTAATGTGACAGGTGTTCATCTGTGAAAAATCCTTAAGTGTTCACAGCTGGTCTTTAGAGTTCTATAAACGTAGATGGAGAGGCTGAAGAGGCCACCGGATCTGCTGCTAGAGTGGAGCGTGTGGTGAAGAATGCTTGTTAAAATTAGTGGTGTAGTGGGTAGAGCCCAACCGATATGGATTTTGTTGTGGCCGATATGAAACCGATGAAATGGGAGTTGGAGCTGCCGATATATTTAGTGATGTAAAAATTGACTGTAAATCTTGAATTGTTTAACAAAACTTGGGTTTGGCTTTAGTGGATTCTAAATTGGGTTTATTTAGGCAATATTTATTGTTATTCTAACTCTTTACGTCATATTTACAGACAGCAGGTCGGCCTAATGGCATTTTTGCATCACATTCTAGCTACTAGTGATGGGTATTCCAGTTTTTTTTTAGAGAACTGGCTCTTTTGGCTTGGCTCACTAAAAGCAGCCGGCTCTTTCGGCTCCCAAGCGACTTTTCAGGTTGTTTTGTTGCAAGCAGGACTAAACCGGAACTGAATCAGGTCTAAACTAGAACTGAAAAAGGACTAAACCAGGACTAAAACAGATTTAAACCATGTGTAAAACAGGACTAAACCAGAACTGATCCAGGACTGAGTGTCGGGACTTTGTCTCTACCTCTCTCGCTCTCTCGAGCCCAAGATTAGTCCTGGTTTATTCATTTTATGCTGAACTACAGCCAAATATGCAAGTTTTTTTTATCCTATGCACACGCATATTTCTGAAAGTTTCGTTTTCAAACGCTGCCGCTGTCAAACTGCGGGTCTACATACGGCTTGAAGAGAAAAAAAGTGAGAAAAAGAGAAAACACGGCTCCCAATAAGAAGCAGGCTCCTGTCGTTCACTTCAAAGAGCCGGCTCTAAGAGCTGTTTCGTTCGCGACCGACCCATCACTACTAGCTAGTAAAGAAACTACCGCTATTAGCCTTTAGCCGTAAATACATGCGCACCGCGGTAATTAATTTTATGCATAAATGTGGTTCATTCACACGTCTATTCACAGCTCATTTACATATCAATGCTGGTACAGTAACAAATATGTAGTCACGGTCAATGTAGTCACTTTACAATAGGCCAATAGAAAACAGCCTGTTTATGTGTGAGAGCTACAGCAGCTAACCAAAACTAGCTTCAAAGTCGACATATTTCCAACACTCAGCGCTCACACAAGCTCCTCCTCACATTACAAGTCTGCACTAATAAATGTCCTTTTAATCCAGACTCAAACCTATTGTCCATAAAAAGAAACTACTCTCAGTGTTGCGCACCGCTGCGGGTGTAAACAAGCGCACGTGAGTGAAGGGACTCTGTGGTATGTTCAGGGACAGTACGGCCACACACAGACAAATGACTCCGCAGATAAATACTGCTCTGGAGCCACATATTAGGACATTTATCTGTCTGTAAATTGGATAAAATGAACATAATGTAGACAGTCTAAGCTTTATAACGCGGTATAACATGCCCATGTGAAATATCACCCCATATCAGCAAGCATATCGGCCGATAGCCGATATGTCTCCAAGTGCCCATATCAGCCGATAATATCGGCCAGCTGATATATCGGTCAGGCTCTAGTAGTGGGTATTTTTTAAGTGGAGTACTCGATTTGTAATGTCATCGATGTGATGAATCTTGCTCACTCACCCCCTACCCCCACCCACCTTCACCTGAAAAGCCATACACTCAACTTGACATTCTGAAATACACACAGGTGTCATATAGATTGTTTATTTCACAAACTTTTAGTACAAAGGCACCAGCCCAGTAAAAATCTGTAATATTTGATTTATTTTTACTCAGAATGATGCGGGATCATGTTAGTAACATTAACGCCGTTTATAATCATTATTCAATTCTTTTTATTGACTTATAAATGTTTAAACATACATAAACATAACACAAAAACGACAAGACAGCAGGCAATTCCTAAAAAAAAAAAAGAAAAAGATTCAAAAGATATTATATCAATGTGTAGAAGTCATATTAGTTATATGAATTAGCAAAAGAAAAAAAATATAATAATAAAAAAATATATATAAACATGTATATACATACACATACGTACATAATAAAAAAAGAAGAAAAATATATTAATAACAAATAATAATAATATAAATTACATTAAATTAATAAATTATAGTAATTATAACAATAATAATATTACCAACAGCAATAATGACAACAATAGTCACAACAATGATTATCGTTAGTGTTATCACTAAATCAAATTAAAGAAAAGGAAAAAGGAAAAATAAAAAGGGAAATTTAAAGGAATTTTAGAATATGAAGTAAGTGAGCTATTACTTATTCAGATTCAAAATAAGATTCAAAATAAAGAAGGAATGGCTGCCAGGTTTTATGATAGTTTTGAATTGATTCATTTACAGTATGTCGCAAGTGTTCGAGTCATGGGACATGACATCTTCCATCCAACACTTACAAGATGGTGGGGCTGCTTTCTTCCAACTAAACAGTATTAAGCGTCTTGCAAGCAGCATGATGAATGCGACTGCATCTGCCTGGTGATATTTGGAGGCACAACCCCAAACAGAGCTGTTCCCCAATTTGTTACAATATACCTTTTGCATATAAATGAAATTGTTTTGAATATTTTCGACCAGAAGTAATTTAGCCGGGGGCATACCCAGAACATGTGACTCAGGTTGGCTGGGTCATGACCGCACCTTGTACAGGAATCTGCATCAGGGTATAGTCTGGCTATCTTACCTGGCGATAGATGTAGCCTGTGTAGTACCTTAAACTGTAATAAGCCATGTCTTATGCAGATTGATGTTGAATGTGATTGCTTTTTGCCAAGTGTTATCTGTGAAATGTTCACCTAGTTCCTCTTCCCATTGAATTTTTAAATGACGCAGTGTTGGGGATGCTGCACTTTGAATTTTATTGTAAATGACTGACACCAATCCTTTATCAAGCGGATTCAAATCCAAACACTCATCTAGCCTTGTTTTTGAGGCCAAGGTTAAAGAGTAAGCCGTTTTAACAAAACTACGTATTTGAAGATATCTGAAAAAATCTGATTGTGGGACATCAAAGTCATTTTTTAGCTGTTCGAAGGAAATGAATTTATCATTTTTAAAAAGATCCTTAATGCATCTTAGTCCTCTCCTATGCCATTGCTGAAAGGATGGGTCTATTAAAGATGGGGCAAAATGGACATTACGCTGAATAGGAGCTGAAATTAAGGAACCTTTGATTTTAAAATGGGTTCTAAATTGAGACCATATTTTTAAAGTGCCCTGTACAACTACATTGTCTGTCCACAGATGTTTACTCAAAGGTAGTGCACTGCACATAAGCGATGAGAGTGAAGCTGGATTGCTAGAGTGCTCTTCATGATGGACCCAGGATGGACATTCCACCTCTGGTGTGTCTGCAGCCCAAAAAAGTAATTTGTGAATGTTTGTTGCCCAGTAGTAGTAAAGAAAGTTTGGTAGTGATAGACCACCATCTTCCCTCCGTCTTTCAAAGAACTCTCTTCTGATTCGAGGGATGTTTTTATTCCAGATGAACATGGACATGCACCCATTCAGTTCCTTAAAAATGGCACTGTCTGAAACAGGTATAGAAGCCTAGGCATGATTATCATTTACACAGAGTTAACTCTTCTGGCCAGTGACAAGGGGAATTTGGACCACTTATCCATATCTTGTTTTGCTTTTTCTAGAGACTTTGTGATTTTTTTTTAAATAGGAGGTTATAATCATAGGTGACACATACATCCAATTAATTAAAATGGTCCTTGTTTATTGTGAAGGGGAAACACTGGAGATTTAATTGTTGAGCCTTTTTGTTGATCGGGAAAAGTATACTTTTAGACATATTTAATTTATAACCAGACACCTGACCACATTTGTCTATAACGTTTAGAGCAATAGGAATAGTGGTGTGTGGATCTGAAAGAAAGAGGAGAAGGTCATCCACATAGAGCAGGCATGTCTAAACTACGGCTCGTGGGCCAAATGCGGCCCTCAGACAAATTTTTCTTGGCCCAAGTTACCTTACATCAATTAAAAATTATTTTTTTACTGTAAGTTTTTTGAAAATCTACTTTGATAAAGAATATTTAATATTTAGTGTGTGGTTTTAAGGATCTTAGCATGAATAAAGACTGCTGGCTCATTTTAACGTGTTAAACCTCTACATATTTCAATGATTCACTGTATTGAGCTCCAGTCTGTGGCCCTCAATCAGCCCTCTGCTTCGTCTGTGTTTAGATCTGTGGCCCTTGATGAAAAAAGTTTGGACACCCCTGACATAGAGGGATAGTTTGTGGGTTTGTCGTCCTCTTTGTATTCCAAGCAATTGGGCAGATTCCCTTGTCATAATTGCCAGGGGTTCAATAGCGATACTGAATAGGATTGGACTCAATTGTTCCACGAGCAAGAGGAAAAAAACTAGACATAACTTTATTTGTTCTAATTGATGCCTGAGGTGCTGCATACAGAATATGGATCCAAGAACAAAAAATAGGGCCAAATCCCATTCTTTTAAGTGTAGTGAATAAAAAATTGTATTCCACTCTATTGAATGCTTTTTGTGCATCAAGGGATATCACTACTTCAGGCACAATATCATTGCGTTGATAGATGACATTAAACACCTGCCAAAGATTGCTAGATATTTGCCTGCCCACAACAAACCCTGTCTGGTCTGAGTGTACCAATTTTGGAAGGACAGTTTCAAGTGCTTTTGCTAGTATCTTATAGTCGCAGTTGAGGAGGCTAATGGGAAGATATGATTCGCAAAGGAGTGGGTTTTTGGATTTTTTTCAGCAACAGTGAAATTGTAGCTTGAGTCGTTGTGGGCAGAACTTTGTTGTCCAGCGACTCCCTGAAATCTTTTAACAGCAAAGGGTTTAATTTGGAGGCAAATGTTTTGAAAAATTCTATTGGATACCCATCTGGGCCAGGTGCTTTACCAGATTTCATCTTCCAAATGGCATTGTCTATTCAGACAGAGACACATCCAACTCCAACTTAATTCTATCTGAATCCTCTAAAGTGGGCAGTGTCAGATCACTGAAGAAGTTCTCCACTTGGGCCAAGTCAATCGATTCAGAGCTGTACAATTTCTCATAAAATAATTTAAATTCCGTATTAATGTCCTTCTGATCTATAAGTACATGTCCATGCCCATCCTTAATTTCAGCAATAGAGCCAGCAGTTGTTGATTGTTTCAGCTGATGTGAGAGCAGTTTGTTAGCCCGGTCAATATGTTCAAAATATGTTTGGCGGGACCTAAGGTGAAGGTCTATGGCCTTTAGTATTGGTGACTTCATCAAATTCGGTTTGGAGCAAGACTCTCTTCTTGTACAAATCGTCAGAGGGTGACGTTGAGTGTTGCTGATCTATTTCTTTGATTCGGTCAATTATCTCTGAGGCTCGTTTTGTTCGTTTTAGATTTTCCCCTGCAACAAAGGAAATCACCTGCCCTCTCAAATAGGCTTTTAGAGTTTCCCAGTGTGGAATAGCTTATCTCAGGGGATTCATTGAGCTTTATAAAAAAATCTATTTGCATATTAATAAATTCGACAAACTTTTGATCAGACAGTAATCCGGAGTTTAACCTACAGGATAAGGGTGAGGCCACATTCTCTGGAAAGCTCAATTTTAAAACTACTGGTGCTTGATCAGATATTACAATGCTGTCGCATTCTATGTGGGTAACTAAGGGCAATATTTTTTTATCTATTAAAAGTAATAAATTCTTGAATAATTTTGGTGTACAGGGGAAAAGAAAGAAAATTGATTGGATGTTGGGTGCTGAAATCTCCATGGGTCCATCACACCGTAAGCTTCAAGAAACTCACTAATGCATTGGGACGATTTGTTTTGCGTCAAAACTTTAGGGCTAGAGTGGTCCAGGGCTGGATTCAGGGTGCAGATGAGGTTCCCAGCCAATATTAGATCATGCGAGTCAAGGTCTGGTAAAAGGGAGAAGAGATTTGTGAAGAAACTGGCATTCCCAATTAGGGGCATAGACATTAGCCAAAATAACAGGCCTATTATATAGTTTGCCTTGAGTGATGACATAACGGCCATTTTTGTCTCTTAGGGTTTTAGTCTCGACATATTCCGCATCCCTGTGTATTAAAATAGCCACTCCTCTACTCTTACTATTAAAATTCAAGTGGAAACATTGCGTGAACCCCCCTCTGAGGAGTCTTGGATAGTCTTTGTTAAGCAGATTTGTCTTGTACATAAGCAATGCAACTATGAAGTTTACTTAAATGTGAAAAAAATTTGTTTATATTTGACAGGGTGGATGAGCATACGGACATTCCAGTGACCAATGCAGTAGGAGTTAGAGCCTTATGGGTTGATAGCATTACAACGATTTCATGTTGAAGTATTTAAAGTAGTTCAGGTAGGGGGAAGAGAAAAAAAACAACAACTACTATACTATAAAAATAAATCAAAACTAGTCCCACAAAGAGACCATCCAACTTCTGGTTTCCAAAGTCCACATCATCATACCTATGTAGTTTTGTTTTTTGTTTTTTTTTATAATAATAATAATTGTACAATTTTAGCAACAAGCTTCATTTGGTCCTTTGACTACTTATATAACATATTACTATAGGAATTAGAGGTAGCATTGTTCATACATTTAGAGGGCACGTAAATAGACAATAAAATATTACCTTGTCAGTCTGTGTCACCTGGTTATCACTGGGAAATCTTAGCAGCTGTAAGAGTAATTTTGTCAGTCATGCTCTCTTTATTTCCTTCAGAACAAACTCCTTTGCAGTCTTGAGATCTTTGAAACTGCTTTCACGTCCATCCACAGTCATGATCCTCAGCGTGGCCGGGTACCTCAGTCTGTAGCGGATCCCCGCGAAGAAGATTCCTCACCTCTGTGAACGCCGTGCTTTGTTTGCTCACGGCCTGAGTGAAGTCAGACAGGACACGGATGCGGTCTCCATCAGCGGTCATTATTATCCCAGCTGCAGCAGCCTTCTTCAGAAGCATTTCTTTTTCAGGGAAATAGTGACATTTTACTACAAATGCTCGTGGCGGTAGGTCATCTTGTGTCGGTCTAGTACGGGAGGTCCTGTGTGCTATGTCCAGACACGGCAATTTGTCCAAACCAAGTGCTTCTTTCAGCATGTTTGCTACATACTGGGAAGGATGTTTACAGTGTTCTCGTCCCTCTTTCACACCGGTGACGCGGATATTGCAGCAACGTGATCAGGCCTCTTAAGTTCTCACATTGGGCTTTTAGTATGTCAAGATCCTTCTTCATACTAGACAAATCTGACTCCAAGGCAGAGATAATGTCTGAGTGATCAATGACTCCAGCTTCTACATCAGTTGTGCGGCTCTCAGTGGCATCCAGCCTCCTGTTGATTTTCCCAACGGCGTTGCGTAGTTCCGCTTGTGTCTCAGTTGCTTTCTCATCTATTTTGGCAAACAACTCTTGTTTAAGCGTAGAGATTGCATTGAGAACTTGTCGGTCACCGGTGCAGCCGCGGGCCGCTGCGTCCTCATCCAGGCAGGCTGGGTCAGGTATGCTAGCATTAGCTTCAGCCCGAGGCTCAGCTCCCACAGCCAATTGTTCAGTTTTATTTGCTTGTTTTTTGGGCATGTTGATCGCGACCCGATATTGCAGCAACCTTAAGTTAGCAAGCAAAGCTTTGCTGCACTATTTCCAAAGCGAAATGGTTATTAAGAGTGCGTCCCTGTGTGGAGCTTAACGAGACACAACTTTACATGGCGCTTCCTCACCGGAAGTCCCAACGCTGTTTATAAATACCTAATAAGCGGGATCCCATTTGTTAAGCGAGAACAGGCTGAGCTCACACTTGTTCTTGTGGTTTTACAGCAACATTAAGTCTCGGTATCTTTGCAGTGGAAGGTGTTTCTTGGTGACCAGCTGGTGCCTTTTGATTTGGCGTTGACTTTTTAAATTCGTAACCAAGGCTGAGTGAGGGATCGGGCTTTTGCTTTGTTGGTGGTCCACATACAAAATGTTCGCTGCAAACTCGGGATGATTTAGGCAGTCAAAGATTACCTTTTTTCGTCCTTCCCGTGGATCAGTCCTGCCCATCGCCTTCGCCTTTCACTATTTTTCAATTCTGTTGGGAAGAGAAACAGTTTGAACTGAGGTTTGCAGTCACACACATCTGATTCACTTTTGCATTTATGGAGTTCGCAAACAAATTTCTCGAGCCGTTTTCCGTTTAGGATCCAACAACCACACAATTACGATGTCTGAATCCCCAAACTAAAATATGACAATATCAGAATCAGAAACAAAAGCCATATGTTTCAAAAGACTTGAAAAGATCGGTTTTGTCAATGGACGCATCCCACTGGGAAAACAAACATGGCGGTTTGATGCTCACTTTTTCGTGAAATCCTTCCCAGTATGCATTGGGCAATGACCAGATGTCTGAGATTCTTGATGCGTGTATAAATCATAGACTACAACACATGAACCAGAACTAAACCAGGACTGAACCAGGTCTAAACCAGGACTGAACCAGGTCTAAACCAGGACTAAACAAGGATTAAATCAGGACTAAACAAGGACTAAACAAGAACTAAACAAGGACTTGAGAGATAGAACCTCGAGTTGTGGAGCAGGGTGTCTGCAAAGTGCGATCTGGCGATGACTGCATTTAGCCCTGTGGGATGCGGAGCTCTGTGCTGGTCCTTTCGTCTGCGGTCACCCGACGGTCTACACGGGCGCACCTCCGGCCCGTCCCGACACTCAGTCCTGGTTTAGTCCTGGTTTAGATCTGGTTTAGTCCTGGTTCAGTCCTGGTTCCTCATGTCTCAGGTCACTATAGGACAGTAGCAGATATCATGAGCCTATGCAGGTTGTTTTCATCGTTGCCAGTAGCTCTGGTTTGACATTTAAGTTGTAGCTATTTTATATTTGTTGTTTTTTTGTTTTTTTTATATTTCACGTCGGGAGAAGTGGGTGGATGGTGTACCCCCACGTACCATGCCCACTACACCCCTGCACACATTTGGAAAATTCCAGTACTGGCATTGCCAATCTGAACTAAAGGTAAAAGGAGATGTTCATTTGAAAACTACCTTCTCATGACATCACAAGGTAGACCAGGGCATTTTAAGGCTTGGAGATGTAGCCAAATGAATAATAAAGTGTTACACAAACGTGTCAATGAAAACAACACAAATCCAGGTGTTTTGTGAGGTAACAACATTCTAACATGGTTTAAAGCTTTGAAGAGTAATTTTGCGTAATATAGGACTTTGAAGCAATGGAGGATTCTGTGTTATATTTGTTTTTTTTCCTTAGCCTGTGGAGCCTCCATCGTGACGGACAATGTGGGCGGGGCTATAGCATCGCCCCGTTACCCTTCTTCGTACAGTTCAAACCTCAACTGCAGCTGGATCATCAAAGCCGTGGAGCCCTGTGAGTGTGACTGAAAAACATAATAACCAAACGTGAACAGTGATGTAAAAGCTCGCTGACCAGTGCACGTGTTTGTCCCAGTCAACCACATCACCCTGTCTTTCACTGACTTCGAGCTGGAGTCTCACCCAAACTGCTCCCATGATGTAGTGCAGATCAGGGATGGGGACAGCTACCAGGCTCCTACTGTGGGTATGTCATTTCTCACACTCGCCATTATTTCCTTAATTCTATTGACAATTTATTTCTCCTTTGAGTTAGTTCTTGGCTTAGCCTACTATTAATAAAAGTATGTAAATGTAACCCTACGTTGGTAGTACTGTTTGTAATAGCTCTAAATGTCTAAAATGAGGGTTATCTAAATCTAGGTTCAATGAGGAGGTCGGTTGAAAATAGGTCAAATAGTTGATGAACTGATAGATTCCACTCCAAAAGAAGCACACTACAACAGATTGATGATTAAATGTAGAATTGATCATTATTATTCAGCTCTTTTGTTTATCCACAGTAAATTACAATAACACAAAATATCCTTACACATTTGGCCAAACAACATCTGAGATCTCAGGAAATAACATCAAAATTAAATATTGTCCAGTCCAAACCAAAATTATCCCTGAGTGCACTCAATTAGAAAAAAATGTCCTTCTGCCCCTTTAATACTCAGTGTCAGTGTAAGCGTTGCAGCGCTGTTAGGTGAGGAGGTGGACCAGGGAACCAGGCACCAGGCTGAACGAAGAGGAATCCAGCGTCGGTGGAACCAGGAATAGGACAAGGAATCAGGGAGAACCAGGACTCAGAGCCAGACCCTCTAAAAAAAAAACAGTCGGGATACTTCTCAAAATTTACTTTCAGTTCCAACGCAGTTCAAATATTCACAGAACCCATTGTAGTTTCAGTCTGTGTTTCTGAGTCTGTGCTGCTTAGCAAGATGGCCGCCAGCGGAAGCATTCTAGAAAGTTCTAAGCACTTCAGTGCACTGCCACCTAGTGGCAAAACTGGGGGTTGCACTTAAATTCAGTTTGGAATTAGATTTCATGTAGGGACTTTATTGGGCAAAATTAACAGGGTTACATAAAGAATTATAAATGTAACCAATTACTGTATTTAAAATATAACTATAGATAATAAAAATATATATATAAAAACAATAAATATAACATATGATAATATAAAAATAAATTGATAAGTTCTAGGTCTGAAATATAACTGTTTTAATGATTAAAGATGGCTCTGTTTTCACGGCAGTTGAGATCCTGGTGTAGACCTGTTAGTTCTGGTGGTACTCACAAAGACAAATGTTTCTTTGTGGGAAGCATTTGAGAACCACTGGCTTTACACAAAAGGTGTGGTAAAATGAAAATGGGAGCATAATATAAGAGTAGAGTGATTTGTACTGGTGCTTGAAAACAATTACTGTGGATTATCATTTTGAAACAGTATCTATTGAAGATCATTTGTGTCTGCAGATTCTGAATTTTAAATACCACTGAATTTCTCACTTTGAATTTTTTAACTCTGAAAAAACACAAGAAGAAGTATCTTGAGTGATACTTATGGAAGATAATTTGTTCCACTAGATTTTGAAATTTTAATACTGCTGAATTTCTCACTTAGATTTTTTTAACTCATGTTTTTAACTCACATGTTTGAATTATTTTTAATTTTAGTTGTGTGTACATTTTCAAAATGTTTAAAATTCTAAATAAAAATTCAGCACAAATATTTTTGAGACCTTAAATTCAACAGTCAAAATTCAGAGTGTCAAATTTGCAGTGAAAAAAATTTGCAGCAAAGATCCAAGATGCCAAGGCAGAAGCATCGATGCAAAGTGATCCCATCTAATTTAGTAATGAGCAGCAAATGGTGCAGTGAAGTGATCTGATTGGTCAGAATTCGCCCTATTAAAACCTCAAACCCCTCCCACAGATGAGAACGACCAAAAGGGAACAGCCTCAGTTACTCACACTGGATCAATGCTTCTGCCTTGGCGTCTTGGGTGTTTGCTGCGAAAATTTTGCACTCTGAAATTTATACTCTGAATTTTGACTGTTGAAACTGAGGACTTGAAAATATTTGGTTTGAAAACTGTGACATTTTTATTTTGAATTTGAAATACATTGAAAAGTGTACTTAAAATTTCAGCAACTAAAATTCAGAATAAAAATTATTCAAACATGTGAGTTAAAAACATGAGTTTAAAAAAATCAAAATGAGAAATTCAGTGGTCTTAAAAATTCAAAAGCTAGTGGAACAAATTATCTTCCGTAAGTATCACTCAAGAGGGACTCTTTCTTCAAAACGTAAATGTAATTTATTCCTATGTCTTGAAAGTGACGCCCAGAGTTGCTCGTTTTGTGGACTGAACCTGAAGGTTTAGGGTGGGGGTTTTGTTAGTAGTTAGCACAGCTTGTGAGTTAAATGTGACTGCCCACTAACCTTTTGTGCAGTGCTTTATCCTCAGTTTACACTTTTACATGCACATTTTAACAACAAATGGACTGCAAAAAAGATAATCTCATTATCCTTTTTAGGACAACCCTCAAAAAGATTGCATTTAATTTTTGTCAGTGTCACCTATTCTGAACATAACAGTGATCCTTCTGTCCCAGGCTCTTATTGTGGCAGAGAAGTCCCTCACCCAGTCACCTCCTTCAGTAACGCGCTGGTGGTCTCCTTCATCACCGACAGCAGTGTGTCTAAGAAAGGTTTCAGAGCCACATACACGGCCTCCACCTCCAGTGAGTTATGTGCTGTCACTTATGTCTGTCCCCTGTAACACCCCTATCTTGTACCGTCCCGAGCCGTCCCGAGCCGTCCCGAGCTGTGCTGTCCTGTGCTGTCCTGTGCTGTCCCCAGGCTGTGGAGGGGACATGGTCATGGAGACAGGAGCTTTCAACAGTCCGAACTACCCAGACCCCTACCCCCCCAATGTGGAGTGTGTGTGGACCATCAGGAGCTCTCCAGGGAACCACCTCCAGCTCTCCTTTGTGTAAGACAGCTCTTCTGTCCTGTTCTACAATTTAGAAGCAAGAGTGATTTCTAATGACACTTTTCCCTTTTTCTGAAACCTTTTTACTCCTCTTTTACAAATTATTATTTGGTCTGTTGAATGTAATGCGAAATACCTCAGGTCAATTCCAGATGAGTTAAATCTGTGGAACCTGCGCTAAGGGATAAAGTTATACCGTTATTTGTGTGTTTGTGTGCAGCCTGTTCAGCCTGCAGGGCGGCGCCGGCTGTGGCAGTGACTTCCTGGAGATCCGAGAGGGGAACTCGTCAGGGCTGCTGGTGGGGCGCTTCTGTGGGGATGCCCTGCCCTCTAACTACACCTCTGTGGTGGGACACGTGCTCTGGATCAAGTTTGTGTCTGATGGAGCGGTCAGTGGAGCTGGATTCAGAGCCACCTTCTCACACTGTAAGTCCAGAGCTCCAGAGGCATCGTGGGAAATGAGGTGAAGGGGCCTGGAGAATTGTATGGTACAATTTGCTGTAATTTTATTTTTAGGGATGCGATATTGAACATTTTTATGAATCGGTCCAAGATATCAGTTCAGTTGATATTTCAATTAGGGATAATTTTTTTAGCATACACTGTTAAAAGGAAATAAATGATATTTTCAGTCTCTGCCCTAGTTTCATTTGATATTGGTATCAGCATATAACTGAAGTCAAAGTATTGACATCGGTCTTGGAACAGATAAAACTTGATCGGTGCATCCCTAATTTTAACAGTCATGTCAGATGTCTTTTTCTGCTTTATGGTTAATATAATGATTACTGGACCTACGTACATAAACTAAATCCTCCCCATCCTTCTCCGGCCTAGAACACACTGCACACGTATTTCACTGTATGCAAGCGTAAAAATGCACATTTTGGATGCATATTTTGTAGAATGTATTACACGTGAATGGGGAGGTGGGCTTATTTTGCTTTGGAAGCAGGTACAGAGGGTAAATACCAGCCTGTTCAGCTGGTTAGTTTCACTATACATCTGGCTAAACATGCACAGTCAAGTTTGATCATCTTTCCCACTGAGAGAAACAGTCAGTGCCGTGTGTGTACATCCTGCTGCAGGTGCCAGTGGAGCCACCTTCGTGTTGATGCACGACTGTGGTTTTGTGAACTTAAATGCTGACAAGTGACATGTGTTTGGGGCCTCATTACAAAAAGTCAAATGACATGAGTGTGTAGAGTCTCTTGTGTGTATCGTATTAAATTAATCCATATTAGACTGAGTACTGCTCTATCCACCCTACCCTCTGTGCCCTGTGTGTCCAGTGTATGGTAACGATGTGACCGGGAAGGAGGGCCAGATCGCGTCCCCGCTCTACCCCAGGACCTACCCCTACAATGCACACTACCAGTGGACCATCACTGTGGACGGGGACAGCCTAGTGGAGATCCGCTTTCTGGACATCGACATCGAGGACGTGGCTGAGTGTCACTTTGACCACCTCAAAGTAATTAAAGTCCCTGTGTCTCTGTCTGAGACGTACTCTGTGTAAAAGCTGCTGACCCTGTAGTTTACACCATTGGGTCATTCTGTGTGAAGTTTACATGTTCTCCCTGTGCCTGTGTATGTTTCCTTTGGGTGCTCCAGTTTCACCTCCCACTAAAATATGTACAATAGGCCACTCCCTTAAATAAAAGTCAATAAATAAATGCATGTTCTCCCAGTGTGCTGGGAACACAAGTGTGTAATGCCATGTGCGCCTGGCACTGTCAATGTCATTTCAGTTTTTTTCACACATGTTTTTCATTAAATCATTTACAGTTACGTTATGGACAAGATCTCATACCATGAGACTGTGCGCACATGGAAAAAATGTTCTTGTGAGATTTGGTCCTGTTTTTACATTTGCCACGGACATGAAAGGGTTAGACGTCACTCCTCTGGAGAGTTGTGTATCTTTGAGCAGAACAGCACATAAAAATACAGACGCAACTAATAAAAAAATTTAATTAATTAATTAAATTAAAAATAAACAAATAAAATATCATGTGACCAAAATAGTGAATTGATCCGATTATCATAAATATTTGGTCTCATTTGGCTCTCGTGGCCCCTGTCTTCACTTGTCCCACCCCTGTATACTCTGTGTTGTGTGTGTACAGATCTTTGACGGCCCCTCAGAGCACTACTACCCTCTGGGCATGTTCTGTGGCTTGCGTCTGCCTCCTCCTGTGCACAGCACCGGCAGCACCGTCACTCTGCTCTTTGAGTCTGACATGGTGGTGGGGGGACGGGGCTTCCTCATTGAGTGGAGGGCTGTCCAGAACACCGGGCCCCCACCCACCGTACCCCCAGGTCAGGAGGCTTGTTTGTGCTAGTCGTGTTTTCTTTATTTTTATGCTGGGTTACAGGGTGAACAGTTGTGTTAAATAAAGATGGAGATAGGAGGGGAGTTAGGGCTGACATCAGGAAGGAAATAAAGGTACATAAGATAGTGTGGTGAATGGAGTAGAGTTTGAGTACTCGAAATCTAAATTGTCATGTAAAAATGGTAATTATCTACAGAGTACAAATGAAACATGAAATAAATATAATTGATAAAAATGCAATGACAAACATTTAGCTCTCAGGTTGCATTAGTTGGACGTATCAAACTGATATTTATAGTTTGTAGTATTTTGGTGATTGGCCTGAAATCTCCAGCAGAGGTTGATATTTAGTTTGGCTGCTTTACAGAAAAGACATGAAATTATATTTGAACACTTGAGTGTGCTAATAGCATTACAGAAAATGTGATTACACTGCTACCTTATAAGTTAGTTGTAAACAAAAAACAAAAAATACAGTAATATATATATTTTTTTCTACTTTTCTACTGCAGATCTGTATAGACAGTAAAGTTGATCGTGTTGTCAAATCATTTATAGTTTTGGAGGAAATTATTAAAACTGGCCCTGCATATTGTCCCAAAAATACTGTATCTGAATTTTAGGTGCATGTGGAGGTAGCCTCACCACTGGGGACTCTCCGGGCTTCTTCTTCTCCCCGGGCTGGCCTGATCCTTACCCCCATGACAAGGAGTGCACCTGGATTATCCGCTCCACTGACTCCACCGTGGAACTCAACCTGCTCTACATGGACATAGAGGACTACCCCAACTGCTACTTCGACAGCCTAGTCATCTACGATGGTCAGGGAATATCTTTATTTTTCAGTCATCACAGACATATAAGACATTCTGCAGTGGTACCTGTTTGGGTTTGCAGAATTTAAACGAGGGTTGCCAAAAGTATTGAAAATCAGATTTTAATTGACACTAAAACTTGTATCGAAACTAGATACTCAACTGAGCAGGTATCGATACTAGAAAAGTCCCATTCACAGGACAGAAATGAACCTGAATATCTTTAGAATGATACAAGAGCACATAGACTAGTATATGCTCATGGACCACTATGGAACCTACCTGGACACTACCATTTAATGCTGAATTTCACATTTTATTGTCTAAAGAAGGAGCGTTTTTTAAATATCATCTTGGTATTGGTTTTGAATATTGAGTCTATTTCTTAGTATTGAAATCAAAGTCATTGTCTATCCATCCTTCTTCTTCCTCTTACCTGGGGTAGGTCGCAGGGACTCCCAGGCTTCCCTCACCCCAGACACACCAGCCGAGAGACACAGTCCCTCCAGTGTGTCCTGTGGTCTTCCTCCCGGTGGGACATGCCCAGAACACCTCCCCAGAGAAGCTTCCAGAACAGTGGCAGCACAATTAAAATTTTAGTTAATTAATTTTAATAGTTTGGCTACACTCTAGTTTAAGGGATGCCACTGTCCCCAGTTTTCAAATATGTCCTTGTTTGGACCAGTCTATTCAAGATGTGGACTTGAGTGTGTGCAGTATGAACATTGTCTTTGAAAAGCATACATGGTGGAAATGATTTGGACAGTGTAACTCAGTAGACAGTAGACCAGTAAATACAGTAGTAAATCAACATTTATCAGGGTGTCATGTGATGATGTAATGTCCTTCCTTACCCCAGGTCCTAGCAGCCTATCCCCCATCCTGGCCACTGTGTGTGGGAGAGAGATGCCAGGCTCACTGCACTCCTCTGCAGACTCCATGTACATCCACTTCTCCTCTGACAGCAGTGTGAGCGGCCGAGGCTTCAACGCGTCCTACTCCAGAGGTCAGATGCAGCTGCACTGTGCAGTCTGGTGCGCTACATGTGTCAGACATGTGTGGGTTGCATTTTGCAAGTAAATGGAATCACCATACATACCTCCTGCTACACTGGAACTCTTAAAACAAAAAAAGCAATTCTGATTTCATTCTGTACAAAATATATATGTGGTATTTGCTTTAAATTTCATTTTTTTTAGATTGTAGTTTGAAGATGTTTTGTTAATTGTGAGTGTGCATGATAGTATACCCTATCTGCAGTTACTTATTTTTTCAAGTTAAGTGCAGATAAGGAGAGATACTTTATTAATCCCCAAATGGAAATCCTTCACCACTAGGACAACCTGTCAGGAGCACTGGGTGGGTAAAGTACAACACTCCGGGACCTATCTCCAGATCATGAGCTGGTCTTGGTCAGGACTACATTAGCTTGAGGATTTGACATGTTGCTGAAGGTTTTTTAGGGAGGGTTAGGAAAACAATTATACATAACAAATGAACATTTTCCATAGCCTTGTCCTAGAGCACAAGAGGCAGTCTCTACGTTATTGAATAGACATGTTTGTCTAAATGTACTCACTGAAGTGTTGTGTGTCCAGGTTGTGGGGGTCTTCTGCACTCAGACCGGGGCGTTCTCAGCAGCCCTCTGTACCCTCAGAACTATCGTCCTAATGCAGACTGCAGCTGGCACGTCATGGTCACCCCGGGGTACAGGGTGTCTGTGCTTTTCCAGAGCCCCTTTCAGATCCAAGGCTTTGGCACAGACTGCAGCACAGGGGACTATCTGGAGGTAAGACTAACTTACTCCTGCAGGAAGTGTAGAGGGAATTCACTATATTCTACAGTCTGAATTTTAGATGTAGAGCAAGGGTCTGCACAACTCTATTGACTCTTTTTGAAAGAAAATATCATTTTTTTTTATTTTTTTTTTTTATCCACTCATGTTTAACCTTATCATTTTTCAGGGATTGGCTGCCAAAACTTGCCATATTAAACATACGGCTTGAAGTTCTTTCGAATGGCAACAACAGGCCCAGTAACTACAGAGATATGAACTTAAGTACAGCTCAGAATTGCATTTTGCATTTTGCCAAATTCTACCTTTTGATCTGGCCTCCCCTTCAGCTCAATTTTGAAATATAACTTAATGTAATGATGAAAAATATCAACAAATAATTAAACACATTTTCCTATGTCTGTCTGTATGTTTTGTTACTGTACATTAAAGGCTTGGTACCCAATTTGTTTCCCATGTATTTTAGCCAAAATGCTGTAAAAACAGCTACTGAGGTCAAAATAAGTCAGCTGTGTACTGTCTGCATCTAAATATAGATATTGTCGGATAATCAGGAAGTGTGCATTATCAGGCTAATTTTTTTTTTTCATATTTTCACACAGTAAATCTGGATGCAGTGTTACTTTATTTTCTCAGCTGTGTAACAGTCAGGACTCCCGCCCTCTGCTGGCTCTGCTCTAGACATGTTTGTGTTCTTATGTCCTATAGCTGCGTAATGGTCAGGACTCCTCTGCCCCTCTGCTGGCCCGCCTCTGTGGGGCCTCTCCTCCTGCTCTGCTCCAGACCACAGACAACCACCTGCACCTGCACTTCAAATCTGACAGCTCCAACGAGGCCACTGGATTCAAGCTCACCTTCGAAGCTCACAGCCAGGGTACCCTGACTATGCTATCATTGGATATCGTTTGATAGTGTCAGATCTATTCAATTTTTCCAAAATATTTCACATTTCATATATTTCTGTCTCATAAAGAATTGCAAAATGGGAAACATTGTGGCATCCAGTACCACTCTCTAATGAAGTACTAAACGTTTACAGTCAGAGGGGGGAGTACTAAGTTACATTTACTGGAGTACTTTTATACTTTTACTCCTAGTTGAGTAATTTATAGTACTCTTACCTGAGTAAAACCTGTGGTTCCTCTTCCCACACTGAGTAAGTCTACAAGTGACAAAAGTTTTGTCAATGGTGATATGAAAGGATTTGAACTTGTGTGTTTCTTGTACAGCTTTTTAAAAAGGATTTAGTTTGTCTCATTTTTGTGTCTGTCCTTTGAAAATACCAAGTTTTGTGGATTATTTCATGTTTCCTTCACATTACATTAACTTACAATAAAAAATCACATGTTATGTTAATTTATACTTACTTTTAGTTGAGTTGTACTTTCCTTAAATCCTTGAGTGTTCTTTGTTATTCTGCCATTGTGTCTTTGAGCAACACCCTCCTTGCATAAACCCATGTGTGGTCTCTTGCAGCATGTGGAGGTCACGTCCAGCTGCACGATGGAGACGCCCCCGGGTACATCACGTCTCCTGGATATCCACAGAACTACCCCCAGAATATAGACTGTGTGTGGGTGATCACTGTGCCCAACGGAGAAGCCGTGCGGCTTGACTTCGAGGACGAGTTCTACATAGAGCACACCCCTGGGTATGATGGACTTTTGTTCAACTAAAAAACTGTATATGTGTTTTTTGTTTTTAATTCTCCAGAATGTGTTCTATTTCCAATGAAATACATTGTTGTAGGAAGTATTATCTGTCACATAAAGGTGAGTTGTTGTACAGTTGTAGGGAGTATTATCTGTCATATAAAGGTGAGTTGTTGTACAGTTGTAAGGAGTATTATCTGTCACGTAAGGGTGAGTTGTACAGTTGTAGGGAGTATTACCTGTTACATAAGACAGGGCATAAATCAGGGACATGACAGCGTGCCCTGCATCCTGTCTGGTCTTTTGTCTGACGTGGTGTGCTTGTGTGCCTTGCAGTTGTGTGTACGATTACCTGGATGTGTTGGATGGCTCGGACCTCAGCGCAGTGGAGCTGGCTCGTCTCTGTGGGAACACCTTGCCCTCCACTCAGCGCTCGTCGGGATCCTCCATGACCCTGCGCTTCCGAACGGACACCAGCGTCGCACACAAAGGCTTCAAGGCCCGCTACTCCATATGTGAGTATATACAAGACCGGGTACTGCATATGTGAGTATATACAAGGCCGAGTACAGTCCCTGACAAAAGTCTTGTCACTTATCCATTTTGTAGAAACAAAAGCTTATAACCTGACTTTAAATTAATCGATTGGTTTTAGAAATGTCTCATATGAAAGCTAAGACCTTCCCAAATTATGCTCAATATACTAAAATAAATGTGCTTCACTGAAGAAAGATCGATCATTTAATGAACACAGAAAGGTCAGATTTTGGCAAGACAAAAGTCTTGTCGCCTTGTCATATGATGCACTCAATCCTAGATTACAGCCTCACCTGTGATCAGTTATTGATCAATCAATTAGTGGGTGGTATAAAAAGAACCCCAGCACATCAGACCTTCACATCAACTGCAACTTGACCTCTGACAACATGCCTAAGATCCACCCTGAGACCAAAGCGTTAATTATCAAGAGGCTGAAGACCAGATCCACTGCTGAGGTGGCTGACACCTTCAATGTGTCTCAGCGTCAAGTACAAAGAATAAGAAAAAGATCTAAAATGACTGGAGATGTTTTTGACAAGCCCAGGTCCGGCAGACCAGCAGTTGTCTTGCACAACTGCTTGGGAGGACCGTTTGTTGATTCGAAAATCCAAGGCCAGCCCCTTTTCCACTGCAGCAGAGCTCCACCAGACCTGGTCACCTCAAGTCCCTGTGTCAACCAGAACAGTTTGTAGAATTCTGTCTCGAAATGGCCTCCATGGTCGAATCAGTGCACAGAAACCAGCACTAAACAAAAGGCAATTAAAAAACCGTGTGGCATTTGCCAGGGCCCACAGCCTGCTAAAAGGATGGACACTGGAAAAGTGGCAGAAGGTGGATTTCTCAGATGAATCCTCGGTTGAATTACATCACAGCTGCCGCAAATATTGCAGGAGACCTACTGGAGCCTACATGGATCCAAGATTCACCCAGAAAACAGTTAAGTTTGGTGGCGGAAAAATCATGGTCTGGGGTTACATCCAGTATGGGGGTGTGCGAGACATTTTGCTGGGTGGAAGGCAATATCAATAGCCTAAAATATCAAGAAGTATTAGCTACCTCTTACATTCCCAACCATAAAAGGGGTCAAATTTTGCAGCAGGAGGGTGCTCCATCGCATACTTCTATCTCTACATCAAAGTTTCTCAAGGCGAAGATCATCAAGGTGCTCCAGGACTGGCCAGCCCAGTCACCAGACATGAACATCATTGAGCATGTCTGGGGTAGAATGAATGAGGAAGCATGGAAGACAAAACCAAAGAATCTTGATGAACTCTGGGAGGCACGTAAGACTGCTTTCTTTGCTATTCCTGATGACTTTTGTCAGGGACTGTACTAGAGCCTGACCGATATCTGTTGGCCGATATTATCGGCTGATATGGGCACCTGGAAACATCGGCAATTGGCCGATATGCTTGCTGATATGGGCCAATATTTCACATGGGCATGTTATATGTCGTTATAAAGCTTAGACTCTCTACATGTTCATTTAATCCAATTTACAGGCAGATAAATGTCCTTGTATGTGGCTCCACATCAGTATTTATCTGCGGTGTCATTTGTCTGTGTGTGTGTCCTTACTGTCCCTGAACACACCCCCAAAGTCACATCACTGACGTGCGTTTGTTTATATCCGCAGACATAGATCCAAACACTTAGATTATATTCTTTTAACGGACAATTGGTTTGAGTCTGGATTAAAAGGACATTTATTAGTGCAGACTTGTGATGTGAGGAGGAACCTGTGTGAGCACTGAGTGTTGGAAATATGTCGATTTTGAAGCTAGTTTTGGTTCTTTGTTATGGGTTAGCGATTAGCTGCTGTAGCTCCCTCACATAAACAGGCTGTTTTCTATCGGTCTATTGTAAACTGACGATATTGGCCGTAAATTTGTTACTGGACCAGCACTAATATGTAAATGAGCTGTGAATAGAGGTGTGAATGATGACATTTACGCATATAATTAATTACTGCCGCTCACGCATTTACGGTTAAAGGCTAATAACAGTACTTTACTTTCTTTGCTCACTAGTAGTGATGGGTTGGCTGCGAACGAAACAGCTCATAGAGCCGGCTCTTTGATGGGAGCCTGCTCCTTATTGCGTGCCGTGTATTCTTTTTCTCACTTTTTTTCTCTTCACACCGCGTGCAGACTCGTAGTTTGACAGCAGTAGTGGATAAAAATGAAACTATCAGAAATATGAGTGTGCATAGGAGAGAAAAAATTTGCATATTTGGCTGTAGTTCAGCATAAAATAAATAAACCAGTATTAATCTTGGGCTCGAGAGAGCGAGAGAGATACAGAGTCCTGACACTCAGTCCTGGTTCAGTTTTGGTTTAGTCCTGTTTTACACATGGTTTAGATCTGTTTTAGTCTTGGTTTAGTCCTTTTTCAGTTCTGGTTTAGACCTGGTTCAGTTCCGGTTTAGTTCTGCTTGCAACAAAAAAATCTGAAGAGTCGCTTGGGAGCCGAAAGAGCCAGCTGCTTTTAGTGAGCCAAAAATGCCATTAGGCCTATCTACTGTCTGTAAATATGATGTAAAGAAGCAGAAAAACAATAAATGTTGCCTAAATAAATCCAATTTAAAATCCACTAGAGCCAAACCTAAGTTTTTTAAACAATTCAAGATTTACAGTCAATTTTTACATCACTAAATATATCGGCAGCTCCAACTCCCATTTCATCGGTTTCATATCGGCCGTAGCCAAATCCATTTCGGTCGGGCCCTACCGGGTACTGCATATGTGAGTATATACAAGGCCGAGTACTGCATATTTGAGTATATACAAGGCCGAGTACTGCATATGTGAGTATATACAAGGCCGAGTACTGCATATGTGAGTATATACAAGGCCGAGAACTGCATATGTGAGTATATACAAGGCCGAGTACTGCATATGTGAGTATATACAAGGCCGAGTACTGCATATGTGAGTATATACAAGGCCGAGTACTGCATATGTGAGTATATACAAGGCCGAGTACTGCATATGTGAGTATATACAAGGCCGAGTACTGCATATGTGAGTATATACAAGGCCGAGTACTGCATATGTGAGTATATACAAGGCCGAGTACTGCATATGTGAGTATATACAAGGCCGAGTACTGCATATGTGAGTATATACAAGGCCGAGTACTGCATATGTGAGTATATACAAGGCCGAGTACTGCATATGTGAGTATATACAAGGCCGAGTACTGCATATGTGAGTATATACAAGGCCGAGTACTGCATATGTGAGTATATACAAGACCGAGTACTGCATATGTGAGTATATACAAGGCCGGGTACTGCATATGTGAGTATATACAAGACCGAGTACTTGCATATGTGAGTATATACAAGACCGAGTACTGCATATGTGAGTATATACAAGACAGAGTACGGCATATGTGAGTATATACAAGACCGAGTACGGCATATGTGAGTATATACAAGACCGAGTACGGCATATGTGAGTATATACAAGACCGAGTACTGCATATGTGAGTATATACAAGACCGAGTACTGCATATGTGAGTATATACAAGACCGAGTACTGCATATGAGAGTATATACAAGACCGAGTACTCAATATGTGAGTATATACAAGACCAAGTACTGCATATGTGAGTATATATAAGACCTGGTACTGCATATGTGTGTATAATAGAGCCCGAGCGATATATCAGTTCACCGATATTATTGGCTGATATGGGCACTTGAAGACATATCGGCTATCGGCCGATATGTGTGCTGATATGGACTGATATTTCACGTGGGCATGTTTATACCTAATTATAAAGTTTAGACTCTATACATTATATTCATTTAATCCAATTTACAGACAGATAAATGTCCTAATATGTGGCTCCGCATCAGCATTTATCTGTCATTTGTCTGTGTGTGTGTCTGTACTGTACTGTCCCTGAACACACGTCACTTATGTCAGGTCACTCACGTCAGGTCACTCACGTCAGGTCACTCACGTCAGGTCACTCATGTGCGTTTGTTTACATCCGCAGACATAGATCCATGTGCAACACTTGGATTATATTCTTTTTACGGAAAACCGGTTTGAGTCTGGATTAAAAGGACATTTATTAGTGCAAGCTTGTGATGTGAGGAGGAACCTGTGTGAGCACTGAGTGTTGGAAATATGTCGACTTTGAAGCTAGTTTTGGTTATTGGTTAGCAATTAGCTGCTGTTTTCTCTTCTATTGGTCTATTGTAAAATGACTATATTGGCTTTATATTTGTTACTGGACCTGCACTGATATGTAAATGAGCTACATTGATATGTAAATGAGCTGTGAATATGATTAATTACCGCGGCGCACAGCATTTACGGCTAAAGGCTAATAGTGGTAGTTTCTTTACTAGCTAGTAGTGATGGGTCATCGCGAATGAAACGGCTCTTAGAGCCAACTCTTTGAAGCGAACGACGGGAGCCTGCTCCTTATTGGGAGCCGTGTTTTCTCTTTCTGTCACTTTTTTTCTCTTCACACCACATGCATACTCGTGGTAGTTTGACAGCGGCAGCGACTGAAAACGAAACTTTCAGAAATGTGCGCGTGTACAGGATAAAAAAAGTGCATGTTTGGCTGTAGTTCAGCATAAATGAAATAAACCAGGACTAATCTTGGTCTTGAGAGAGGGAGAGAGATAGAAACTGAGTCCTGACACTCAATCCTGGTTCAGTTCTGGTTTAGTCCTGTTTTACACATGGTTTAGACCTGTTTTAATCCTGTTTTAGTCCTTTTTCAGTCCTGGTTTAGACCTGGTTCAGTTCTGGTTTAGTCCTGCTTGCAACAAAACAATCTGAAGAGTCGCTTGAGAGCCGAAAGAGCCAGCTGCTTTTAGTGAGCCGAGCCAAAAGAGTCTGTTCTCTAAAAAGAACTGGAATACCCATCACTAGTAGCTAGAATGTGATGCAAAAATGCCATTAGGCCTATCTACTGTCTGTAAATATGACACAAAGAGTCAGAATAACAATAAATGTTTAAGCCAATGATGTTCATTTTGTCTTCTTATATACTTTAACTTCTTAGTTTCTTTTTAAAGACAATGCAGTAAAGTGTATTTACCTTGTTGACATGTTTCGGCTGCTAGCTGCAAGCCATCTTCAGAACTGTCACCGGTGTTGGTGGTGACGTGTCGTATATCAGCTGTTGTTACTTCCTGTAGGCGTGGTCAGCCTGATGGACCTGGCAGGTCACTCAGACTGACCACGCCTCCTGTCGCCCGGTGTTCTCTGGAGGAGGGTGTCCCAGGTGTGTGAAAGGAGGAACGCGCCATCATCACGGTTAATGCTGTCCGTGCCTCGTTTCCTGATTTCAATGGCCTCCTTGATCCAGTGTTTGAACTTGTTGTTTTCTGATCCGATGACCCGAGCCCCGTCCCAATCCATAATGTGGTTGTTCCTTTTACAGTGGTCTGATATGGCGGATTTTAGGTTTTCCTGTTCTGCTTTATTTTTTTTGTGTTCTGGTGAGTCTCCTTGACGTTTCCTTTTCGCATTCCTTTTGGTGTTCCTTTTTTCGGATGTGAAATGCCCGGCCTGTTTCCCCTATGTATGATTTATTGCATGATTTGCATTGAATTTCGTATATGGCATTGCATTTTTGTTCTTGTGGGATTTTGTCCTTGGGGTGTACGAGTTGTTGGTGGAGTTTTGTGTATGGTTTTACTACAGTGCTTATGTTGTGTTTTTTCATGGCTCTGGATGGGTTCGGTTATGCCTCTGATGTATGGTAGTGTGACTATGTTTTTGTCCTGCTGCCCTGTGTTGGATTGTTGTGTTTTTTTCTGGGGTTTGTTGGTTTTATTGATAACTTGTTGTCTGCCTTTGTTTATGGCCCAGCTGGGATATTGGCATTGTTTGAGTGCTTGTATGATGTGTCTCTCCTCTTCCTCCCTGTCGGTGTGGTCTGTGATGAGTGTGGCCCGTTCGAATAATGTTCTTACTACTGAAAGTTTGTGTGCAGTGGGATGTTCGGTTGTCCAGAGTAAATATTGGTCAGTGTGTGTGTAGGTTTCCGGTATACAGTAATTTTGATGCTGCCGTCTGCGATGTGGTGGATTTTAATGTCCAGAAAAGGTATGGCTCCGCCTTTCTCCTCCTCGTGTGTGAATTGAATGTTACCTGTGTCGTCTTGTGTGTTGAGATGGTCCGTGAGTTCTTGCGTGTGTCCTTGCTGTATTTTTTCCAGGGTGTCATCTACGTAGCGTTTCCAAAAGGTTAAACGGCATTGTGGTGGTGCGGTGTTGAATGCTTTCTGTTCCAGTGTCCTCCATGAAAAAACTGCTCATTATTGCTGATAGTGGATCTCCCATTGCAAACCCCTCTTTCTGTCTGTAAATTATGCTATTGTACTGAAAATATGTAGATTTGGCCACGAAACGTAATAACTGTGTAATGTCATCAACTGTTAGATTTGTGCGTTTTTTGAGTGTTCTGTCCTTTTTAAGTTTTTCTTGTACTATGCGTAGTGTGACATCCACGGGTGTTTGGTGAACAGTGATATGACGTTGTGTGATATGAGTATTTCATCCGGTGCTATTGTAATGTTTTTTAGTTCCGGTAACATACAATTTATCCAAAGCCCTGGTCGAAATAATAAAACCACTCATCGGTCAAACTAAATTCCACTGCAAGAATGCAAAACAATTGACACGTTCTGATGCCTCAAGGCCGCTCTCCTCTTTTTATTTCATTAGGAGGCCCTAGTTACGGAACGATAATTCTCAAGGGGAAGGGGAAACAGCAAAGACATAATAAGAAACTGATGAAGCTATGCATAGTACAAACAGGAGGTGCCTTAGGTATGGTCAGACACCATCATAACTCTTGCATGTGTGACAGTGGGAGTTGGCTTCATGTGAGGAATCATCTCGAGGTTCACAAGAGCGATAGGTCACTGCACACAGTTGTCAAACACAAAGAGGTTATTCATTTTCATACAAGTGATTGGTACATTATAAATCAAAGAATTGTAGTTACATAAATGGTTAACTCATAGGCATAGAATATCACACAAGTATTTAGCAAATATGGGATAATAAAATTATTCTGACAGACAGACAAGACCGAGTCCAAACGCGAGTCCGAGACGAGACACGGCGATCTACCCACACGACCTTGGCGATCGACTGGTAGATCGGGATCGACATATTGAGCACCCCTGATTTAAAGGAACGAGGCAATTAGCTGCCTGTCGCCACCCGGACGAATATTAGATCACTCTGCCAGTCATTATATACTACACTGTACTACAGCACGGACACTCGACAATGACATAATATTTGCAGGTAATAATTAATAAATTTTTATTTTTAAAAAGTGATATTGGATAATTTCTCACGGCACACCTGACTATCTCTCACGGCACACTAGTGTCATGTCAATGTAAGGTCATTGTCATATGGGTGGGGTTTTAAATTATTTTTGCTTCATTTTTCAATACCTTTTTGGGTATGTACAATAATATTGTGATACTGTGACCCGAATAATCACAATTATCCATTATACTGGTTATTCGTTATTCATTAAAATGCTGCTTACAGCACAAAAATCTGAATTTTTTCTCATTAATGTCAGAATGATCCTGGAGAATCAGATATCTCATATCTACACATTCACTATGAAACTGAAAAAACACAACAATGTGTTCTCCTCCTCCACAGCGACGTGTGGAGGCCGCTTCATCGGACAGAGCGGCCTCATCCACAGTCCAGGTTTCCCGGGGTCACATTACCCTGATGGCTCACTGTGTGAGTGGTACCTGGAGGGCCCCACTGGACACTACCTGACCCTCACATACCAGACCCTCAACCTGACCACCTCCAGCGGCTGCTCCCAGGACTATGTGGAGATCAGAGAGTACAACGCATCAGGTCAGGACACGTATCAACACCTGTACCCAAGAGCTGTGACTCCCAGCCTTCCCCATTTTTGTTATTATATTTAAACCCCTATATTTTCTGTCTGTGCTTTTTGTTGCACATTCAAAAATCATTTAAACCTGAAAGTTCCTGTAGTGTGCTGTGGACTTTAGTCTGTGTTTAATTTTGTTTCTATAGGCGAGATCACCCATTCACAAAATCTGCACAGCCAATGAGCTTATGGGGAGAGAGTGCCCCCATCCTTCACTGAGGAACTACACCAGCTCTGATTAGCCAGTCAGCAAACTAGAAAGAAGGGAATCGATTAATTAAAACTATACATAATTATTCATGTTGCTTTAAGAATATTATAAAGTTAATACATTTAAACAAATCTCTCATGTAGAAGTGATTTCATTTTCAAAATTTTTTTTTTTGCTTGTTGTTTGAACAAACATGCAGTGCTTCCCCCCAGTGGACCCAGACCCCATTTTGGGCACCACGGGCCTAAATCAATATGAACAGTGTCATTTGCCAGAGTTACTTGTGGTAATATAATGTGACAATGCTACTGCCTGTAACATTATCAAAAAAATTAATCACACTTTCTACAGTAGGTTTTGCTGTGGATATGTTCCTCTAGGCTGGGAAACCCTGTCATAACCTTAACCCTTATGTGTTGTAGGTCTGCAGCTAGGCCGGCACTGTGGCTCCTCTGTCCCAGCTCCTATGGACACCTCAGACAGCTTTGCCTATGTGAAGTTTGTGAGTGATGGAAGTGGGAACGCCCCCGGCTTCAGCCTCATGTTTGAGGCCAGTGTGGAAGGTAAAGTCTGACCCTACCATAACAAGTAAAGCAACAGGCAACTAGAGAAAAGAGCTTCTAAATATAAATGTGTGTTGTGATCTAAAGGCAATACAAAACACTAGATTCCTCAGATGGTGTTTGTGTACCGTATTTTCCGCATTTTAAGGCGCTCTGGATTATAAGGCACGCTGTCATTGAATGGTCTATTTTCAAACTTTTTTCACATATAAACTACACCGGACTATAAGGCGCATTAAACGAAACACAACAGTTGGATAAGTGAGTCAAACATTATTTAACGCGTTCACATTAACTCTCAACTTTGTTCAATTGTAACTCGTAAAAAAATACTGTCTGAGAGTGTTGTTAGAACATTCACAATAACCCCGAATTCACACCAGGAGCTGTAGCAGCGCTTAATGTAGGCGGAGCTGCGCGTACGCGTAAATTTCAAAGTTTCAATTCACACCAGAGCGTCAGAGACGCTCCTGCTACGCAGCCTGCACATCTTCTCACTGTTTTCAGACATCACATTTTGTACTTGCTTTTTATCATTTATTTATGTTAAAGTGTATAGTTAGAATGTGTATTGTGAATTAAGTGTACAACTGCAACACAGTTGCGTTTAATGAGGTTTAAATTTATTAGCACGCACATTAAACACCTCAGTTTTTGTTTTTTGTGTTTTTTCTTTAATAAGTTGAAATCACTTAAGATACATAAGGTGAAATCACTTAACATACATTATGAGCATGATTAAAATCTCCGTACAGGTAATAAGGCCAATACGTTTATGTGTGGATACAGAGTCCTGCACCGAAGGATACGGGCAAATAGTTGCTGAAACGGGCAAGTTTTAACGTTCTGGAATTTTAAGGGCGGGTCAAGATTAAACCAGAACTACATCAGGACTAAACCAGGTCTAAACCAGGTCTAAACCAGGAATAAACCAGGACTAAACCAGGACTAATCTTGGAGAGAGCGAGAGAGAAGGCGAACCCTGAGCCCCACGGAGCAGGGTGTCCGAAAAGCGCGACGGCGGCACGTACCTTCTCGTCTCCTTTCGCCCGCGGTCACTCAGGTCTACATGGAAGGACCTCCGAGCACATTCAGACAGTGAGTCCTGGTTCTGGTTTAGTCCTGGTTTAGTCCTGAGTCCTTATAGAATTGTCTGACATCGTAAATTACGTTATATTTCTCCACTTCGAGGATTAACTTTTCGTCGTCCATCATTAACCTTTCCTTGGATACAGTGCACGTTGTTTACCTCATTGTCTTGACTTTGGTTAAGTTATTTTGAAAGGGCGAAAGGGCATCGGAAGTTTATTTTGACATTGCATGTTTATTTCCTGTCTTTCCCCTGCTTAAAACCTTGGACACGTGCAGTTGACGCTGCAAAATTAGAACTCCAACCTATCTCGAGCAGCGCATCAGCGTCAGACGCTCGTTGGACGCGCGTATGACACTGCCAGTGTACATTGTCAGTCCGGTTAAAATGGATTTCTAGAGTGGCGCGTCTGCTGCTCATGTGCTGTGCTACTGCACTTACGCGCCGTTGCGCTTTGGTGTGAATTGGGGGTAAGCCATAATTGTTCAAACAGTTCTGCGATTACGGTGTCCAGCACGCCCGCATCCCTTTCGTCCTTATCCGAGTCAGTGTGATTACAGTTCAGTGATGATTCCGGTCTTGGTGAAAGCTCATACCACAGTTGATACTGATCCTTAGCCCAAGCGTCCACGATCCATTGGCAAATTGTGACGTAAGTTGCTCAGCGCTGTGTCCCTGTCTGGTGTATGTGTGTTCACCTTCTCGCATCCACTGCTCCCACACAGCTCGCACTTTAACTTTGAACGACTTGTTGACACCAACATCTAGTGGCTGAAGTTCTTTAGTTAATCCACCGGGAATGATGGCAAGCACTGTTTGCTTCACTTCCTGACCTGTGGGGGCCTCAGGGGTCAATCCTGGGCCCCCTGTTGTTCAATCTCTACATGCTGCCTTTAGGCCAGTTAATAAGCAGCAATAATGTGTCCTACCACAATTATGCAGATGACACTCAGATCTATGTCTCTCTGGCAGCAGGACATTATGGACCAGTGGACTCACTTTGTCACTGCATCCAACAGATCAGTGTGTGGATGCAAAAGAACTTCCTCCAGCTAAACTCTGACAAGACTGAAGTCATAGTGTTTGGTCCACAGAAACAAAGGGACAGTGTCAGCAGTCACCTCCAGTCTCTCTCTCTAAAACCTTCAAATCAGGCAAGAAATCTCGGGGTAATAATGGACTCAGACTTGAACTTTAACAGCCACATCAAATCAATAACATCTGCAGCCTTTTACCATCTAAAAAACATAGCAAAAATCAAAGGTTTACTGTCTAAAGCAGACTTGGAGAAACTTATCCATGCGTTTGTCTCCAGTAGGTTAGACTACTGTAATGGTCTGCTCACTGGTCTCTCCAAACGAGCTGTGAGATGATGCAGAACATCCAGAACACTGCAAATCCAGCTCTCGACATAAACATCATTGGTTGAGCAGTCAGATCCACTGACCCACAGGTTGGCTGGTGTGATTCCAGTTCCTACAGATGAATGCTGCCGTTGTGTCCTTGGGCAAGACACTTAACCCACCTTGCCCACAGTGTCTGTGTACACTCGTGTGTGAATGTGTGTGTGAATGGGTGAGTGGTTCCTTGTTGTAAAGCGCTTTGAGTGCCTTGAAGGTGGAAAAGCGCTATAGAAAAATGTGACCATTTACCATTTTACCATCATTGATCCTTTTAGTGCCTCTATCTGACTGCGCTTCACTATCACAACACGCTGAGCTACACAGTGCATTTTCGTGAGCCCTAGTCTTTGGCGACAGGTAATGAATGTCTACTGCTCCTGTCCATTCACAAAAATGTCCAAATTTTCTCACAACCCAGCTTTTCGTAGTTTCTCTGCTTGGCCTTATCATTGTGCCTTGAGCCAAGTGCGGTGCTGCACTCGTAGTACCAGGACCTTTACGCCCAGTGATGTGCCTTCTAAGTTAAATGCATTCTAAATATAACTCTGGTGCATGATCCCAGGGTTGACGGCTGGGAATCCACTTTACGCAGCTCACTTTCAGGAGTTTGGGATGATGGGCGCAGAATGACTTGCCCGTCCTTGGCACAATGTCAACTATACAACCAGATTCATTGTTAGAGAACGCATGTTTTGACGTGAAATTATATTTAGAATGCGTTTATCTTATCCGATTGTTGAAGGCGCAACACTGTAGGTCTTGGTACTGCAAGTGCAGCCGAGCAGTGTGGCTACAAGGGACAGATGTGTAAGAATCTGGAACTTTTATGAATGAACAGATTACGGGGCGTTACCTGTCACTGCAGATGGCGGCGCTCGGCAACGCGCACTTGGCTCCAGGCGCAATGATACGGCCAAACAGATAAACTATGAAAACCTGGATTGTGTGACAATTTGGACATTTTTGTGGATGGACAGGAGCAGTAGACATTCATTACCTGTTGCCAAAGACCAGGGCGCACGAGAATGCGCTTGTGAAGCTCAGTGTGTTGCGGGAGTGAAGCGGTGCTGGGCTCGCAGTCAGATAGAGGCACTAAAAAGATCAATGATTTAGGAATTTGGATATTTTCATGAATAAGGGCTAAAGGACTGGAATTTTACCTGGTCATGGAGGACAAGAGCGCCTTACACAGGGACCCAGAAATGTGTGGGTCCCTTATAAACCCATAAAAGTTTATCAAGAGGCAGCTGCAGCTCTGCTTCTCCTTGTGCTCGCACTTATAGATGTGGACCTTTGCGCACTCATTAACCTGGCACCGCGCTCTCACCTGCAGGGAGGTCAGAGCAGTGTGCATAAAGCTCCGCGCGCTGTAATGACGCAGAGCATGCCAAATACCCTGCTATACGGGATTACGGTTCTCTTTCTCTATCTCTCTCTCGTCCAAGATTAGTCCTGGAGTAGTCCTGGTTCACCGTGTCGGAATGACGGCATCAAAGTGTCGGAATGGGGGCAACAAAAAGTGTCGGAATGGGGGCATGTTGGGGTGGAGGGTTGTCGGAATGACAGTATGTCGGAATAGGGGTTGCTGCCCCGCATGGTGTAAGTCGTACTAACACTCGAATAAATTCATATATAAAGTGCTCTAGATTATAAAGCACACATTCGTTTTTGGATGAAATTAAAGGCTTTTAACCGTGCCCTGTAGTGCGGAAAATACGGTAATCATTTGGTTTATCTTTTTACTTATGTAGTGTGTGGTGGAGTGTTGAGCGCTCCCTCTGGAACCATCACATCACCGAACTACCCCAACCTGTACCCCCACAGCCGGCTGTGCCGCTGGGAGGTGGTGGCTATGCCAGGACGCAGAGTCACCCTGACCATCAACGACCTGCGGCTGGAAGCCTCCGGGACCTCCTGTGTGTACGACTATGTGGAGGTGAGGACCTGTGTGTATGACTAAGCAGGGACCTCCTCTGTGTAAGACTATGTGGAGAAGGCGACCTCCTCTGACAGGAGGTCCTCAGGACCTCAGAACAGGTGAGATGCATTGTACCAGGTTGTAGCATCAGTGCTAATTCCACCTGTAGTCCCTGGGCAGCTTCATTGATTGATTGCCTTTAATTGACTATAGCTATTAGCTATCAGTAAAATTGGGGTGCAAAGTTAATCCTGGTGATTGTGTGGTGCAGGTGCTGAACGGGCTGGCTGCAGATGCCCCTCGCCTGCAGAGGTTCTGTGGGAACGTCCCAGCTGGTACTCAGGTGGAGTCCTCTGGAAACAAAATGGCTGTGTTATTCAGGACAGATGCCTCTGTGTCCAATGGAGGCTTCAGCGCATCCTACTCCACAGACGAGCCTGCAGGTAAGAAGGCTCTCAGTATACGTTCTGCGGGGATGAGGATACTGTTAGGGCTGTTGCGCTTCAAGAATGTCTCTTGAGGTAACTTTACATGCCTCAACGCTGCGATGTATCGTCTGTGCAGTGTAGCACAGAAGCCCATAATAATACATGCACACTGGGGTTGTACTTGAAAAATATGTAAGACCACAGGCAGGTCTAAGTGACAGACACGTGCACATGCATGTGTAGGATAATGTAGTTTTACAGATGAGTTATGAAGATACATTAGTATTATCCTCCATTGAGTAACACGTGAAAAACTTGGATTCTTACTGTGAGCCCTGTCGCCTCTTCACAGATCTGACCTGTAACTTAGGCTGTTGCTTGTCTCCTTCGCAATAGAGAAGCTTAATGCCATACTGAGAGGCAAAGTCAAAAATAGGGTTGTCCTTATTTATGAACTTTTAAAATCATATGGTCTGACCTCCAACTGAGGAGACATTGTGATCTTTTAAAGTTTTATGAAAATACATTCATATTTATCGGCAGCTCAAACTATGGAGTAAGAAAGCTTTCAAAAATATTTGTGCGCATAGAATAGAAATCCATGCGTATTTGGGAAATCCTTGCATATTTGGCTGTAGTTGCGCATAAAATAAATATCTGTAAACTCTCAAATGAGTCCAGTCGTACATAAAATATATTGTGTGTATTCTATCCATCAGAATACAAATTGAAAAGTTACGATATCAAGAATTACAATCACGAAATGAAAATTTACGATTACGCTTTCATCAATACGAATACGAATTAACAGACGGGACTTTACTGTCAAAAATATGTCATCACTTCACAGACATTATTTATCGAGCAGAAGAAACATCGATCAAGATCAAGACTGCGCATGTTTAAGTTTGTAGCAGAGGGTAAAAACAGAGTAATGGCACAACAAGGAGCTACATCAGCAACCAACAAGTGGGTTAATTAAAATTTATTGTAAAAATGTCTTGTCTTGCCACATTGAATTCGGGAACCGAACACTGCTGTGTAATATTGTGTAGAAATCCCTCCTCTGAATGGGAAATTGCACCTATATCTTAGTAGATAACATAGTGGAGCCAGTTGGTGAACATTAGATGTAACATTATCCCAGCTGTCCTGGTTACAGACATCACAGCCAATGAAATGTTACACATTACAGTTTAATGCAGCTTCAGCATCAATTAATGTTCGTGTTTATGTCCTGATATGTAATATTGTTATACATGGTGTTACCAGCAGAGGGCATGGTGATTGGGGTGGGACTTCCTGGGATATACGAGAAAAAGGAGAACATTAAAAAAGTTAAAGCATGAGCTCTTTGGTTCATAAAACGATGTCTCGTCATTTTTTATTAATATGAACAACACAGTTTATAGGCAACACCTTGGTATATACAGTATTTACCAGTAAGCATAACGTCACTGTGTCGTGGTGTGGATTTGCGAGTTATAACCCATTATAACTCATATATAACCCATTGTCTGCAACCAGGACAGCTTAGTAGTGTTTGGTGTAAACTGGAACATTTCAGCGTCCCGAGGAACTTTTGGTCGCATTTTATGTGAGAAATGCAGGTGAAATGAAGGTTAAGACTGACTGATGCTCGCTAAACATTCAGAGAACCCTGATATTTGCTAATTAGCCCTGGGATACGTTACGTTACGTATGATATTAGCCAACTGGCTACCACTATGTTATCTACTAAGATATAGGTGCAATTTCCCATTCAGAGGAGGGATTTCTACACAATATTACACAGCAGTGTTCGGTTCCCGAATTCAATGTGGCAAGACAAGACATTTTTACAATAAATTTTAATTAACCCACTTGTTGGTTGCTGATGTAGCTCCTTGTTGTGCCATTACTCTGTTTTTACCCTCTGCTACAAACTTAAACATGCGCAGTCTTGATCTTGATCGATGTTTCTTCTGCTCGATAAATAATGTCTGTGAAGTGATGACGTATTTTTGACAGTAAAGTCCCGTCTGTGAATTCGTATTCGTATTGATGAAAGCGTAATCGTAAATTTTCTTTTCATTATTGTAATTCTTGACGTTGTAACTTTTCAATTCATATTCTGATGGATAAAATACACACAATATATTTTATGTACGACTGGACTCATTTGAGAGTTTACAAATATTTATTTTATGTGCAACTACAGCCAAATATGCACGGATTTCCCAAATACGCACGGATTTCTATTCTATGCACACCAATATTTTTGAAAGCTTTCTTACTCCATATCAAAAGCCCTGAAGTTTCTGTAACTGATTTCAGCGCTATTCATCATGATCATCATCTGCTCCTTTCGATCACACATGGCCTAAGGAATTTTTTAACTCTTGTATTTTTCCATTGGATAAGGAGCAGCCTGTTTTGAGCTTACACAATGTTATAATGTTACCTCCTCAAAACCAGACTTGAAGTTGTGTTTTGGTTCATTCACATGTGTTTGAGTAACCATTTATAGTCTGTCTCCAAAGCTCCAAATGCTCTGTTCCACCTTGTGATGTCATGAAGCAGTAGTTTTCAAGTGAACACCTCCTTTTACCTTTTGTTTAGTGGAGATGGGACATTCTAGAGCTGAAATTATCTTCATGATTCTAGTGAAGGTGTATGGAGTTTAAAAACATAGTGGAGCATTTCCTGTGTTAACACATTACATGACAAGGTGGAACAGAGTGTTTTCTGTTAGAGAGAGAGAGTGTGTGTGAGTGAGAGTGTGTGAGTGTGTGAGTGTGTGGGTGAGAGTGTGTGTGAGTGTGTGTGAGTGTGTGAGTGTGTGTGTGTGTGTGTGGGTGTGTGTGTGTGTGTGTGAGTGTGTGAGTGTGTGATTGTGTGTGTGAGAGTATGAGAGTATGAGAGTATGAGCGTGAGAGGAAATATGTATGAATAAACAAAATACAACTCCAGGTCTGTTCATGATGAGGAAACAACATTATGACACATCAGAAAATAGTGTAATATGAACCTTTTGACACTTAAGTTGTCTAATCCTGTCCATGTGCTTGCAGTGTGTGGGGGTATCCTGGGCAGTTCATCTGGGGGAAACTTCACTTCTCCAGGGTACCTGGTCTCCAACTACAGCAGTAACCTCAACTGTGAGTGGCTCATCCAGAACCACCACCACATCAACTCCTCCATCGTGGTGCTCATCCAGGACTTACACCTGCAGAGCCACCAGACCTGTGCCAACGACTACCTGCAGTTCAGACTGGGTAAGACGGGATTCGCATGAAGAGATTGTGCTCTTCGAAATATGTGTCTCACCTGCACTTTGGCCTGATCAGTTATAATAAGGATGAAACCACAACTAAACCAGATCTATATCAGGACTTAACACAGTTTGTGCTGGCATATGAAAAATCAAGACTGGAAAAGTTTGTATCTCAGTCAAAGGTCTGAGTGCAGTTTAACAGGAGGACTTGTCAGGGAGGGTCAGCAGATCTGTGTTAGGGCAGATTGAGGAGAGGAAGAGTCAAAGTGTCCCTCCTCTGTGTCCTGCTGCATCACAGCAGTGTCCAGGGGTAACCACTTGAACACAACAGGAGAGTCTCTTCTAAGCTTTAGTCTTGCTCCAATCTCTATTTTATTGTTGTGGTCGGCGATGAAAGTCTTTCCTGTGGAAGATCTTCGGCCTCTCTTGCTGCTACATTTGGTGTAAATCACCAGAAGCATCTCAAAGGTCCATTACAACATAGAACAAACAGCCCATTTCAACAATCCAACAGTCTCTCTGAGCTGCACATGCTGCACGTTGTAGTTGGCTCAAATCCTCCTGTTGTCCTGTTACTGTTGCCTGTTACTGTTATCCTGTGGTTGCTAGGTGATGCCAGTGGAGAGCAGCTGGCTAAGTTTTGTGGACAGACCACCTCCAGTGTGCCCATAGTGGTCTTCACCCCTCAGCTGTATGTTCACTTTCAGAGTGACTCCTCACAGGAAGATGTGGGCTTCAGGGCACAGTACTACTTCTCTGGTAAGACTTACTGCCATATCTCAGAGACTGGAGAGTACTTCATACTAAACTGAAAAATAGTACTTCATAATGACTGGTGTCCTTCACACTGACTAACATGTGTACTTTGTATTTCAGAGTGTGGAGGTTGGCAGATGGGGGAGGGAGGGGTGATCTCCAGTCCTAATTACCCTGATTTGTATCCGGGCCCCAGCCGCTGTGCCTGGCTCCTGGAGGCCCCAGCAGGACACACTATCACTGTGAGCCAACAACTGCTCTGTCAGGAAATACATTGCATTACCTGAAAATACACAAGTATAGGCAGTAATTAGAGAGCTTGTCCAGGTCAGCTCAGTTCAGACCAGTGCATACTGTCCCTGTGTCCCTGTGTTTACACATTTACACAATGACATTCCTCAGTTGCCTGTGTTGCCTTTGCCAAATGTCCACTCAAGAATAATCCTATTGTATCTTATATTTCCTCAGCTCACCTTCACTTACTTCCACCTGGAGCCCCACTCCATCTGCCGGTGGGACTCCCTCACCATATTTAATGGGGGCTCACCTGGCTCACCTGTGATTGGTCAGTACTGCGGGACCGACTCTCCAGGGACTGTCCAATCAGGCTCCAACAAACTGGCTGTGGTCTTCCTGGCTGACCACACTGTGTCCACAGGCGGTTTTGTGGCCACCTGGTCAGCTGACTCATCAGGCAAGTCTACACACGGGAGCATCCCTTGTAATACTGTCGTCTGTCCAAAGGAGGAGGCTAAAAAATATCTGCAGTTTCACCAAGAATGAATAGAAAGGTGAAAGTGTACAAGACAGAAGGACCCGAACTGTAGAAGAGAGGATGCAGAGGAAAAAGAGAGATGGAGCAGAGGGGCAGAGGAGAGGGGAACAGAGGAGTGGGTCAGAGAAGAAATTGTGAACCTGGGGTTTAAAATGGATCCAGACCTTAACCTTGAAGGCCAGATTTGCTCAGTCATGAGGTCCAGTTTTTTTCTACGTGCGATAACTGGCCAAAATAAAGCACCTTTTCACACAACAGCACTTTGAAAATGTAAGCCACCACAATCCACACACCTTCATAAGCACCCGGCTGGATGACTGTAATACACTTTATTTTGGGGTAAGTCAGTCCTCTTTTAATAACTGGCACTCGAAAATTTTAGCACATCACCCCAATTGTATCCTCCCATCACTGGCTGCCTGTGCACTTTAGGATCCATTTTAAAAAAAAAACTTTTATTTGATTTGTTTTTAAGTGTTTGAATGATGCTGCCTCGCTGTACCTCTCTGAGCTCCTCCAGGACAGAGTCAGAATGAGTAGAGGATGCAGAGGAGAGGTTCAGAAGAAGCACAGGAGAGGGTCAGATGGAGCAGAGGATGCAAAGGAAGCAGAGGAGAGTCTCAGATGATGATCACACTTCTGATTGTGTCGTAGGCTGTGGAGGGGTGATCCATGCAGACAGTGGGACCATCAAGTCTCCAAACTACCCGCAGAACTTCCCGGCCAACTCTGAGTGTCTGTGGCACATCATCGCTCACGAGGGGAACCACTTGCAGATGAACTTCAGTCCAAACTTCCAGATCCCAGACACTTCCGGCACCTGCAGCTCCAGCTATGTCAAGGTGTGTGCACAAGGAAGTCATCATGGGTCTTTTTAGTCTCGTATTAGTCAAGGTGAAAGGAGCTATACCAGTTTTTTTTATTGTCCTAACATCGTAATTATTCACCACAAATTTATAAGCACATTTTCTTATTCTCTGAGGATAGAAATCTTTATATTTTGATGCCGACAGCAAACAGCAGTCTCAATTCCACCTTAAGAGCTACTATAGGATATCTGTTCTGAGGTAAAATTATTTTTCTGTGTTCCGGGCAACTGAGATGTCAGATATTTGCCTGTTCTCTGTTCCGACCTCAGAGAATTTCAACGGAATTAAAAGCTCCTTTATGCCCTACGTTATAGGATACGCATAGAGGCTCCCACTATTATATATTACACAATTTTATGATCTTTTATGAACAGACCTGGAGTTGTGTTTTGTTTCATTCACACGTGTTTAACACACAGATCCTACCCTGAGTTCGTCTCTCAGACAGAAAACACTGCTCCACCTTGTAATGTGGTACAAGAAGAGCTCCATTGTGTTAAACTCCATACACCTTCACTAGAATCATTTTGACACTAGCCCCGGAATTGCCAGTCTGAGCTAAAATAGGCAAAGCAAGACAAGTTACAGCACAATTCATACACAAAGTAATTCAAAGTGCTTTACAGAATAAGAAATACATTAAAATCACAATACAAACAAATCAAAATATAAATAATCATCATAAAATTAAAAAGAGGGAGTGACATAAAATTAGAGAGAAGTAAAAGAAGCTGTTAGTTAGAAAACTACTGCTTCATGACATCACAAGTGCAACAGGGCAATTTGAGCTCCAGGTCTGTTTTTGAGAAGTTAAAAACATTTTAACATGGCTTGAAGCATTTCCCAAAGACTGGGTCGTGACCCTCAGGTGGGTCACAAGAGATTTTTTGGGGGGGTTACCTTGTCACCATCTGCATGTCTGTCTGACACAAAAGGGAGCGAGAGAGTTAACGAATCCTCTCTCCCTGTCCTGAACGAGTGCTCCTGCAGCTAAAGTTGAGAAATTCTGCTTGCTGTCCAAAAAGGTGGTGATAAATCAGCAAAGGTCAGTGCACTTCAGGACTTATGGATCCCTTTTATTGCTCGTTCAGTTACTAAGTGATATTACCATATTTTCCGCACTATAGGGCGTGCTTAAAAACCTTTAATTTCATCCAAAAACGACTGCGCGCCTTATAATCTAGAGCGCCTTATATATGAATTTATTCGAGTGTTAGTACAACTTACACCATGCGGGGCAGCAACCCCTATTCCGACATACTATCATTCCGACAACCCTCCACCCCAACATGCCCCCATTCCGACACTTTTTGTTGCCACCATTCCGACACTTTGATGCCGTCATTCCGACACGGTGAACCAGGACTACTCCAGGTCTAATCTTGGACGAGAGAGAGATAGAGAAAGAGAACCGTAATCCTGTATAGCAGGGTATTTGGCATGCTCTGCGCCATTAGAGCGCGCGGAGCTTTATGCACACTGCTCTGACCTCCCTGCAGGTGAGAGCGCGGTGCCAGGTTAACGAGTGCGTAAAGGTCCACATCTATAAGTGCGAGCACAAGGAGCAGCAGAGCTACAGCTGCCTCTTGATAAACTTTTATGAGTTTATAAGGAACCCACACATTTCTGGGTCCCTGTGTAAGGTGCTCTGTCCTCCATGACCAGGTAAAATTCCAATCCTTTAACCCTTATTCATGAAAATATCCAAATTCCTAAATCACTGATTTTTTAGTGCCTCTATCTGACTGCGAGCCCAGCACCGCTTCACTCCCGCAACACACTGAGCTTCACAGCGCATTCTCGTGCACCCTGGTCTTTGGCGACAGGTAATGAATGTCTACTGCTCCTGTCCATCCACAAAAATGTCCAAATTGTCACACAATCCAGGTTTTCGTAGTTTTTCTGCTCGGCCGTATCATTGCGCCTGAAGCCAAGTGTGCGTTGCTGTGTCTCCATCTGCAGTGACAGGTAACGCCCCGTAACCTATTCATTCATAAAAGTTCCAGATTCTTACGCATCTGTCCCTTGTAGCCACACTGCTTGGCTGCTCATGGAGGACAGAGCGCCTTACACAGGGACCCAGAAATGTGTGGGTCCCTTCTAAACTCATAAAAGTTTATAAAGAGCCGGCTGCAGAGCCCCTTCTCCTCATGCGTGCACTTAAAGATGCGGACTTTTAGGCACTCATTAACCTGGCATCTCCACCGCGCTCTCACCTGCAGGGAGGTCAGGCGTATGCTGCCCCTCTCATTCCAACAGAGCAGCATGCGTAAAGCTCTAATATCGAGAGGCTGCCGCATAGGGAGCCAATGACAGTTATGATTTACTGTGAATACACTCACAATTTAGCCTCTCAGACAGTATTTTTTTTACGCATTACAACTGAACAAAGTTGAGTTATTGTGAATGTGTTAAATAAAGTTTGACTGACTTATCTAACTGTTGTGTTTTGTTTAATGCGCCTTATAGTCCGGTGCGGTTTATATGTGAAAAAAGTTCAAAAATATATAAAAATTCTGTGACAGTGCGCCTTATAATCCAGAGCATCTTAAAGTGCGAAAAATATGGTAATTGTGCAAAGACACGATCACTCAGTCAACAATAAAATATCCTCATTAATGTTCAGTAATGCTCAAATCCACCTTTATTTTGTGATTTACCAATAATGTTGACTTGGGTCGCATAGGTTTGTGACTTTTAAAATATGGCTCCCCAGAAAAAAAGTTTGGGAAATACTGACTTAACTGTTCAAGTGTAATGTTCAAGTGTAATACTGTTCAAGTGTAATGTGCCTAATATAGGATCTGTAATTTGTAGCGATGTAACGATATCCAAATCTTTCAGCTATATCACGATATTTTGGAGAGGCTGATATAATTGTAGATTGGACACTTTTTGCTTTTAAAATACGATTTTGGTGAGTGAGTTATTTCTGTCATCCAAAGAATCCAAAGAATTCAAGTAAAAAACATATTTCTTCATGTTGTCTGCGCTGAAATGAATCATGGGATATGTAGTTTCCAATGTTAATAAATTATTACTGTAAAACCATGCATTTAAGCAGAGAAACTTGATTTTGGATATACTGTGACAGCCCACGATATTATTGTGAGACTTTTGATGATACGATATCACGATATTTCAGTTATTGTTACATCACTAGTAATTTGTTTATGTCACATTAAATGTTCTTACTCACTCAGAAAGTGTGATACAACAAAGCTGCTCAATGGAACCCTGATCTACTTCACAAGATCAATGAAAGTGACAACCAATACAGCTACATATACTGCAGCCTGACTTCATGGTTCTGTGTGTACGTGTGCAGGTGTGGGCAGGCCGTGCTCAGACCTCAGACGCCCTCTTGTCCAGCTCCTGTGGCTCTGTGGCCCCTCAGACTGTGGTGGCCCCTGGGAACCTCCTGACCACTCGCTTCCAGAGCACAGGGGCCATAGGGAATGGCTTCTCCGCCTCCTTCAGCACCAGTAAGGAACATTTAGCTGTCTCTAATACAGTAGGTCTGCGCTCTCTGAGTGCTTTTCTAGTTAATTACTTCATTAATCCAGAGGAAAATTCAAGATGCAGTTGTTGCAGTTGATGTTGCTGCAACATTTATACTGCACGTCTCAGTGGCTTTTTTGTGTCTCAGTCAATCATTACAGCAGTGTCCAAGAGGAACCAAAGTGTTTCTCCTGGAAGATCTTCTGCCATATTTGCTGCCACATATGGTGTAAAAAGCCTGTAGCCTGTACGAGAAAAACAACTGTTGATTTCACACAATCCAAGAGTCCCTTGTGTTATCTAAACTCTGGTGCCTGAATATTGTTTGACTCTGTACTGCACATGCTGCATTGTGCTGATAAGATGAGATGGAGTCATTAAAGACTTTGGTCCATGTGTGTTCAGGATGTGGAGCAGATTTCTCAGCCTCTAAGGGCAATGTGGTGTCTCCAAACTACCCCTCAGACTACCCCCTCAGAGCCAACTGTAACTACACCATCTACTCAGGGGGGCAGAGCGTGGTGGTGCTCACCTTCAGAGTGTTCCAGCTAGAAGGTACTCTCAGCACACAGTGCCTGCAGTGAAAGAAAAGAGAAAAGTAGAAAACAAAAGTATTGTACTATGAGTTGTAAAACAGAATCCCCTCTACCTATGTCATCAACACAGTAAACTCCATCCAAAATGCAGAGACAATTTATGCAGAAGGAAGGCATGTGTTGTCATGTACATGTATTTATCATAGACAAATTTGTTGTTTATTTGTTGTTTACGTTATAGTAGGTAACATACCTCTACTACATGTGTCATCTCTGCTGCCCATGTCCAACCAGGAAGTAAAATGATAAACTTCACCAAAATTACAAAGCAAGAAAAGACTAGATAAGAACTTTAGTAAAGTCTTAAATATAAGAATAACTATGCAATAGTGAAATGGGTATTCTAATTTAACCTGTAAATGTGTTTCAGCTCACTCATCATGTGGTTACGATGGTCTGAGAGTCTATAGCCTGCTCTCCAATGGCCCTCCCATTGCCACAGTGTGTGGCTCCACCATCCCGGGGCCCTTCTACACCCTGGGGCCCATGCGCCTCAACTTCTACTCCGACTCAGTGATCTCTGACACAGGCTTTATGGCCCAGTACTCTGTTTATGGTCAGTACGTGGATCTGCACTTTTTCATTTATCTTCAAGACATTTGTTATCATTTGCCTCAACATTTGTGGATTTTCTATTTCCTTACAAATAGTACCTCCTAGGGATGGGACGAGATCTCGTGCCTCGAGATGTTGCAAGATCAAATTGCCAGGAGACTGTACGCAGCTATGAGCAGCTGTATTTAAAACACAGAGACTAGTAGCTCACATATTCAGACAGAAAACACTGTTTCAATTTTGATTTTGTAGTAACGGGACCAATACTGATGTAGATAGTTAATTTTAAAAAGTACTAAAAAAATACTATGATAAATTATTCACCCACAGACAGTGCTGGACATGCAGTGTTTTCCACACTTAAAGGCTGTTTGAAATTATCCACATGGAGATATTTAGGGCTTTATTTGGGGGGTTGGGCTTTATTTATTTATTGGAGCAACAGAGAGAACAGAGGAGCAGATCTAGTTTTACTCTAATCATTTAAATAACAAGCATGAAGTGTAATAGACACATTGTGCATTGAATATATTGTAATAATCAGTAGTGATGCATTTACACTGAAGCCTAATGGTTGTTAAATGCATTTATTCTATTAAAACATCATAAAAATGACTTATTTTGGTCATTTTTATAAACCAATTTAAAATCAGTGTGAATTGATCCGATTATTGTAAATTATTTCAAAATCTCTTCTCGTCTTTCTGTTTTTCTGTCTCATCCCGTGGTGCCTCCTCCCTGTAGTCCAGTTGTGGATTATGACTATAGCGTTACCTGTTGTGTGTGTTTTAGAATGTGGAGGGTTCTTCAACAGCTCCTCTGGCACCATCAGCAGTCCAGCCCACTCCCTCACAGACTACCTCCACAACATCAACTGTTCCTACCACATCATGGTCCAGGACAACCGCGTCATCGACCTCAAGTGAGACCGGATTCTTGTCCTCTCGGGGCTAGTGCTGGTTTTATTATCACTATGTGCCTCCTGGTCTATACCAGGAGGATACTAAAACTTTCATAGGATCAGTTTTATACAGCACTTTTCTGGACACTCAAAGACACTTTACAGAGCATTATTCATTCACTCCACACTTGGTGGTGGTAAACTACTGCTGTAGCCACAGCTGCCCTACGGCAGACTGACGGAAGCGAGGCTGCCAATCTGCTCCATCGGCCCCTCCAACCACCACATCACGCATACATCACTTTCATACTTTCAGTGTAGGTGAAGTGCTTTGCCTAAGGACACAACAACAGTTACTGTGACTGGCGCCCCCCTGTGGCTCAAGATTTTCCCAGTGTCTCCCATCGAAGTACTGACCAGGCCTGGCCCTGCTTAGCTTCTGAGATCTGACAGGATCAGACTTTGACAAGCCGGTATGACTTTAGTTACTATTAACTTTATTAACATGTTGGTTTGGTAAAACCTGGACCTTGTTTAGTCCTGTTATAGGCCTTTTTTATTTCTGTTTGAGATCTGGTGAATTGTTTTTTAGTCCTGATTTGGTCTTGGTTTAATCCTGGTTTACTAGTCCAGTTATTTCTAATGTTCACATTTTCCTGTTGGGTCCTGGTTCGAGCCAAGTTTAGTCCGAATGGTAGTCCTGGTTTAGTTCCAGTCTAGTCTATGTCTATGCCACTGATACAGTGTTTGAGACCAGGATTGGTCCTAGTTTGTGTAAACAGAAGTATTTGTTGTGTGTTTGTGTTGAGGTTTAACCACTTTAACCTGGAGGTGTCGTCATCCTGTCGCTATGACTTCGTGGCGGTGTACGACGGACCGGACACTGCGGCTCCTCTGATGGGGACGTTCTGTGGCTCTGAGCTGCCTCCCAGTCTGAGGTCCTCCTCCAACCACCTGTACCTGGTGTTCAGGACAGACAGCTCCATTAGCGGGGAGGGCTGGAGGGCCACCTACGGCCAGACTCTGGGTACTGCACTGTCCCCTGCACTGTCCCCTGCACTGTCCCCTGCACTGTCCCCTGCACTGTCCCCTGCACTGTCCCCTGCACTGTCCTCTGCTCTGTCCTCTGCTCTGTCCTCTGCTCTGTCCTCTGCTCTGTCCTCTGCTCTGTCCTCTGTGCTGATGTGGAACAGAGATTAGCTGAATGCATAATAGTAGCGCTCAATATATTACAATCAAATAAAAATCACAGTTTGAGTTGGTGCAATTATCAAATCACAATGACTACTGTTATTTGGATAATAGAAAGTCCTCTGCAAAGAACAACTAATTTTGTATCTTTATAGAAAAATCTTGTAGTTTTGACCTCTACAACCATGTTCTGAAATACACTGTATTAGTTCATCTGTTCAGATTTCAGGTTTCTCTCAAAGGTTAATGCTCCTGATCTACAGTATCTCTGCTGTGAAGGCTGGCAACTGAAATGAATCAGATAAATATAATGGTGCTTGGTTCTGTGGTTTACATTATGAAACACCATTAAAGGCTCTATACCAGATTTTTACTGTCTTAAAAACATGAAAAACAGAACTAGTTGATTTTTAACAGTTTGCAGTGGTTCAAAGTTCTTCCTCACTTTCCTTATGGATTCTGAGCATCCTAATTATCCACCACGATGAGATTATAAGTGTTTTTCACAACTTTCACTGTTGTGAATGTGACTAGAGAGTTTTGCTGTAACAGTAATTGGATGCAGACAGTACACTGTGGACTTATTTTGATCTCAGGAGACGCTTATACAATATATAAACAGTCATGTACAGAGACTTCAAATACAGCAGAACATTGAAGGAATTAAATATCAGTTTTTTTCATTCACAACATTATATAAATCTCCACTGTATGCTGAAGGTAAAATGACTGCTCATCTTTTAAGACCTTTACTCACATTATTGCGTTAGTTTAACAGTTAATACTTCCATCTTCTCTCAGCTGTGATGATTCTTGGGCATTCACATATTACACTGACTGACTGTTTTTTATTATTATTATAGTGTCTTACACATTTGTGCCCAGCCCGCATGGGCTCACAAGAGTCTGTAAACAGATTCACAGACGACTGCAGACCAACAAATAAACAAATAACCACTCTGATATAAACATATTCTAGTCATACCTACTACATACTACACACTACATACTCTAGTCATACAGGATATAGTATTTGTTGTCTCCTGCCCCAGGCTCTAGAGATATAACAAACTAAAACAAAAACCTCCTCATTATAAAGCCATCTCATAATTTTATAATCCAGCAACCAGAATACATCATGGTTTGATGACTGTACAGTAGCAAATAAAATATTCCTTACTGTATTGTGATGTATTATAAATCCATGTAATAGTGATTGTGGTGTGCCTTAGGGCCAGCTCAGGGCTGCGGGGGCTACCTGTCCATGCCCATGGGGATGCTGGGCTCTCCAGACGTGGACTTAGACGGCCACTATGAGCCTCTACTGGACTGCACCTGGATCATCGAGATGCCTGTCAACAGAGCGGTTAACCTGAGCTTCACCTCCTTCGAGCTGGAGAGCTCCTCCACCTGCCGCTTCGACTACGTCAAGGTGAACACACTTTTATCAGATTCTTATTTTTCTGGGGGGGGGGAGTTTCATCTTCATTTATTGCTAGTTTTCAGATTATACTCCCAGATGGCAAGAAACAGTTTTCCCTCTTGCTTACATTGTACAATAGCTGGGTTTCATGTGACGTCACAGGGCTACGTTTGTCAGCACGCAAAATCAGATGGAGGGCAGGAAGTGAACTGTAGTTTACAGCTGTGCCAATTGTTCTAGCCGAGAAAAGGAAAGCGATTTTTTTTTTTTTTTTTTTTTTTTTTTTTTTTTAAAGAGTACCGAATATAGTCGTCCACAAAGGTCAGAAATGGGAAAAGCTGACAGAACAAAGCTGTAAAAAGTGGGTTACAAACCTATGTTTGCAGTCGGGAGGAGCAGAATCCGCAAATGCTTGTGTCTGCAGTGACCACTTTGACAAAGGTATGTTACAAAGTTAAATAGTTTTTTGTGGTTTACCTAAACATAAACGAATCATTAATGACTAATGGCTAACGACGTTGGTTGACATTAAACAGTTCGGATAGATCGGTTACTGCTGATACACTGCAGTTTTTCCCATAACAGTCTATACACATAAAATAAGAGAAACACTCACCCTGGCGAAGACCAAACAATAATCATCATTTAGGCATTTTGCACCAAGGTTGAGGACCCATCCACTGTCAAAAAAAGTGATATGCCTCCAAACTTTTGTACGCCTTCATCTGTTGTCTGGTGTAGAACGGTGTCTGGAGAACTAGATAGTTTGTGATATCCTCTGCCTCGATTGTCTGCAAATCTTTTACTTCGGTCTAAAATTCTCTCATTTTCAATAAGATGGGGTCACGTCGAATATATTTGTCGACTAACTGCTCGTACTTTTGCCTTGCTACTGGCTCTAAATCCTTACAATAAGAACTCTTCTCCATATCTGTATTCTCCATAGCCGTGTTTGTCTTCACTTCCTGCCCTCCACCTGAAATTTGCGCATCATCATGATCACGTGACTGAAACCCACCTATTGTACTTTTATGAAATATCTTATAATAAAATAAAGTAATTTGACTAACATTCTAGAATTTATACTGAGCTGAACAACAGGTCACAATTCTATGGTGGAATTTGCTGTTTAACTGTGAGGGGGACATGCTTTGTAAAAGCGGTGTGTTAACTGTTATTTGGATTTGTTGACCTGATTTTTCGGTGAATATTACTGGGCTTATCCACATGAAATAAACAGACACAAAGATCAGCATTGCCTTCATCTGCATAAATAAACAAAAGGGAAATTCTTTGTTCACAATAGCTTCAGAAAGTGCTATGGTTCAACCCCAAGGATGTGACTCTTGTCAGTTGAAAGGACATAAGGTTAATACGTTTGAGAAGCTGATCCCAAACAAAATATATCAAGGTTCAACATTTGTGAATCGTAAGTTTGGAGATTTTTTTTTAAAAACAGTGAACCTCCCATAGAGTTCTGCTGACCCCTGCCCTTTGTCTGAAACTATGACATCATCAAAGTCTAGAACGTGAACTGAACCTACTGAGTTACAATTCAATGACTGTTAAATGATCTTCCTTTGGTCTTGTCACTATATTGTGCTTACTTGTGTGTCCCTCAGATCTACGACGGGGACAGTAGTCACTGGCCCCTCGTGGGGACCCTGTGTGGAAACTCTCTCCCCTCCTTCTTTGTGTCTAGTGGGAACTTCCTGACAGTGGAGTTTAAGTCAGACAGCTCAGTGGAGAGGGCTGGCTTCAACGCGACCTACATGTCTGTGCCATGTGAGTCCAAGCAGTGTTTGTGTGTGTGTGTTTGACAGCTTTAATCATGTTACAACACTGTTCCCTCATCACAGCCTAGCTGCAGGTGTATTTAGCTTCTTTCAAGTCTCTGAGCAGTTACTAATCACATGCTTTGAATTTATCAAGGATTGTTGCATCCCAGGTAGAAAGCAAGGTTTAAATCACATGAAATGCCAAAGCAAAGGTACTCAAGGGCCCCTATTACACCATTTATTAAAATATATATTATAATATAGTTTCCTCATGACAAACAGACCTGGAGATGTGTTTTGTTTCATTCACATATTTACCACACAAACACTGCACATCTCAGACAGAAAATACTGTTCCAGTTTGTGATTTCATGTGGTAATGCAGGAAGAGCTCTATTGTGTTTTTACACTGCATACATCTTCACTACTACACTACTTATTTGGATAATTTCAGAACAGGAATTGCTAATCTCTATTAAACTAAATGTAAAAGGTAGGACTTCAGGGAAGGCGAAGAAGCGAGCGGCGGCATAATTCTCTAGCTCCCCGATGGCCCGCAAACCCCTTCTTTAACGACATATTACAGTAAAGTTGAAACTACAAGCAGTATGTCAGGGGGTACCAAGAGAAAGACGAGAGTAAATATTCAAGATATTGTAAATGAAGTGGACTCTGCAACTGCAGAAGAGGTCGATGCTAGCGAGTTAGCAGAAAACGTGACCATGGATGCTATCCAAGCTAACATATTAGCGGCGCTGAAAAATGTTCAAGAAGACATAAAAAAGGAGTTAAACGACAAAATTGACACGTTAAAGACTGAAGTGAGTGGATTTAGCGAAGAAATGGGAAAGCGCATGGATGGCCTGTGTACAGATTTGAACAATGTGACACAGAGAGTGGAGGAGACCGAGCAGAGAGTGGCCGACATGGAAGTGTTCAATGTGGATGTCAAAGACGCACTCGAGCACACGTTAAAACTGCAGCTAGAACTCCAAACACGGCTGTCAGACATCGAGTCAAGGACACGAAGAAACAATATTCGAGTCCACGGGATCGTTGAAGAGGCTAACGGAACAAATATCCGAGTATTTATGGAGAATTTTCTGAAATCCGAGTTTTCCCTCCCTGATGCTAGATTAGCCGTCCAGAGATGCCACCGCTCGCTCGGCCCCAGGCCGCCTCCCGGCGCCAACCCAAGGTCTATTGTAATGTGTTTTCTGGAATACAAGACGAAAGAGATGGTTCTCCGCACTGCATGGCGTAAACGGGAGATTCAGTTTAATGGAAGACGCGTCTACTTTGACCAAGACTTTCCCAGTGATATCCTATCCAAACGTAAAACCTACAATTCTGTGAGAAGGGCACTCAAAGAAAAGGGACATCGCTTCCAAATTCTCTACCCGGATAGACTCCGCATGTCTATTGGGGAAGACGGTGACAGTGTTGTTTATAATAATGCGGAGGAAACATTTAAAGACCTGAAGAGGAGAGGGCTTTTGCCGATGGGAGCGGAACACGCAGCAGACGCAGAGCCGACACCGAGTGACGAGGAAGTGGAATAGAGATGAGCTAACACGCAATATCCAGGCGAAGTTGAAGGTGTTTAAACACAACATATTCTGATGCATCGGCCACCGCGTGGGAGAGGAGTTCTACAAATGTTTCAAACGAGTTCCTATCGGCCATCGGGGATAACGCTTCCACATCATGTGCTGTCGTGAAGGACAGGAGATGGAGAGTGGCAGCACGGTGAGGGACCCCCTGTCTCCACAGGACCCCCCTCCCAACTTTGAAGGTGGACATTCGCTTCACTTTTAAAGGTCATGTATGTTTAATGTTCAGGTTTGTTCATGTTCCTTTTGTGTCTGTGTTTTTATGAGCATCTAGAAGGAAATAGTTTGAATTTGTTCTGTTTCATTAATGGTGGATAAACAAAAATATACTGTCATCTCTCTTAATGTAAACGGTCTACATAATCCTGTTAAAAGAAGTAAAGTAATTGCAAAAATTAAAAAGGGAAAATATGATATTATATTCTGGCAAGAAATATGGGTTTCAATAATATGTATTACTCTTCTGTTACAAAGAGCAATTCAAGAGGAGTTGCTATTTTAATACCAAATGATAATGATAATACCAGAGTGAATTTTCAATATACATCCCAGATAAGTGACAAGGATGGGTGTTACAATTTAGTTAAAGGACATATGTGTGGTGGCATAGAGGGGTTAACACAGGGGAATGTTAAATTTTATAATAAATTGTTGCAACAACACCACCCCAAATCTAGTTTGGGAAAATAGTCTAAATGTAAGGCACACAGGTAAGCAGATCAATGAGTGTGAGAGCCAAATTCCATCATTTACACAATCTTTATTTTCTCTATTTTAAAACACAGATTTAAGTTCCTTAAAAGTAGCTACATCAATATAAATAGGCAAAACAGTAAAACATGTGGAGAGAACACCAACAAACAGGTACAAAATGTTGAATACAAAGAGCGAAACCCCAAACCAGAAAAAACAAAACGGAAACAAAACAAAAGTAAAGCAAAACAGCAGAGGCGGTGTGTTCACACCGCTGCAGGCCACCGCTGACCCTGCGGTTGGAAGTGACAGTGCACAATCCCAGGCTGAATCAAAGGCAACTTTACGCAGAACTACTGCATCCAGACGTGGTCCAAACATGGACCGGCACACGCTGCCGCCACAGTTTAGGGGACACGGCGGCGCACAGCCAAGCGCAATGGGGCGAGGGACTCACTCGGCTCACCCGTGGAACTGTCGGAAGAGGTAAAAGCGCACACTAGGTGCGTTACTATAAAGCAGCCCAGTTACGAATATTGATAAATTGGTGTGACCCAAGTTGTGACGCTAAATGGAAAGAAATTGACCAGTCATACTTTGATCTCCCATTACAATCTATGCTTGGTGACTGACCTTTAATAAAAATAAAAAATTTAGATTCACAACTATTGCCAACATGGATAAAAACACTAATTAATGTATGAAGTAAAATGCTTAAAAACAAGAACACTGAACAAAGGAACAAAATAATACGTTGGCCAGCATTTGATTCAGAATTTCTACCAGCAAAAACAGATAATAGATTTCAATAATGGTTATTGGATTATATCACTGAAAGGCGTGCTGAAAAGCTTTTTGGAACTCTCAGACAAGTACAATTTGGAAAAACATGACCTTTTTAGATACTTTCAGTTGAGATATTATTTCAATAGAAAAATTTAATTTCTTGCAGAAGAGGGGGATGTGGTAAATTATTTCCTAGAAGCATGCAAAGGTAACTCTCCTAAGAAACAAATAACCATTGCTTACAAATGTCTACAAGCATCAAAGAACATTTCTAGCATATACAGGGCTTGACATGAAGCATATACAAGTACTTGACCGGGCAAGTGGCTATAATTTTTTACTTGCCCGACACCCAGACTTACTTGCCCTGAAAAACAAAATGGTGCTCAGTTAATTATATATTTTTAAATATGTGCACAGGCTAGTGTCGTAGTACTCTAGACTGTTTTTTTTTAGGGCCTGGCTCAGCACAACATGCTCCTGGGGCAGATCTGTGTCGTGTGAAAGAGCCCAGGTCCAGAAATACTGTTAATGCTTTAAAATTTGCTTTTGAAATCCTCGTGTTTGCCCTGGTCAGCCTGTACGGAAGGTGAATACAAGTCTGTTCAGCTGTTAGGGCCTGGCTTGACTGCACGCACATGTCGCTCTATGCGAGCGTAAAAACTGCAACTTTTGGATGTTTAACTTTTAGAATGTATGGAAAGTGAATGAGGACGGCTTCACTGCAGGTGCTAGACGCACATATGGAGCAACGCGTCCTGCACGCGTAGATTTCAGAAAATAGGATCCATCCTATTTTTTTGACACTCTACGCGTATCCCCATCAAAATACACAGAGCATGAATCTTTGGTTGTATTTGTGCCTTTACCGTCAGGACAACGTGCTCCTGGGGCAGTTCTGTGTCATGTAAAAGAGCCCAGGTCTAGAAAGACACTGCGTGTACCCTCTCGTACCAGCATGTATCACAGGGCAGGTTAAACTTTTTAAAACATTCTACCTGCCCATCTGCCTCACGTCATCTGCTCCTTCTTTTCGCGCTCTCGCTCCTCCCTGCATATAGCGCAAACAGGCTCCCTCTTCAATGCCCACAGATTAGAAAAATAATACTAAAACGAATCCAAATTTATGTTACATTGTTGGCACAAAGCAGCACTACTGCTACATGTGGTTGAAGGTTGTTTGTCACGACATGCGTTTGGTAAATGTGGTAAATCCCACTGCAAAACCAGTAAGTGAATGTAACTCCAGTTAGAAACTTCACAAAACGGGTTTAAAAATCCTACCCACTTTATTCACTTTGAAGCAGTTTTGTGTAAAATACCAATGGAAATTTTCTTAAAGAAAGGGTTCTCAAACTGTGGGTGAGAGTCCAAAAAAGGGCAGTGTTCAGTGCAGTACAGTTTGCTTGTCTTAATTTAATCTTAAATTAACATTTATCAGATAAAATGGAGATAGATTTCTAAAAATATTGATATATATGTGCCAAAATAACTGTAAAATACAAATAAATGTCAAAAATTACATAGATGGTCATGATTTGGTCTCGATGGGCCGTGGTCTTGGTCTCGACCCTCAGAGGTCTTGGTCTTGTCCTGGTCTCAGGACCCTGAGGTCTCGGACAGGTCTTGGCCTCAATTAATGCAGTCTTGACTAGAACTCTAGCACAGACATATAAAAACTTTTTTTTCATATGAATACCAACATAACATGACCACAATGACTAAATGGTTTGAGAGACTGGGGCAGAATCTCAAATATATAAAACAAGTTTAAATCATTTCATACTACACTCCACAGTGTAAATATGGAGGGGGAAAAAGAAGCATAAATGAAAAAGTGTCCAAATTTGTATGTATACAAGATGAAAACGATTATCATTGGTCTTCTCATTAAATTGTTCTCTCTTGTATCCACTCAGAGATCTAAGAGTGCCTCAATGTGTCTCAGGTTGTCAGACCCATATGGGCAGGTGACAACTAGAACTAATGTGATTATAGATAAATATGACAGAACATCTATAGTACTGATTGCTGTCATCTGGGACCAATGCTGGGACCAATGAGCAAGTTAATCTGAAACTGTGATACATATTGCCTTTTGCAGTGTAACATTTTGTAATGCAGTATTGCCCCACATATGTAATGGAGTTACACTACTTTGCATTACTTCTGATTTACTTTCTGTATGTTTAAAGTAAATTTTGGCTTCATGAGCTTCACAAATATATAGCCTTATAAGTCCTTCCCGTGGACCCTCGCCCACAGGTTAAGAAACTGACTTTCACTTGCACATTTCAAATATTTTAGTGCCAGTACACCATAGAACTGGACTTGCACGAGCCTATAATCTGCGCAGATAGTGTTGGGTATCGAAACTCTGTTTCAAGTAGGCATCGACCGAAAAGGCCCGGTAAGTACTGGTAAGTACTAAAACACTGGTATTTAAAAAAAAAAAAAAAGTTCGCTCGGTGCCCACTTTCGGTTCATTTCATTAAATGCCCGCGTCAATGAGCCAACACACACTTTAATTTCACTTCAATGTATCAGTAGTGCAGGTGTTCACGCGTCAGTACTGCGCTCTGCGCAAATGTACTGCACAAACAGCGCTCATGTTTAACATGTTGAGCATGTCGTCCATGTGTCCAAACGAAGTGCAGTGTGTCTCTTACCGGTAAAACAGAAGAGCTGAAGAAACACGGTGCAGCATGAAACTTGTATCCACCCGAAAACACCCAGTCTCCAGTGCGGGGCGTTTATAGTGTCTCAAAGCCAAAGTGCGTAATAATAAATCCACATCCAGTCACAGCCTGCAGTGTCCGCGTCAAATTTAAGCCAAACATAATATTAACCAAAGCTCCGCAAAAACCCTGCTCCTCATTGGTAAATATATCCAGCGTGGAGCGCGTGTGCGTAAAGATGTAAAGAGGCTTGATAAATATATGGCAAATTTTTGGAGTTGGGTTTAGCCGTGAGTTCGCTTTTCATTCCGACGTGTCATGAAGTTTCCTAGATATGTGAGATGTGACGGTAGAATGAGAGACAGAAAAAAGGGGTGGAGTGGCGCGGTTTGCACTAAGGGACATTTTTGATTGACTGGGCAAAGATTGTGGAGCAGGAGGCAGCATAATACTACGTCCGTTTTATTTAAGATGCCTACAGTCAGTGGGAAAGACAGAACATTGACAGTGATGCGCACAGCAACGCGCATGAAGTGAGCACTTGTCACCGTGGCCGTTTTTCATGGCAGTCCAAAAGGTTGGACATATCTGTTCCTTTCACGGAAATGAAAAAAATGCGTTATGAACAGACATCCCGTCGCTTTGTTTATCAACCAAATAAATAGTTATTATTATTAGGGGACTAGATTTGTGTCGCTTTATTTTCACTAGGCAGAGGAGAGTACTTGCCCGGACAAAAGTTTTAGTTGCCCCGGGCCAGCGGACAACCGTTAATGTCGAGCCCAGATATATATTAAAGAAGCATGGGGAAAAGACTCTAATATTACAATATCTGAGGTTGACTGGTATAATATGTGCAGAACCGCAATGACCACCTCCTGCTCGGGTCTTTGGAGGGAATTTACATGGAAAACTGTTGTACTGTACGTTTTTTGTTACACCCTATATTAAGAGTAAGCAGAATAATGATCCAGAGAGGGCTCAGTGTTGGAGAGACTGTGGTGATGTCAGAGCAGGGCATTTTCACATATTTTGGGATTGTGTTAAGATCGCACCTTACTGGACAATGGTGATAAAAGCTATTCAAAGTATATTCGGATTAGACCTGTCAATATCACTGGGATTTACTGAAGTCTTTTTTTGTAATATTGCATGTGGAACACAGAAATCAGATTAATATCTTTTGTCAATACTGTTGGCTGGAGCAAAGAAAGCCATTACCAGGAAATGGTTGTGTCAAGATGAACCTGTACTCACCGACTGGATCAAAGTAGTTAACGAAATTTATGACATGGAGAGACTGACATTTTCATTGAGACGTTCTACTGTTAAATGTAACAGGTATTGTAGGAAATGGGCCAATTATTTGGCTTCGATATATTAATACTGTGAAGATAGATAATTATGGTTTTACTCTAGATACTCTGAATTTTATCTTATTTGGTTTTGTTTTGGTCTGCACTTTTGTTTTGTTTTGTTCTATAAATGTATTAAAATTTTCAAACACATACAAAAATAAAGTTTAAAAAACTTGAAAACTACAGTTTCATAACATCACTCTGTTCCACCAGAGCATTTTGAGCTTTGGAGATGTAGAAAAGGTTACTTAAACGTGTGAATGAATCAAAACACAACTTCACATATGTTTTTGAGGAGGTAACAACATTCTAACATGGTTTAAAGCTCACAAGAGTCAGTTTTGTGTAATATAATCTAATCCTTTGTCCCCCCCCCAAGTGGCATGTGGAGGGATCCTGAATGCGACCACGGCCGCGCAGACCCTGGCATCGCCCTCCTTCCCTCAGCCCTACCCCCCCTTCACCTCCTGCCGCTGGGTGCTGGATGCCCCCCCTCAGGAGACCATTCGTGTGGCCGTGCAGATCTTTGTACTCCAACCCAGCCAGAGCTGCTCCACTAACTACCTGGAGATGAGGGACTGGCCTCTGGTGGGTGCTCCTCTGAGGACACTACAGATAACCATGCTAAAAGTGGAACACAAACCTAACTCAGTTTCTCACAGAGACGCTAAAGAATAATAATTACTATATCATGCCATCAGTTTCATGGTTCCATTTATTCATGGTTCCTGCATATAACAATATGTAATAATGTGGTCTTTGGTATCATAGTCCATCTTCATCTTTTCTGGAGCATTATCTCCACTTTAAGTGGCACCCCTAGAGCGCAATCCAAGGCTGAATTAAATGAAATCTTGTGTTACTTTTTCCCAGGGAGATTATGGCCAGTCCCATAAATTCTGTTCTGCAGACTCACACCCTCCAGACTTCTACAGCGTGGGCAGAAGCATCCACATCAACTTCAAATCAGACACCTACATGACGGGCAACGGCCTGAGCCTCACCTATCAGATCGCAGGTAAGTGGACAGAACAGCGGAGTACAACTTGAACACTAAAGGGGAAATATTACGTCAAATCAGCTTACAAATGCACATGTGATAATGGTGTTCCCTCATCTTTATCGTACTCAGTTGTATTTGAATTGATCTAAGTGAGTAGTACTTCTTTATCATCCTGTATTGTATACTGTATAAAACTGAAGAGTGAAGTTAAGTGCATCACAGTTGGCAGAAATCGGACATCTTGAATATAGAAGAATAAAGATTACAAATATGCATGAATCACTCTAAATACTGTGAGTGAGTAAAAGAGAAGATAAACTATTATAACATGGTGAAAAGCTATACAAAGTTGATAAGTTTTATTTACATAACAAGCCTGTCCTGATTATGGAAATAATTGATCAAAACACCCTCCCCAAAAAGTTAGGCTAATATAAGCTTTCAGTGATGTGTTTGTGTGTGTTTGTGTTTGTGTGTGTGTTTGTGTGTGTAGGCTGCAGCAGAACCTATGAACAGGAGTATGGGTATCTGAAGAGTCCAGGCTGGCCTGACATCTACCCACACAATCAGGACTGCACCATCATCCTCCGAGCTCCAGCCAACCACATCCTCTCCTTCTTCTTCAACAGCTTCAACATGGAAAACCACCCCCAGTGCTCCTCTGACTACCTGGAGGTACAGCCCCTCTCACCCAAACTGTGTAAAGGACAGAAAAGAACTATGTAGGATCTGTGTGTGAATAATCTACTAACACTTTTTTAATCCATCATATGTTCTCGTAGAATAGTATTCATGAGATAAAACACAATTATTTACACAAAGTATTTGTAGTGCACATTTTGTACTTTTGCACACAACTTAACTAGAAGTGATTTCTTGAGGTCTAAGGTGCTATAAAATCAAAGAGCATCAAAAAAGTAAAGCCATAGTATGTAACTTTTTAGCTAATAAATAGATTAAAATAAAAACGTAGCTACAATCTTCCACAGTAAGACGGCATTCTCTATGGAGGATGTTCTAAAGTCTGCTTTGAACTTTCTATTTCTGTGGAATCATGCAGCGACCTGCCACCTCCACAAAGTTATACACTGTACCTTTAAGATGAAAGAATTACAAAAAACGCAAACCATCTAGAGAGAGTTCATAGGCACCAGGGGTGTCCAGACTGTGGCCCACTGACCACTTTTTGTTTTACCTCTGGGCTTTCTGCTGAATTAGCCCAAATGACCAAAAATGTTACTTTTTACAGCAAATTTTGAACATTTCTGTCATTATAACATACAAACCAAACATTCTGATGTGATACAGACTTAGATAGATATTCCAAGCCTCACTGAAGTTGTGGGGGCTCAGTTAAAGCTACTATGAAACATTTTGAATGATTCACTTTGTAGTTTTTGTTTTTGTTATTGGCCTTGTGTGCTCATGTGTACCCTCTTGTGTCAGGTGCGTAATGGCAGCTCTGCAGATTCTCCTCTCCTGGGGAAGTTCTGTGGCAGCACCGTTCCCAGCCCCGTGTTCCCTCAGTCCAACCAGCTGTACCTGCGCTTCAAGTCCAACTTCTCCCTCGCTCTGGACGGCTTTGAGGCCAGCTGGACCTCCTCCCCCCACGGTCAGCACCCAGTATATCACATCTATATCTTATTATATTTCATTATTTTTTAAGTGTTCTATCAGTTTTGTCGATATATCGCCAAAAGTATTTTTTGGTGTATTTTACTAAATCATTTTGTTACAGCTACAGTTTTGTTGTTTGTTCAGAGGAAAGAAACTCATTTATGTGACACATTTGACATTTTTGCTGTTTTTTTGTTGTTTTTTTAACTTAGTTTTTATTAAGTTTAAGATATCACAGCTTGTGCATTATGGTCAGTTACAAAGCCGGTTAGATATATGTTAAAATGGACAATGCACAAGTATCATTATTAGTATATAGAAAAAGAACAAAAACAATAACAATGACAAAGGCAGTTATACATTTACAATAATAATAATAATAATAACAGATTAAGAAGCAAAACAAAACAAAAACATAATAATAATAATCATAAAAATAAGTAAATAAATAAATAAAAATAAGACGTGCTAAACTTGTTGGAATAAAAGAGCAAACATGGGACACCATCTCTTAATGAAGAGCTCTCTGTTAATTCTTAAAGAATAAGTGATTTGCTCCATCCGATAAATCTCTCACCTTTTCAATCCATATATGATAAATGTATAACTATTAAATGGTTGTGCCCTGACCCGCCCACTTAAGTGCAGCAGTTCTTAAAGGTTGTATGGAGGATTTTTTTTGTTTCAAATTGTCAATGATAGCATTATAAAGGTGCAGTAGCCTTGTAATTATGATGACCAAAAAAAAGAGAATAAAAATTCATCAACTCTGGACGTGGTGGGGCTAAACATTTGCCAATAGATAACGACACTGCCTCGTTATCTGTGAGCTGATAGGCTGTCAATCAATCTCCCTACGTTTCTAGCGGAACTGACTTGCCTGCGCGCTGCCGGTACGTGGTTTGCATACGCCTGTCATGCAGTCCACAGACGCAAGCCGCACAGACGCTGTTTACTCCACCAACGCAACAGTTCTTAGCGGCTTTTTTGACCTATATCTTCCTCGCAGTTAGCACAAAGTTTGTTGCAATGGCAGACAAGAATACAGGAGCAGTTAGCCGCAAAAGAAAGTCCGTTTTTGAGATTGCTGAAAGAAGAAGACAAGGGGAAAAGCAGCGAAGCCAAACTAAGGTGATTCTTGTAGACTCATTCCAGCGATGGCGCAACTGAAGCAGACGCAGGGTCTAAAGACTGACGCATTGGTCACCAAATTACTCCTGGACAGGTAACTTCTGCTTATTATGAAAACGTACTTTATTTCCAAGAGCTAGACAAACGTTTTTCAGGACACGAAAGCAATATCCTATGTCTGAAAACGTAATTTTCAAGGCAAAGAAAGAGTCCGCTTGCTGCTGCGTGTTGTAGCTAGTTCATTCGCACTGAATCTCCGCGCAACCTTCTCTGCACCCCTTTCCTGCTCCTGTCCCGCTGCCCGTTCCGCTCTTCCCGCTGCTCCTCACTTCTCCGGGCACGGAATCTCCGCGCACCGCTCCCCTCTCCTCTCTCCCCACTCCGCTCTTCTCCCTGCTCCTCACTTCTCGTCTGCGCACGAAATGTCCGCGCCCCCCCCTCCCCCCCGCTCCTCACTTCTCCACCTTGCCTAACCAACACTGTAGTTAGTTGTTTACAAGTCATGTGCAGCGCACAGGCTGTAAACAAACTTGTTTCTGGCGTAAGGAGGAGGAGGGAGGAGGCGTTTCTACGTAGGGAGCTGTAGGAGAGGGGGGGGTGGTTTCACGCATGCGCAACATTTGAAAAAGGACAGTCGCTGGATTTCTCGTTCCTTGGAAAATCCTCTATACAACCTTTAAGAGATATTTTTTATCGTTTCCTCCAAAACCTTCTGGGATTAACCCTAAAATGGAAAACTGTGGTTCTTAAAAAAATGATCGCTGAAATACTGTATTGAGAGCTGCAAAAAACATCACTCCAGAACAGACCTATCTTTGGACAAGTCCAAAATATGTGAGTATGAGTACCTAGGTAGGCACCACAGTTTCGCCAGCAGGTATCAGGATTTACAGGATTCATTTTAGCTGTGATCTCTGGTGTCCTAAAAAATCTTGTTATTACTTTCCATTTAAACTCCCTCCACAGACCAGAGTTTGTCACCAGGTGTGCTTCAGTGCAAACATCTCAACAATTTGAAAATGCTTTGTAAAAGAGACTTATTGTTTTTGGAAGTCTGTTGCACTGTTGTAGTTTTAAAAGCAATTCCTCAACAAGTGAGGGTTCTAAAATTTTCTTCCATTCTTTGTGTTTTGGCAAAAAACTTCTTAGCTCTAGGTATCTGAAGAAATCTGAAGAGGGAAGCCAAAACTGGTCCCTCAACTGTTCAAAGGACTTCAAACAACCACTCCCCACAACATGAAATAATTTACTAATACCAAAGGTGACCAAGTTTTAAAGCCCACATCCATGAGAGAGGGGACAAAGCCCTGGAGGGAGGAGATATCTGAAAGAACTGAAATTTCTTTTGGGAGACCAATTGACTGCCTTATTTTCCACCAGATGTTCAATGTCACCCTGGTCCATTCACCCACCCGCATATCTTTAACTGGAACATTTGAAAAAGGCAGAGTCCCCAATACACAATTACATAAACCTTTTTCAATATTGAGCCACTGAATGTGAGACAAGTCCTGCATCCATACAACCAAAGTCTCATTTGAGCTGCCCAAAAATAATGTTTAAAGTTCAGAACTGCAAATCCTCCTTGTGATTTTGATAATTTTAAAGTTTGCAACTTGATCCTTGGGCGTTTGCCTTGCCATATAAATTTAGAAAAAAGCTTATCTAGTTCATCAAATGTAGAATTGGGGATATTTATAGGCAGCATCTGAAAAAGGTATAGGAGTCTTGGTAACACATTCATACATAAACTCTCTATACGACCAGAGAAAGACAGAGGCAGGACTGTCCACCGCTCTAGATCTTTTTTAATTTTCCGTATTACAACCTTATAGTTTACGTCATACAGTCCTGTTGGACATGGGGGAATCTGAATACCCAGATATTTTATCCCTTCTTTTGGCCATTTGAATCCACTCCTTAAAGGTTTGTGATATGTTGCCCACTATATCCATTGCCAATGTTTTGTCAATATTGACTTTGTAACCTGAAAGATGACCAAATTTACTGATTAGTTTCATTAAATGGGGAATAGTTGTTACAGGTTTGGATATATATAACAGCACGTCGTCTGCATATAAGGACAGCTTATGTTGTTCTCAGTTTACTGAAATTCCACAAATACCATCCTCATCTCTAATTAGTTGCACCAAAGGTTCAATACTTAAATCAAACAGCAGGGGCGACAGTGAGCACCCTTGTCTACAGCCACGTTCCAGTGAAAATCTATTGGACATTGTACCGTTTACTTTTACGGCCGCTAACGGTTTAGAATATAAAATTTGTATCCATTTAATGAAATTTGGCTGAATTTAAATCTTTTCAGGGTATGGTTCAGATATTGCCTAGACACACGGTCAAACGCCTTTTGAGCATCTAAAGACAGTATCATTGCTTCATCTTGTTTAGTTTTGGGAAAGTACATCAAATTTAGCAGCCTACGCACATTGTCACCATAGTGCCTTTCTGTTATAAACCCCATTTGGTCCGGGTTTATAATTTCTGTAATTGTTTTGCTGAGCCGTTTGGCTAAAACTGCTGTAAGAATCCGCAAGTCAGTCTTAAGTAATGATATTGGTCTGTATGATTGACATGTTGTAGGATCTTTGCCGTCTTTGTGAATTACAACAATTGTAGCATCATTCCAGGAAGGCGCCATGGTTCCAGACCTTAATGCATGGTGGTAAGCTTGTAGTAATAAAGGGGACACCTTTTCCTTAAATTGTTTATAAAATTCATTAATAAAGCCATCAGGGCCAGGGCTTTTATTGGCCCGAGCCAGTAATGAAGTAACTGGCGAGGGGTATTGTTCTTCGTCGGTTTCTTTTTTTTTTTTTTTTTTTTTTTTCCCCACATTGGCGAGGGGTATTGTTCTTCGTCGGTTTCTTATTGGCCCTCGCCCCTAGCGAGGGGTGTTGTTCTTCGTCGGTTTCTTTATTTTTATTGGCCCTCGCCCCTAGCGAGGGGTGTTGTTCTTCGTCGGTTTCTTTATTTTTATTGGCCCTCGCCCCTAGCGAGGGGTGTTGTTCTTCGTCAGTTTCTTTATTTTTATTATTGGCCCTCGCCCACTAACAAAGTTAGGGGCGAGGGGTATTGTTCTTCGTCGGTTTCTTTTTTTTATTCCCTTTTCCGACCAAACGATCGCATTTTTGAACCCCTGAACATGGACGAAAAGTCCCCAAACTGGGGTCCAGATCGATCGGCCCGGCGAAAAATTCGATAAAATGGGCATCGCAACAATGACCCGAGTGACCCGACTCAACAGCGCCACCTAGAATTGGACCCCTATGGGAGTGGGAACAGGCAAAGTTTGTCGCAGGGAAACGAAATTCGGGACAGTGATAGAGAACAATGAGACAAGACAAAAGATGAATTGGACCATGACCCTATGACGAACAGGAAGTCGGCCATATTGGATCAAACATTCGGCGCCGTTTTGACTTGGGGGTCTACAAAAAGTTTCAAGTCCCCGGGGTTTGGTCCAAATGAGCTCAGATTTGACATGTCACATCTACAGACATGAACTCACAGAAATTTTCAACTTTTTTTGAGATACTCCTTACGGTTCGCCCGTAGCACGCCGCCGAATAACGCCTTCATTTCCTGTTTTTTCGGTGACCTGTCACGGCCACAGGCATTGTCCTAGAGAGCTCAAATTCAAATCACAATTGCGTGATCCAGGCCTGAATGTGATGAAATATGAAATTTAATAAAAGTGAACTCTATAGCGCCCCCTAGCATAGACGTGAAACGTCAATATTATCGGATTTGTACCAAATTTGGGGATTAAATTCTATGTATGAATGCAAGCACAAAAGTTTACTACGGACATGATGCATTTTTCACGGTTTGCCAGTAGGGGCG